GTCGCGATTTATTCTTGTTTGCTTAAATATCTCTCATAGCTTTGACATTAATCCGACGAGGTAATACATATTTATTTATTCTGCGTGTATTTCACTTTGTCGGTGAGTGCTTTGATTCCATTCCAGTGCATATCAGCAGGGGTTGTAGATTACCAGTAGTTTGTAAACATTATCTCATAACTTTCGTCCATCTGAGTAAACACGTCAGAGGTCGATAATTAGCCGTGTGAGCGCACCGAAACCGATCTGGGATTCCTGGATAGCTTTTGAATAGCTTTAGGAGGATTCCATTGATATAAGACCAACTACGGTAGGAATATGTAGACCAACTATGGATTCATCACCATAAAAGGATAAAGGTATATGGCTTCCATAATTTTGAGAATTTCGGTATGGAACATTTCGGGATAGATTTTTATTTACGGCTTTCCAAGAATTGACCTTGTATTAGAAAATTTGTGACACCAAGATTCAAGCGGTTAAGTAAGCTATAATAAGCTAAATTTAGGAACGTTTAGAGCTAAAGGAGGCTGAACAGAATTGGAAAAAAGTATGTATGAGGACTGAGATTCAAATTGGCTCGTAACGTCCCTGCGTCAAAATGAACTCCGATGTGTTCCAAACCACCAAAGATTGAACAGTGCATGGTTATGAAGTGAAAACTTTCAGTAGTTCATCATCATCATCAGCTTTGTTGGATTGGAGTTCCTGGCCGTTTCCAGCTATGAGCATTGTCTTCCAATGCCAATGCAAGTGACGTTATCACGGCCATTTGCAGTAAAGCGAACTGGTTATGACCTCCGTCTGGCTCTAATGGTTATGTCGATGCAGCCGACGACTAATATAATAGACTCTGTATAATTACATCGTGTTTAGCATGTGTTGTTCCATCAACATATAGGCCCGAATACGGGTGTTTATTGGATCAGAAACGGATTCTCGTATTCCAGTCGATTAACGTCCGAACATGCATCTGCTGTTCGTCGGGACGGATTTTTAGATTGCTCTTCTTTCATTCTAATCAATGAAGATCCGTGCGTCTTTTGCCGTGAAGATATCTGCGAGTCATATGGGAACCATCAGAAATAGAATTCTAGAGCTATCTAAAAGAGGTACTTGATATTTTGGCCACTTCGATGCACAGTAGGCAAAGGACAACTCGCAAGAGAAATCAAAAATTTCGAGAGCTTTGTTTCTATCGATACGGAATTTCTAAGCTTAATTACACCTTGTTTTATTGTGTGGCACGGCATTTACTTTCGATACGTTCCATTAGTTATTAGAAGCATTGTAGGATCTCGTGCTCCTAAAATCCATTCAACAGACGCATTAAGAGCAGCGGTTAGAGGTTCCGCACTATAAAATGGTGGTCAATGGTTCAAATTTCTCACAATTAACTAAGCCCTTAATCACTCTTGGATTGTCAAATTGTTGCCAGATCTGTCTGGAGAAAGCTCGCTCTGATTCACAAGGATTGCCCACTATCCTATATTGAGTACTTGGCAATACTCTATTGCAGAACTATCGCAGGATTTCAATTGGAATCATTTCGATCTTCACTAGTAGTGAGTATCTTGAGTAGCCGCAAACCTCATACACAAATAGAAAAACGTTCGTGGGCAGCCGATGCGGGTAACAAGGAGACGGAAATAATTGTTGGGATTCATAGAATGTTTGAAGGCAGGTCAAACAAGTGGAAACAAAACTAATAGATACCATTCGACTGTAATAGCTGACAGCAACAGTCTGTGCTAGGGATTCAAGTAATGCTCTCTCTCTCTCTCTCAGCTGGCTCTCATCCATTCCAGCCTTCATATTCACTACAGCACCACGTTTTAAGCGGCATAATCTGGCCATTGGTAACAGTTGTCCGAAGAGCACTAGAGAGACAATTTGTTTCGTGTACCACCTGCGTGTCGGCTCGGCTTTCTACGAAGGTTTTTATGAGGCGCGAAGGTGCTAACACCCGAACAAATGTTGCTCATAACACACAATTGAGTGTGTACAGGTATGAGAGCTAAGGATCATTGGTCCGCTATAAAATAGCTTCTAGAGAATTGGATACAGTAAAACAGGGCGATTTTCTGCATCAGTTTTCACGATCCAGAAATTTATACTAGCAAAGTTTAAAAAATTGTAATCAAAAAAATAGCCTACTTTTTTTAATATTAGTAATAGTCAAGTTTAACCTCTTCAGTTACATGAGATGATTTCATCAGATATGCGATACATAGGGCGTGTGTGGCGCAGTGGTCGGAGGTGCCCTGCAACACACACTTGGAATCGATCTCCGCGCTCCAGGCTCACCAATCCTTCCATCCCTCCGGGATCGGCAAATTGGTACCAGACTTGTATGGGAGGATAGAAGAACTGGTTCGTTACATCGGTAGGCCACCGCGAGTCATTGTAAAGAACAGATATGCATTCAATCACCTCCAACGATACTTGGTGAATTCTAATGCGCGGCGCATCTCTCAGGGATTGATCAACGCCAAGGGCTTTATCCTTTTATCCTTTTTCGTGCTATTGCTAGTAAATCAAAATAATTACATTCTGTACTGTTTTCAAACCTCAATGAAATTAATGAAAATGGTGATAATTTAATAAGTCAAACACTTGACTAATTTTAGGTGTTCCAGAGAGAGCCCGGTATTTTCCAAAACCGACTGTCATTTAACCTTTGAATAAATAGTGTGTACTTTCTGTGGCAAAAAGATCGATAGAAATAGCTGAGAGACGTGCGAAACAAAGGACCCGCATGGTGTGGTGGTGAACGCGTTACTCCCCGGAAAGGACAATAGCGCGTTCGTTCCCCACCATAGACACCTGCGGTCCAGAGTTTTGCAAATATCTCAGCAACGTTGTGGTTGTATTTCGCTTACTTAGTAACCTGCCATGAAAATTATAGAAGGCAGAAAACAAAACGTTAAACATTGTGATTTCAACTACAGCCATAGCTTAACTGGGTTCTATGCCGATTTGCGCTCCCCAGATCAACCCCGCTGACGGGTGATTGCTGTGGCAAAAAGATCGATAGAAATAGCTGAGAGACGTGCGAAACAAAGGACCCGCATGGTGTGGTGGTGAACGCGTTACTCCCCGGAAAGGACAATAGCGCGTTCGTTCCCCACCATAGACACCTGCGGTCCAGAGTTTTGCAAATATCTCAGCAACGTTGTGGTTGTATTTCGCTTACTTAGTAACCTGCCATGAAAATTATAGAAGGCAGAAAACAAAACGTTAAACATTGTGATTTCAACTACAGCCATAGCTTAACTGGGTTCTATGCCGATTTGCGCTCCCCAGATCAACCCCGCTGACGGGTGATTGCTGTGGCAAAAAGATCGATAGAAATAGCTGAGAGACGTGCGAAACAAAGGACCCGCATGGTGTGGTGGTGAACGCGTTACTCCCCGGAAAGGACAATAGCGCGTTCGTTCCCCACCATAGACACCTGCGGTCCAGAGTTTTGCAAATATCTCAGCAACGTTGTGGTTGTATTTCGCTTACTTAGTAACCTGCCATGAAAATTATAGAAGGCAGAAAACAAAACGTTAAACATTGTGATTTCAACTACAGCCATAGCTTAACTGGGTTCTATGCCGATTTGCGCTCCCCAGATCAACCCCGCTGACGGGTGATTGCTGTGGCAAAAAGATCGATAGAAATAGCTGAGAGACGTGCGAAACAAAGGACCCGCATGGTGTGGTGGTGAACGCGTTACTCCCCGGAAAGGACAATAGCGCGTTCGTTCCCCACCATAGACACCTGCGGTCCAGAGTTTTGCAAATATCTCAGCAACGTTGTGGTTGTATTTCGCTTACTTAGTAACCTGCCATGAAAATTATAGAAGGCAGAAAACAAAACGTTAAACATAGTGTGTACTTTCTTAGATGGCTAAGCTAACAACTAACACGGTGTTGACTGAAGAAAAAAACGTTATTGGGATAGCGTTTCGATGTGTTCGCCTCCGTCAGAGCCATGATGGTTCAAGTCGATGGTCCACACTCGTACATATTTATGATGTGCGTCTTCTTCGTCACATTGAGTCGAATCTTCTGGAGTATAGATCCGCTGTAACGAAGTTTGTTCACTTGGCAGTACCCATTTATACAGGATGGTTGTTGATCAATTACCATCTTCTCTGATCTGTAACTATGGTGGCAATTCATTATGGAGTCGCTTATTATCGGTCATTTATTAGATAACATATTGCAAATGGCGAAAAACGAAACGTTAGCCCTGTAGAACATCCATAACAACATCGTGATATAGCAACAATCACGACTCAACGACATCTGACCCTGACCATTATAGGTTTCTTTGAGGGTGATCTCCATTAGATAACTGAAAAACCTAGAAAGAGCAACACTACTCTGAAGAGGGACAAACCGCTAAAATTTCAGCCACTGTTGTACTAAATGAAATTGTGCCTGCTCATCAAGAAAGCAGTGAGTTAGGAATTTCATTACCAATGCCTTTCAGTCACAAAGTAAGGCTCGATCTCTATCTCTGTCTATAGCCATCAATGAATATTCTCAAAACACATCATTTTCTTTAATTCGCTTTCACTCAGCTTTGGAGTTGAGTATCTGTTTTCGTGATGTGTCGGTTCACTCAGAGCTGGAATGGACTGGCGACCCAGTGACAGTTTACGTCACCGCCGCCTTCAGATAGCGGCGGTGCCGACGAAAAAGGTCGCACGAATGTGCTACGGCGCTGGTATCAACAGATGTGGCGTTCTTTCGTCCGTCTTTACAAAGGGGAAAAAGCCATGGAAGAATCGTATGGAGCAGTGAATACAACGCAAAGCGCGAAAACGAAGCATGAGGACTGAGTAGGGAACTTAGTGGGTATTCGATTGGCTGTAAAACCTTAGAAAATGATCTTCACACTATAAATGGGAGCATGTTTGTTTTATCATGAGATCTTTACCGTGTGTCTCTTCACAGCTCATTACGCATTTAACTGCATCAAAATTATAACCATTCAGGGAAAAGATGCCGCTGACCACTAAACATCAGTTGACGATCGAAAAGAGTCCTGCGTACTTTCATAGCAAAACCGCGGCCGAGCGCATCCGAGCGTTGAATCCAGCGATGAAAATCATTATCGTGGTGAGGGAACCGGTAATGAGGGCGATCTCAGGTTTGTGATATTCAACTGATCGTCTTTCAAAACAAATTTTTTACTTCTTATGTTTTTATAGATTATACGCAAACGTTATCGAAGAGAAAAGCACTGGGAAGAATGCCGACTTTCGAAGACATGGCCGTCGGTGACTGTGCGCCATGGCTGAAGACAAATTGTTCCTCGAAAGTTGACGGCGTCAATATTGGATGGGGAGCAATCCGTATTGGGATATATCACCAACACATGAAGAGGTAAGTGTTTAAGTGCTTCAATGGGCGAGCTGAATTTTGCTAATGAAAGCGTTTTCTGTTTAGATGGCTGGACAACTTTCCTATGGAGCAAATCCATATCGTGGACGGAGAGCGGTTGGTTTCAGCACCAGCTCTCGAGGTCAGTCAAACCGAGAGGTTCCTAGGACTTGAACCAGGTGAATCACTAACTCTGCTGGTTCGTTTGAATCAACCAAAAGTCTGCTTTTTCAGTGGTGAAGGTGGAGGATTTCGACATCGATCCAGTGAAAAAGTTCCCGTGTATTCGTCGGCGTGATGGTAGTCTGCACTGCTTGGGGAAAACCAAAGGTCGTAGGCACCCCATTGTCAAGTCCGATGTGTTAAGACGTTTGAAGCGCTTTTATGATGAAAAGAATCGACTATTTTTTCGAATGATCAATCGTAGCTTTTCGTGGTAACAGTATTGGTCTTGCATTTCCTTGTCTGCTCAACTAATCTAGTCAAGCGTCGCTGCCTTCTTGACCCCTTCTGAATACGAGTTCGCTTCCACCCGATGACACATGCTAGTATTATTTATGTTCATGTCCTGATTTTTGCTGTACTTGCCTACTGAACCATCGCTGTTATAAGTTCCAACCTCGTGCTTATTTCTCCATTGTTGTTTTCTTTGCTATGTTCTCCATATTCAATTTTATGTTTATAATGTACGAAGTCAGATTTGGAAACTATCGGGTACTGAAATATTTGTGATACAATATGTGTATAATTTATGGCTAAAAAATCTAAAATTGGTTCTCTGTAAAATCTTTCCTTCTTTACTATTTACTTTTCTTATTGTTATGAATGGGAATCAAGCAGTAATCGGTGGAAGTGTTCCAAAAAGGAAAGCTTGCCATGTTTGATTACTGCACGAAGAACTTCTTATTAATATCTCACTTCGCTTCTAAGACAGCCAATCGCGACGATTTCGTCGTAATTGCTGTTGGTACTGTATTTGGGAAAATACCTTCACCACGTTTTGGCAAATTACCTATGGTGGAATCACTTGATTCGATGTTGAAAAAACAGTTTTTTTGGGTTGCAGCGGTTTTCCTAGTTCTTATTTGGTTTTCTTTTGAGCGTCTCATGCAATTTTCGCTGGCGCTAAACGATCTCGAGCAGCAAGCAGAGAGGTTCCTTGGGAATAGTGGTGATATGGAGAATGGAACCTTAACTAACGGGCAGATCTTTCCAGGAAGAATAAACCTCTAGTTCGTTTGGAAAATTTTGGTGCCTTGTGTAAACGAAGATCATGGTGGGTCATAGTTAAAATAAACTCCTTTCCATTTAAGTCGAAAGAGGGTGACCACCGCTAGCAATGACCTGATGGTGTTCTAGCCATGGATCCTCAAAGAATTTAAAGACCGGAGCTCTTGTAAGGCGTTGAAGTACATTTTTACACCTTCTCCAAATCTGCCACGTTCGCTCACTTTTGAGCAATACAGTTTGCTGATTTTTCGATCGCTGGCAGCAAAATGGATACAGCACAGAGCGCTTCCTATTCCAATGGAGCACCAAGATAGAGGTTAAGTACCAGAAGCAACGAGTTGTGCGGTACATTTTTTCGGTCAAAACCGCCTTATTGTAACTCTCCAGTGCAAGTTAATCTGTGTTACTTTTAATGGTAAGAATTCTGCGAACATCATGGTGATGTCTCGTAACATTTTTTAAACTGTTAATGATCTACACAGTTACTTCTATGACAACTACCAGTATAGTTATGAGTAGTACGGTAATTGACCGTTTTTATCCAGACAAAGAAGTAAGGATAAAGTTCTCGGCGTTGATCAATCTCTGAGGGATGCGCCATGCATTCGACTTCATTATGTATCGTTGGAGGTGATTAAATGCATATCAGGCTTTCACAATAACTCGCGATAGCTTACCGATGTATCGATCCAGTGCTCCTATCCTCCCAGACAAGTCTGGTACCAATTTGCCGACCCCGGAGGTATGGAAGGTTTGGTGGGCCATGGGAGCGAGGATCGATTCCACGTGTTTGTTGTAGGATGCCTCCGACCACTGCGCACGTTTCAATGAAAAATAGGATTGTAGGCGTTCGGAAAAGGGATGATGGTGTACTATTGACAATAGTATTTCTTTTCGTATGGAATACATTACATTTTCCAATATCTTTTTGTAGGAAAGCACGGCAGAGGCATCAATTAGATGACCGATTCATTTCTTTGAGTATAAAGTCACGAACGTTGACACCATTTATCTAACTCCTTCTCGAATCTCCGTGTTAAAAGATCGGTCACTTATCGCTCTTACACAGCTTCCCTTAACCTCGGCATGACTAATCAACATGTGTTTAAATTACCAAAATGTCAAGTCTAATGTGGAGCGAAGTTCCACTAGTGAAAATCCGACCCGATGCGACGGCGAAGATACCACATCGAAAGTACGAAGAACTGTTGGACAACGAGTGGAACCGTCGGCTCTGAGTAAGACGAAGACGTCTAAACGTCAATCGAATGAAATTTATTTATCAACCTCGTACAAGCTCAGCAATTTAATTAGATACCTTTCTTACAGAGTTTAGTTGGTTATGAAGATCTAAATGCCTTCTGTGAAGAATGAACACTTACTTGGATAGTTGGACGGTCCGTCTTCACGAGTTGTGTGGACTCCAGTACATTTGTCATTCGCTTCTTTTCCTCGCAGTCGCTGTCCATGGTAGTGGACTGATTCGAGCATGGTGTCGCGTGCGAGTCTCGTACCGAAATCTGTAAAATAACTGCAGCTTCGAGCACAGTTAATTATACTTGGTCACGGATACGTTGGCCCAGCGAGTTGGTGGCGGTCTCAGGGGACGCCTATGTTCTCGTGTAGTCCACCATAAAGTTCATTTCGTCGATCCGTTGTCTGTTCTTCCTATTATGTGAGCTTCCGATTCGTGTTTCGCTATCGATGCATGTTATCCTGGATCCCAAAGATGGGACAGATTTCGAAGATTAGAGCTTCGCATTCCGGCTAGATATTAAAAGTGCCGGTTATATTTCAGAAAACATCGTTCAAAGGTCTTGTGAGTAGTGCGGAGTTTTCTCGACTTGGTTGAAGTATCAGCCTACATCTCTGCAGCATAACAGAGCGCTTGGAGGACCGTTGAATCGAAAAGGTGAGCGGGGATTTTAGGGTCCTTCAGTTGGTCTGTGCTTCTTTGAGAGGCTCGAATGCGGCCCAAACTGCTCTCTTTCTTTTATCTAGTTCCTCCTTCACGTTGTTTTCCATGTTCACTGTTTGCCCAAGGTAAACGCACGAGGCGGTCTCTGCAATGAGAGAGCCATCCAATTCAATTTTTTCGCCTTTGCACCATGGGTTTTTCATGAACTGGGTCTTTTTTCGATTTATGCGAAGTCCGATCTCTTTCCCCGCTTCGTTGAGCTCTTTGATCATCACCTCTGCTTCGCTAGTACTTCTTGAAAAGATAATAATGTCATCGGCAAAACGAAGGTTTGATAGGAATTTTCCATCAATACGTATACCTTTCTCATCCCAATCGAGTGACTTTATTATCCACTGCAGTGCGGCACTGAGCAGCTTCAGCGATATTGTGTCGCCTTGTGGAAGCCCTTTTCTTACGAGTGTAGTAAGCGGCCGTTGGAAACCCTTTATTTTCGTGGTGCAGTTCCGATAACAGTCAGACAGAGTTCCATCGTATGTGGGATGGGTTCACCTCTTCGTGGACAAGCGTTGATACGATTGCATTCAGTTTCGACAATGTGAAAGGCTTTTCATAGTCGATAGATGCCAATACTAGAAGCAGGTGGTATTGCTGTCAAACTGTGCGGCCCATGCACAAAATCCTTGTCGAAATTCTGTTTGCTCGTCTGGTTGCGCCTCATCCAATGTCATGATATACGCAAAAGGATGATCCTCGTGAAGAGCTTGTAGAGTACACTCAACAAGCATATCGGGCGATAGTTAGGAAGATCGCTTCAGTCACTTTTCTTGAGCAAGAAGACAGGCCTCAACGTCTTTCACTGGTATGGGATTTTCCCCTTTTAAAGATGGACTGTCATATGGTTTGCGAGAAGTACATGCAAATTGTGGCTTCCAGCCCTAAGGAAATCGTCGGCGATATTATGGAGTTCTGGAACTGTGCCACTTTTCATGCTTTCTATCGCAACTCGAACCTCCGGCGGAAGAATTCCAGGTGGTTTTACTCCAGCGGGGATATCAGGGCCCGAGATGGGGACGGAAAAGGTTGGTGTAGAACGTTTGCGCTATTAATTCCATATCATGTTGAAAAGCTTTCGTGATCCAGTCCTTCATATATCGATGCCAACAGCGTAATGCCATAATCGCATAAGTGCCGACGACATTTTTTCGGACTGGTTCTTTTCTCTGCTGCTTCTAGTACTTTTTTCTGCCTGTACCGATGTAGTTCTTCCTGAAAGGCTCTTTTGCTACTGGCATTTAGTATTAGCCGTGTTTAATGCGTTGTAATAGAATCAAGCTTCAGTTTTCTTCTTTTCACGAGCAACTCCTTGGTCGTAATGAAAATGCAACCTAATGTTCTTACCTGAGGAACGGAGGCGAATCCGGCACTTTTCAATCTTTCAACAAGCAGCTCGTAGCCTTTGGTTGGATCTTCCTTAATCTGACAGTCGCGTTTGGATTGGACTTTGTTCAGAATGTTTTGCCTTTTATTTTTAGCCTACTACAATTTTCACGGCAGGGTACCAAGCGAAATACAACCACAACGTTGCTGAGATATTTGCAAAGCTCTGGACCGCAGTTGTCTATGTTGGGGGACGAACGCGCTATTGTCCTTTCCGGGGAGTGACGCGTTCACCACTACACCATGCGGTCCTTCGTTTCGCCTGTCTCTGAGCTATTTCTATCGGTCAGCGCCATCAGCAATCACCTAGCTGAGAGAAAGTTCCGCTGACGGGACTCTTATGCTTGTAACAGTGTGCTCGATCTCTATATGAGTTGAGCAGTTATTATACTCCCATTTCCAGCGGCAGCATTCTTTCTTGTGGAACAACGAGCTTCCATGGAAGAGATGACTTGCAGACGGAAGTATTGGGGAACAGTTCCCATTCTCATCTCCTTCTCCTAATCCAAATTTTCCGATCCTATGTTCACTCCCGTTCCTCTTTCTTATTCTGGCATCGAAGTCTCTAACAACGGATTTATAAAAGGACGTTGTAAATAACTTCTTCAAAATGAAAGTAGAAAGTATCTACTTCGTACTCATCAGCTGTATCGCTCAGTAAATACCAATTGATGAAACTAATCTTCTCGTGGCGTATTGGCTGAAAGCAAATGATGGTCATGTAAGGGGAAAGAATCTCGTACGAGTCGATGAGATGGGCAATAGACGGGTGGACGACAAAGCGTGCACTACTGATATTTCGTGAACAGACCTTCTCTCAGTTGGCAACAAGCTGTTCTCGTTGTTTGGTTGGCGCATGTTGGCCTGCCTGATTTTTGTTTCTTGCAGTGCGATCACATGAAATTTGATGTCCTTCTAATGATTCTCACTGAATATTGGTAAAATCTATCTTTCATGTGCTCTTGGCAGAATTGCGCTAGAGCGTCACCAGAAAAATTGGAGAAAGCTAGCTGATCCCATAGAAGCCTCTCTTCCGACTCTGTCGACAAAATACTCTCGACCACACCTGGGGTCGAAGCATCTCCGCGCTCTTGATGAACAATACCGCTTACCACTACTCTAAGCCCACTAGCTTCAACATTGGATTATGAGATCTCACGAAAGAAGAATATTTCATTCCGCACCTAAATGTTTAGTTAGGCCAACCTGCAGACGAAGAGATTTTTCTAGTTCTACTTTTCTTCCTTGAGCCGTCCAAACATGAAGATGCTTCTGTTCGCATGTGGATTCGTCGGCGGCTTTAGAATCCGTCGTATTCTGTGCTTATTAACATTGTGAATGTAGGTTGAGCCCGATATTTCTCGCAATCTTAGAAACGGAATGTGCGAACTGGGTTTCAAGGTGAAGGACCGAAACGCAATAGGAATAATTTTGTTCCACCTGAACTGTTTTTCGTGTAGAATGAACTCATGGATGAACATGCGAATGCCAAATGATACAACAAACAAAGAGTCTTTATAAACCAAGAATTGTCTGCTTAACATCGAGAATTCTAGTTCAGGCTTCTCATTTTCTATCGTTACATTTAATTTGAAGTAAGAAATTGAACTCACACGACGTGGGCGCCGTAGGTGTTGACAGGCGTGGAACCTTTTACAATTCGTTGACTACTCGGTGCACAGCACAGTAAATGACGTGATATAGTAAGTAAGGCTTGGTACTTATTTTATAATTTAAAAGCCCTTTCTTACGTTGAATCTCGTGGGAGCTTTCACAACTTCTTAAGCGATTGATAACCCATTTGTTGCACAAAATTTACTCAAAATAGACGTGATTGGAGTTCCTTAAGTCGTCGTCACCAGAGGTAGTGGTAGAACCTTATGTACCAGCAGGAGATTTTTCTCCTTATTACTATGGTGCTGCAAAACCCACTTTGATTTCGACATTGATTTGCTCTTAACTCGGTTTCGGGATAGAAATGACGAACTTTCCAGCACAGGAAACTTTGATAGTTGGATGAATCCTTTTGTACATCACGGTTCAACACCTAGGAGCTGCCTTCAGCTGCTCTGAAGCAATAAATCATTGCGGGGACAAATGAGATGTTAGGTTAAAAAGTATGGCTAGACATAGCGTAAAATTTTTACTTCACACGTTAAAACAAGAACACACGAACGAAATTAATAGCTGTACGCGATAGAAAAATGCTTTGCGACCATTGAAATGCAACAGATTTCCAATCATTTCTTGATGTTTTTTGTGGTTTCCACGGTCATGAAGCAGATTCAAGCGAACAGCTTGTGGTGACAACAAAACGGTATCACCTAGGCGCTACCAGGACCATCCGTACCGATCTTCCAAATTCCCTGCATTCACATTTATGGCCTTGTAAAAGCGGGATAGAGGTCACAACTATTATTTCGATGTCAGCGACTGTCAATAGGCAGATAAAGCGCGAAGCACCCTGTTCGCTAACAACGTGCTAGTAAATATAAAACTATAAAACTATGAAACAACGAAGGAATCATTGATACACAAGGATACAACAATTAGTAAATTGCAGTTTCGTGCAAAAATTGCTTTCCATGCCGCCGATCCAGATCATTCATTACAAATTCCTTGCTATTGCTTAAGTCAAAAGTAGCTTCTTTGTTACCATTTCGATAATATGTCGTTAGAGTCGTATAACTACGATTTTTTGGAAGGCGACGGAGTGACGGTGTTTCGTTGTAGTTTAGATTTTGTGCTGAATATACTGGAGGGAACGACTCTGGCAATGGAGTGACGGCTCCAGTGGATTTTCGAGAATGTTCAGCAGCTAAATGTGCAAGTGTCAAGCAATACAGTGATAGAAAGTCCATATTTCTAAACAAAATTTAAAGAGAGAAGAAAAACGAGGAAGTGTCCTACATTGAACTCGGTTGCGACGAACACTATTGCTTCTCCTAACTGATTCGCTACGTCGATTTACCCGATTGCTTTTTGGACGAAAGGAGCCACCTGCACTTTGGAAAAATAACGCATAAAAGTTATCAAGATGACGTGCCATTCAGCTCACCATCTGACCAAAATTTCGAGAATTCCTTCACGTTTCGATTAGTGTTCCGCTGTGACAGCTGTCTACGCATCATTGGCGCCGTTGACGGTGCTGGGCGATACTATGCCATATTATAAGCTATTTATATTGCCTAGGAAGATATTACAACATTAATGGATTACAATCTATATGCAGCATACAAGGGCGCGTGTGGTGCAATGGTCGAAGGAGCCCTGCGTTACACACGTAGAATCGATCCCCGTGCCTATGGCCCTCCAAGCCTTCAATCCCTCCGGGGTCGGAAAATTGGCATCATACTTGCCTGGGAGGATAGCAACACTGGCTCGATACATCGGTAGGCCCCCACGAATCATTTCAAACGCCAGATATGCATTCTATCATCTCCAACGATACTTAATGAAGTCGAATGCATTGCGCATACCTCAGCGATTGATCAACACCGAGAGCTTTATCCTTATTACGCAGCAAACGACAAGAGCAGGCGCGTTTAGCGCAGTAGTTAGAGGTTCCTTGCAATACCTATTCGTTCTATCACGCGCTCCAACCTTACACTCTTCTATCCTTTCAGGGTCGGCAAATTGGTGCCAGACTTGTCTGGAAAGGTAGCAGCACTAGCTCGATACATCGGTAGGCTACCGCAAATTAATGTGTAAGTTAGATATGGACTTGGCCACTTTTAACGGTGCTTAATTAAACCGAATGAATTGCGCATCCCTCAATGGTTGTTCAATGCCGAGAGCTTTTACTTCAGCTTTACAACAAACATGGTCCTACTGTTCGTGCAGATGCGCGTACTGGTCCTTGATCCACTGAACTTGGCTGCCCGATTAGTTGATTGACTGGAGCCCATAATCTGGAAGTGAAACCATTATTTGTTCCGAAATTCTTCACTTCATTCTCAATTTACTCCTCTTCGACAAAATTATGAGTTCCGCAGACACGCGAAATTACCGATCAATCAATGCTTTCTAACTTCGAACAAATTACTATTGGTGGAGAATATCTAGTAGCCACAAGAATGCTGAGATGTATGCAGGACCAAATCACACGTGTGGCGCAGTGGTCGGAGGCGCTCTGCAACGCACACGTGGAATCGATCTCCGCGCCCATGGCCCACCAAGCCTTCCATTCCCCGGGGTCGGCAAATTAGTACCAGACTTGTCTGGGAAGATAGCAGCACTGGCTCGATACATCGGTAGGCCACCGCGAGTCATTGTAAAGGCTAAATTTGCATGCAATCACCTCCAAAGGATGCGTGATGAAGTCGAATGCATGGTGCAATCCCTCAGGGATTGATCAACAACGAGGGCTTTATTATTTATTTATTTATACGTGTATCTATGCATATGCACATGTATATATATATATATATATATATATATATATATATATATACATGTGCATATGCATAGATACACGTATAAATAAATAAATAATAAAGCCCTCGTTGTTGATCAATCCCTNCACATATATATATATATATATATATATATATATACATATAAGCATACGCGTGTGCAATAGGAGGAACATTTGCCGAAACGTCAGCTACGATTGTGTTGTATGCGTGTTGTTGTATGGAAGTAAACGTATGCTGTTTAACAACCTTGCAATTGCTGAGAAAGAAAACAACGAATTTATAATCCAATGCCGAGCTTAATAGAAAGTCGATCCTGGAAGCATTCTTTTGGTTGTATTCCACAAAATGTCCTGCGACGAAAAAGAATATGCAGTAAATGAGGTTAAACATTATGGCATCCACTGATCCTTTGAGGGAGATGGTAATGAAGAGCGGTCTAAGTGAGAAAGGATTTGTACAAGAATATGATTCATCGCATTAAATCATACGCACAAACCATTACTTTGGCTGACGCCTTCATTTTGTTTCCGTCTACCCCAATGGTTTTCTTTTTCTGCGAATGATTTACTATTGGTCTGTTTACGATCTGATAAAGAAGAAAGTGTTCGCGAAACATTCCACTGTGCACGCATTAAATAACTTGTAATCAGAGTATTCGGTTATTCAGCTACTCATGTCACTTTGGACTAGTCCTTTGAATAATCGCAGGAATTGCTATATAGTTCTTAAAGAAGCCCAACCTCAATGCATCAAAACATTCTTCCTTCCCAAAGTACTAGCTACTTCCTGCCTTTGGTGGAGAGCAAAGACCCGATCATTGGTAAACAGCACTCAAACTGTTAATGGGAAAAGCGAATGGCTGATCGTTAAGTGGCAGTGGAATTCTATAAATTACGGTTGGATGAAAACGAAAGGGTCGAAGTAATGGCGGGGCCGTCAAGTTTTCTGAGAATTGGGGGTCCATGTGTACGCATCATTCATCGAGCAAAAGAGCTTCCTACTTTGCCTTTTTAACAGAATCGCTTTCATTTAGCACTTAGATCTGAGGTTCTAATAAAGTTTTTAGTTTGTAGAGACACAAGAAGTACTTGATGCGAATAATTGAGAGTTTTCTCGGAAGATTTTGATCTGGTGGCACGCTGATGACAGTCGCTGGTGATAGATCGCAATCGTTTACGGATTGAAGATAACACATCTGGCTAGTGGTATGCCTCATTACATGATAGGCAGCAGTTCGATAAATGCTATAACATGACCGTGCCCGATTCTGTTCGATTTGCTTTTTATAGGCTTCGTGGCTTGTCCAATCAAGGCTTTCACTGCTTATCAGATTAGACCAGTTCATCGGCTTGTCAAAAAAAAGAGTGAACAACGCGTTTGGAAAGGCGTCTACTGTGAGTACTTGCTGGAAATGATGATCGAAACTTACGGAGATTGGAAACATCACTCTTATTCGAAGACTACTGTGTACTGCACTAGTTGTGAGAGCATTCCAGTTCAACTATAACTGAATGAATGGAAACCGTTACTAGCGATGACCAACTCCACAAACCAAGCTGGAGGCGACTGACTTGCCGATTTTTACACAATTTAATTTGGATTAACGTTATTTTACCAACACGAGCTAGTCTTACTGAGCAGTGCACCTATTCACGTGCAACGATCAAAACATTCCTTCAAGAACTTGATGACGGGAAATGAAGTTCCGATGCTCGATGCTCTGCAACAGCGGAACATTCAGAACCTGATTGCAGTGGGGAAAACCGATATTAGCTTAGAAAAGAAGGACCACACCGCGCACAAACACACAAACACACACACATACACACATATATATACATATATATACATATCTATACATATATACATATATACACATACATATATATACGTATATGCGCCACCTGCCCGCCCACAAGGACCTTCTGTACTGTACTGTTGGTGGTAAGACTGGAGCAATAGGCAGCACTGCAAGCTTCTGTGCTAAAACGACTGACTCGACACAAATTTCTACAGCGGAACACACTGAGGTGTGCTGGATTTCATCTCAACTGCAGTGCTAGACCATGCTTATCTTCGACAGTTCGTTAGCGGAAAACACTTTGCTGGTAAAAGGGTTCTCACATTGCAAGCACATGAAAACTGCTCAATCGCCTCCGCTCGCTCAAGGGACATGAGGAACACCATATTTGGTGTAACGCCTTTTTCAGAATCTTTATGGTGACAAAGTAATAAGTTTTGCCTTAGTGTTGGTCTACTTCTAGATGGATATTCACATAGAAATATCGAGCTCTCTCTCAGCTCAGTTGTACCCGATAAGGGTATAGTAGTTATACTATATGATGAAGTTCAAGATGTGGTAGCAGGCCACTGGGAGCTATCAAGAAATGTCAACCAATAGCTCATCAGAAATCCTTTTAAGCTGCTTACTGGATGATTTACCCAAGTATTAGCCGCTTGAATCTTCATAAACCAAGGACTTCGATGGTGTTTTATCTTCAGTGTAATCTATATTTCGGCTTCCTAGTATTATAGCTCTCTGAGTTTAACTAAGAAGTCTTATATTTCTCTTGTTTTGTGATCACTTCACTAAACGATGGCGAACTGTGCTGCCTAAATCCATTAGAAAGGTAGTGTAAAGCAAGAAACTCCAGCGATCCGTCAGAAATATGAGGACAATCTTGTTTGGGCATTAATACGAGATTTTCTGGAGCGGCCCTTGTTGACGGAAGTTGCTAGAATTGACTGATAGTTTTTTGAATACTTCATGAAGTGTAGAAACCCTGTATTATCAAGAACTAGACGAAAAAAGTGGTAGTCGTTGAATGAAGGAAGATCAGCATATTAAAATAGTCAGAATAGAAGCATATAAAGCCTTCACTTGCATGGCAAGTGTTCACAAAACATTATGTGAGTTTCAGCTTAACTTCCATCAAACTGATAGAATCTTATGCCATTTTCAAGGCTTGCTTCCTGGAAATCCATGTAAGCTCAATCAGGCTTGCATGGAATTTCGATACACACCTTGCTCACTCTGTTGCTACTCTACAGGACACCACAGTTGACATACTACCACAGCAGCTACTAACTTTATGTTACCACGCCACAAGCTATCACGATCTTACGTATACCCTAGTTCTTTTGAGAGCACGCCACAGGCAATGCCATCAGTAATCGAAGATGTTAGGACTTTTAGGGGCAATATCACGAAGAGGTACCAGCTTTGGTTTCAAGTCTATACCTAACAAGCAATAAGCTCGTTAGGGTAAACGAATACACCAAAGAATAAGTAAAAGGATAAACGGTAATGAACATTGAACAGATTGACATGCTAGCAAGATGAAAACCGCAGTTAATGTACACCAACGGAAAGTCGACGTGAACGAAAAGTGTTGGGCGTGGGCATAAGTAACAAGCCACTTCCCTAAATCCCTGAGGACCGATTTTCTCCACATCTGTGACCTATAAACACAGATTCTAAACTTCAGAAGAAATTTTTGGCGTCGCGATCGAACGCATCCTTCGAAATTTTTAGAACGATCTGACAAAGAAGTAATAGTTAATAGACTTACTGGTTCCACTCAGATAAAACAACACCTCGAAGCTTCTTCAGTTGCACTTGCACTTAAGCACTAGAATGGACCATCCTCATTGGTATTACGGGTCCCAGCATAATCACTATGCTTTCGAAGTTCTGTTGGTTAAGCCATTATGGTTCCCTGGAACCCCAAGGTCAGTATGGGCAAAGTCTGCCCCAGTTCGTCACTACCACAGGCAGTCGCGGCCCTTGTGCATCAGAGAGAGATTTGCCGCCATGCGACTAATTTGATACCAGGACGGTGATGGATCTTGTTATTGGCTTCCTAGTTCTTCACTTGGAATAATAAAATCGAATTAAATCGAAGAAATTTAGTGGGGCAGGAGATGGTCTTTATGAAAGTGCCACAATTAAAACGCGTCTCCCTAAATAGAAAGCTTATCGAAAAATTTTCGAGCAATGTTTGCACTTTTGACTCCCCAAAGGATTACTGGAATACGAATAGAGAGGAGAAAAATGCAGAGAAACGTCCAACATCACTCAAATCGGTTCGTATTTTTTACTTTTCCGGAAGAACACTTGAGGAGAACGAGAGCATCGATACGCTTTAAGAAATGCTGCAATGATGTTGAAGAAGCATTCGAATGCAATCTCGAACAGATGTCACTCGACTTTCTACAGTAGAACTTCAGTAATTTTCAAACTAATTTGGCTAAAACGTAAAGAACATCCTTATCTACATGGGCAAGATTTTAAGAACAAGCGACTCGGTTTGAAAGGTGCTTTAGAAGCCACATGTTGTGATAGTTAGCTTAATATTTATACACAATGAGGCATTGGCATACGTGTACCGCAGTGGTTAGAAGTGCCATGCAATATATGCACGGTTCTCGGTTTGATAATGCACCGGAGACAAGCCGTTCATCCTTAGGGAAGGGCAGCTTTGTAAGAGATTTGCCTGCAACGATAAAGGGACGAACTTACTGAATCTGCAAGACGCCTATACATACTTAAAGGTTTTAAGACTTGGAGATCATTAAGGCTTTAAACCTAAGCCCACTGACGGGTGGTAGCGTCATGTAGAAAACTAGCCAAGAGAAACGCAGATAAAGGGCCTCCGTGATGCAGTGTGTAATACGCGAGCTCCGGAAAAAGTAACCGTGGTTCGATCGGATTCGGGGTCCAAGTTTTGCTAATATCTCAGCATCGTTTTGGTTGCAATTCACACCATACTCTGCCGTGCAAAATCACAAAAGGAAGAAAATAAAAAATAACATTGAGACTTTATTTTGTTTGAAAAATATTTATTAATTCATTATATTATATCCAGAATATCCAAAATAGCGTTACTACAAAGCCTTTGTAAACAACATTCGCCAACGTTGGTCGATCACAGGAAGCTTCGCCCAAAAGAGTCTAATATCAATATGCCAACTCCGTAACCCTGTTCCTCGGAGAACCACTGCATGAAGTTCTGAGGTCACGTTACTCAAAAGCAACAGTCGTGCTGTATATAGGTGCCGACTGACGCCACTTCAATCGGGCAGGCATCGCTTCATTGCACTCGATTCGATTCGATTCGGCTACGAAAGTCTACATCGCAAAAAAAAACTGCTGTAGAGACTCAAAGTGAATCATCGGAGCCCTAGAGAAAGTTATGCCGCTGAAATGTCAGTCAAAATAATGGTTTGCAACAGCCTCGTCTAAGCCCAACAATAAATAGAGAACACGTATTCTTGTAAACTAAAACGAGCGATTTGTATCGATGATACAATACGAACCTCTAACTTCTGTAGTTCAACCTCTATACATATACGCATTTATATGCATGTAGATAGTAAGCCAACATACAAATATTAACTAGTGATTAAGGACTCACACAAACAATAAATGGTAGCTGGCTCCTCCAAGGAATTGATTAAATGTGATGACGAACAAATGACATACCCTACAAATACAGCTCTAGTAAGGAAGACTATTAAGAGGGAAAGCTGAAAACCAGCGACATACAAAGAGCAACTTGGCATGAAAGGCACAGCGCTGCTTATGAGCGGCGGGCTATTTGCGTCATGCGATGGGGTAGACCGTTTTAGAGGGTTGCGATTTTGATGTAGCAAGTTATCATTGGGTGTCTTAATAAGATGTAAACTATTAAAAACAAAGAATAGCTAAAGGCTTGCCATCGATCAATGGCAGCCATGATCTTACGCAAATCCGAGTGCTAAAAGTAAAGTTACTCCTCTTGATGCATTAGATGACAATTGGATTTGGAATAATATGCGAATAACATAAGGAACACATGACAGTATTAATATAACAATAGGATTTCATATGAGGTAAAGAATGGTCTCTACAACTTAGTTGTTTTTAAATGACTTACCAGATAATCGGGATACTGTTCCCTAGAGAGCGGACTATATGGCCAATCACATACAAATAACAACCTGGTCGATGCAAGTGCGATAGATCTAATTTTCAGAGTACTTTACAATGCTCAGTAGAAATAGTTTTTTCTGCAAATTCCCATTTATACTAAAAAATTTTCACTCATCAACCCTGACAGCTAAAAGAACTCGATGTAAGAGTCAGTACAATGGCTTATGTACGGTGGTTTCCCTAGTCATCAGGATGCTTTCATTGTTTGGTTTTGTGTGAGCTCATAGTAGACTCCACGTCGAGACATCAGTTCTAAATGTGTTCCTAAAATCAATCCTTAAAGATATGCACGTGAAACTCTTTTCGAGAATAATTGAACTCTAGATAAATAAGTGATAGAGATTTCGTGGTTCTTGAATTCCTTAGGGATACTCCATGCATTCGAAACCATTCGTAGCATCGTAGACGTGATTGAATGCATGCTTGACCCATTTATATATATATATATATATATATATGCCTAATTTCAGAGACTTAGCAACGTTTTAGATCAGCGCTTCTATCTTCTCAACAAGTCTAGCGTTAATTTATCGATCTCGGAGGGATGTAGATGGGCTTGCTTATCATAGAGTGCGGCGTCGAACCATTGACAACATGTTTAGTGAGGTGTGCCTCTAACCTACACTACACTTGTCCCTGATTAAACTTTACCTACAGTGGATGGAACAAAGTCGGAGAGCTTATATTCAAGCGAACAATACTATCTCATAATACTTTAGATTAGAAAACATCTTTCTAAAGCGCCCAAAATTCAGCCTTGCTAAACCTAGGCACAATTTTATAAGCATAACCGCATAGCATTGGTCAAATTAATTCTTTTCTTTTCCTCATCAGTATCCTGTATCAGATGGATTCAGCAGTTGCTTGCTTCGTGGAACGAACGATGATGTTTAGCTATGAATAGAAGTATATGATGTACTTTGTCGCACGAACTTTGCTGTAAAATCCAATTTAGCAATATTAAGAAAAAATATAGCACAGAAAAAAGTAGCCGTAGGCATCCATATCTAGAAACTGCATATATTTACTACGATAGAAAGAAGATTGGAACGAACAGCTTCCATAAAGTGGCTAAACTCTGAAACCTATGTTCATTCAGTCAAACCACTTGCCAGTTAAACTAATAGTCATGCAGAATAGAACTAAAGAAAGACAAAAAGACATTGGTTTTAGTAAATTCACCTAGCCGCGATAAGTGGATTAATTATAAAGTGTTTTCTACAATGTCTTTTACAATACTTTTTTGGGGAGGGAATGTAGTAGTTTTAGAGGTGTCCCGTATTACACCTTAGGTTCGACCCCATAGCTGGGCCGACAAAGCCCTCTATCTATCGGGGTCGGAAAAGTGTTTCCAGAACGATGACAGCACGAACGCGATACATTGCTAGACAACCGCAGATCATTGTATACGTTAAATGTGCACTAGACCAACTCTACGGTTTACGAATGGAATCGAATGCAGGACGCATCGCAAGGGAATTGATTAATGTTGAACGTTCTATCCTTCTATGCTTCAATGCTTACAACTTCTGAAAAAAGCGTTCATCATGCTATGTTTTGGTATATTAAATTGATTAATGTTGAACGTTCTATCTAATGACCTTGTTCAACGATCACTCCTCCTTTCACCACAGCAATCGAATCTGCATTTATGATTGTACTCAGACGATGTGCAATCACTATGCACGTACGGCCTTCACGTGCTCGATCCAATGCCTCTTGGACTACCTACAAAAGAAATCAATCGATCACTATGGATTACATTACTGCAGTTAAAGGCTTTAACTAATTTTCACTAGTGGTTCTAAGAAAAACCCATTCATTTCGGCTTCCAAGTGCAATCAATTTTAAAAAATTGATGATGGGTATGCACTTTGACAAGAAAAACGGAAAACTAAGTTATCATTTGTGAAAAACTGACAAGCAACACTTTTAAACGAATATTGTTTTCACTCATTGGTCTTTCATGTTGTTCTCTTTGTTATAAAAGAACGGCTTAGTGCATTTAAGCACTTTTCTTCTATAAATCTCAGTGCTAACAACTATTTGTTAACAATCACAACGACGCCGAGATATGGGCAAAACTCCAAACCTCAGTTGGGGTTCAAACCCGCGATTACCGTTTCCGGGGCTCCCATGCTATGAACTGCACCAACTAAGGACAATGTTTTGCCTTTCTCTCAGCCAGTTTTCTTCACTTCTATATATTATATACTACTGTTTATGTGTTTATATTCTTGTAGTTTTTGTTTGTTAAAAGTTCCCCAGTGTGTCAACTAATTCTTTCGTTCCCTTAGGGTCAGCACTTCGTGTGCATCTTCATCTTTCATTCGAAATCACTCACAAAAATGAAGAACATGCTACTTTTGGAACATTATTAAGATGCACTCACTTTCTCACTTTCGGTGTCCAGTGCACTGGTCGCTTCATCCAGAAGCAGAATCTTCGGTCTTCTTACGAGGGCCCGAGCGATGGCGATACGTTGTTTCTGACCACCAGAGAGTTGAGTGCCTTTGTCACCAACGAAAGTCTTGTAACCCTGAACAAGAAAAAAACGAGAAAAACTTCAGCGTGAATAATTGAGGGTAAAGATTCAGAACGATTTACTCAAATGCTTACATCGGGCAGTTCACTGATGAATGAATGGATGTTCGCTTTGCGAGCGGCGATTTCTATTTCGGCCGGAGAAGGACGGTCTTAAAGAGGAAACGTGATGGCAGCAGTCAGTAAAGATTTAGCCTTAAGATTACTGGGTAATTAAATTGCCGCTAAAAATTGAATTACTATGGAATAGTTTTGACAAAAACCATCAAAAAGTCACAGCATTTCAGTGTTCCAAAGTTTAGGAATTTTTGAATTTGATTCATTGCCTTCACGATTCATTCCTACACGGAATCAGAGCAAGCATCGTTATATTCTCCAACATGTCATCTGCCTTAACTCTTTTCTATAGACAAAAATAAACAGCTCGATTAGAAAAAAGATCTATCTGAGCACTTCAAATTAACCCTAGCACATACGAGGACCTTGTATTACGATAAATTGGGGGTCAGTGGAATGTCGAGCAACTGAAGGAGTTAAAATTTTGGCTCAACTGGTTCATCCGATTGTCTAATGTTCCCTGATTTATAATATTAAGCGAAATATTGTATAGACGACAGCTGGATTCATCTCTCAGTGTGCTATATATTTTACAAATTTAAAACATTAAGCTTTTTAAAAGAATTTCTTAAAATATGAAACCTTCCACTCCATAGGCAATATTGTCCGCAATAGAACAATTGAAAAGAATCGGTTCCTGTGATACGATGGCGATTTGTGATCGAGTATGGATAGGGTTTAATGAGCGAATGTCGTGTGAGTCGAGTAACTAAAAGATAACTGGAAAACTCCAATGGACAGACACCCTTTCTCAATTAACATAAATATCAACAAATGGGCTTCATTTCCAATTTTCCGTCGACTTCCCAAAGCACATATATTTTCCGAAGGTCATCAAAAATTTTTCTTCTAGTTTCCTGCTATGTGGAAAGCTCAATGTGAAGAATTGGGAACGCCTCAACATGGCTATTCTAGGATTCCATGGAGAATTAACTCTACGAGTATACAAAGACATTTACAGAGAAGATGAAGTCCCAAAGTGGTAGCTGAATATAGACGCTAATCGGAAGGCGCTCGTGGATGACAAATGCGAGACAACGATCCAAGCGAGGAATGTTCTGGGATCCATACAATATGTGAGACCAAGCCATTAATAGTGAACGAACAGAATCCACTACATTCTTTGTTGTGACAAGTACAAGTTTTACGCTCGCGTTTACAAATTAAGCTTTTGGGATAACAGTACCATGAGCTAATGATAGTAGCTACTTTTTAACACCAAGGAGAAAGCACTGACAGAGGCCATCAGAGAAAAAATCTAGTGAGATTGCATTTTCAAAAACATCTTTTCCACATAGCGTTTCATTTCAAGTCAATATCTGAAAAGCTTAAGCAGAACGCCAACGTTAGTCATCGTACTTGTTGGTTGAAAGCTGATTGCCATAAAGCTTAAAAAGCAATGAAGTACCGATAGAAATTTCTAGACTAGAAATTCAGACAAAATAATTTCCTAACCACTTCGCCACCCTTAACATCATAAAAGCGCTCGATCAGCGATACTACGGTGCTCTTTCCGCATCCTGAAGGACCAACGAGTGCCAAGGTCTCGCCGGGTTTCACCGTAAAAGATAAACCCTGAAAATAATCAGTTCTTAGCCATGGAATAAGCACTTTTATTTGATTCAATTGTTAAATAGTGGCAATCATTAAAAGAGTTTACAACACTCTAAATTACTCTAACAAACCACAAATTAATATGCAAAATATTTCCCAGAAAAAAATGCGATGTATATCGTGCGAGTATAAATAATACTGAAGACTATCCGTAAATGCCATAAATAAAAAGCTCTTGCCATTGATCAATCCCATGCATTCGACTTCATTAAGTATCGCTGGAGGTGATTGAATGCATATCTGGCCTTTACAGTGACTCGCAGTGCCCTACCGATGTATCGGGCCAGTGCTGTTATCCTCCCAGACCAGTCCGGTACCAATTTGCTGACCCGGGTGGAGGGACAGAAGGCTTGGTGAGCCGCGAGCGCTGCGATCGTTGTCGCAGGGCGCTTCCGACCACTGCGCCACACGCGCCCTATAAATGCCATAAAAATTAATTTTGTCTAAGTATTATCTACCTTAAGGACTTCTACTTGTGGACGTTGTGGATAGGAGAATCGTACACTGTCAAATGTCAAAGCACCACTTAGATTCTGGAACAAACTCGAAATAAAATCAACAATTATCGCCGAAATGAAATCGAATCGTTTACAAAAGTCCACTTGCACAGTACCACTTTCTTTCCCTCGTTGCTGATATTATCTATAGCCGATTTCTGCTTTAGCATGTTGAAAATGATTCCGCCGGCAAATGATGCTTTCATATACTCTGGGAAGTAAGCAGATGCGAATCCAAGCGTCGAAGATGACAACGTAATGGCGTACATCACCCTGAGTTAAAGAAGGATCGACTATTAATCATACGATTGTGTATATAGATGTTTTTCAACCATGTACTGACCTCAACACTCTTATTGGTAGCATCGAATTGTTGAGAACGAGAGCAAGTCCTAATCGATACGAACAACAACCCATTACAAAGATGACAGAGGTTGCGAATCTGGATGTAGTAGTATCGTGCCATCGCACTGACCATTGATTGGTAACCGATCAATGACGGAGTGAAAAAATTCGTTGTGGGCTTTTTTTGGAAATTACATAATTTCAGAGGTGCGTGTAGCTCAGTGGTTAGAGGCGACCAGCAACACATGTAGCATCGATCCTGGGCCCCAAGCTCACCATTCCGTCATTCTTGGATCGGCAAATTGTATGAGAATTGTCTGGAAGGATAGCAGCACTGGCTAGATACATCGGTAAGCCACTACGAGACAATTTATAGGCCATATATGCATTCGATCACCTCCAACGATGCTTATTGAAGTAGAGTGCATGGCAGACCCGTCAGAGATTGATCAACGCCGACAGCTCTATCCTTTGTCCTTTTACATAACTTCATGGATGAAAATATATGCGACGCTAAAATAAACCCGCTATTACAGATATCTACCTAATTAAATAAACCATAAAAGCCTAGCTTGAGTCGACAGAAAAAATGACGTAAATCGACATGAGATAAAAGGATTCGAAGAGGCTTTCTGTGTTAGTCACACCCATAGGGTTGGGCAATGCAGAGGATCCCATTCGTAGCATCGTAGAGGTGATCGAATAAGTATTTGCCACGCAAAATAACTTCGTGAGCTTATTCATGCACCAACCAGTATTTCTTATCTTCGCAGAAAGATTTCACACTAAGTTACCGATGTAAAGCTGGTAAGTTTGCTTAGTCTGGGGAGCGCTATGGAACCAAGGACCATGTACGTGCTGCACAGCACCTCTAACCACTGCGCTACATATATCCTAAAATAATTAAATAAGGTTTTCTAATAAAGTAGCAAGGAAAGCAGTAAGTATATTAAAGGATCCATTAATGCATCGATATTTGTGTTCATTCTGTTGCATCTTCAGGTTCAGTCCAAGTGAAAGACAACTGCGGAAGAAAATTCTGATTTTCTCACACTACATTAGTGATGGAGGCCGGAGGGCTCTGCTGTTTCTGGATCTCAACGCGAAAGTTGATAAATAGCTTGGATGCTTGGGACAAAAAAAAGAAGACAAACACATGAGAGTCCCAAACCGTTTAATATGTTGCATCACCTTTTTACTTGGACGGGAATTCGAAGCGCGATAAATACCCACCCATAAGCAAGTCCCTGGATAGGAGCTTCACGAAGTGCATCATAATGTGGAGCGTCAAGATAACGGCAGAATTTTTCGTGAAACGTCTCCTCTTTGTTGAGAGCTTGTACGGTACGTACGTGCTCGATTGCCTCCATTGCAACCTAGATGAGTTCTGGCACTTTTAGAAAACTCTAGTTGAATAAAATCAATAGTCATTGTTATTATGAAAAAAATAGTTACAGGATTAGTAAGGATGGCTTGTATATATTTGAGAACGAAACATAGGGACCGACCAGAAATTCACTGCTTTACGGCCAGCTGGGGCTTCTCGCTTATGAATTCGAGCCTATGGTCAATACAATGATTTTAACGCACACACTGCACGACTCTACTCTTCGATTCATAAGACCTTTCAACTTACGCTGGGAGTAGGAAGGTTGAATGGTGTAAAGTTAAAATCAAAATTAAATCATAACCTTTCCAGAATCCTCGTAATCCTTGGCGTTTTTTCGATGCTGGCCTTTCATTACTCTTACCCGCAATGACTGGCCAATACCTTAATATATGCATTTTCTTCATCTAGAAGATACCAGTGGCAAAAAATTTTAGACGGATTTCGGATTCATTTTTGTTAAGACTATGGCTGGTTCAGCGACACAAGCTCGAAAAGCGCGAATGGAACTCAATGCATGACCAATCATAGCGAAAAAAACAGTCGTATCTTTTTCGTGCAAGACCGAGTTGGGATGAGAGCTTTAGCTGAGCATATATGCATATAACATATATATGACTACATTTGAATCTAAATAAACCCTAATGGTGCACTGAAACATCTTGAATAGTTCCTGGTATTCCTGTGAAAAGCTTGCAACGAGGACGTTTTTCAGTTCATGGAAAAAATGGAAAACAGATGCCACATGGTCAAGGATTTTCGCAATAGGAGAAACCGTTTTCAGCAAAAGCTTTAAGAGTAGACACCCAAACCATCGAAGCCACAAACGGAGTATGCTTGAGCTCGCTTAGCTGATTCCTTGTCACAGCAACTTCCAGCCAATGACGATGATTCGCATCAGCACTTACATTGACTCATCTAATAGCAGTTATTCTTTGGTAGAAGAACCAACCAATTTTAGTTGGATTTACCTATTTTGTTTTGTTTAACTCGACCAGTCGTCACGTCTGCATCGTGGAACCAAACACTTCCTTGCATTCAATTCCTCTTCAATCAATCAATCAATCAATTCTTCATCGTCTACAAAGGTTTTCGAATATTTCAAGTATTGTGCCGGCTTCTGCCTGAGTATTTCGCCTTCTCAATGAATTTCGCAGAATGTTGGTCTAGCCGATTTCCCTTGCAATCTTGGAGTTAGCTCGATATAAGGCGTTCCCATGTGGATTGGAGGAGCGTGTGGAAGATGGTCGAACCAATACTTTACTTCTTATTAGACACGAACTACTGTGCACCACCACGAGCCCTTTCTTATAAGAATTTAAATATGTACATACACATATATATGTATACATGGTTAACTTTTTATTTATTACCTATTGTTTATTTTCATGGCAGGGTGTGATGTGAAATACAGCCATCGTGATGCTGAGGTATTTGCAAAACGGGGACCCCAGGCCAGATTGAACCGCGATTACCTTTTGCGGGAGCCAACTTTTGCAAACATCTCAGATAATGGGTACATATATATACATGATATACATATACATATGAATATAAATATACGTATACATATACATATATATAGTCGCTTTTATGTTAGCGATGGGATCTAACACGCTATTACCGTTTCCGGCGGATTACGCGTTCATCACCATACCATGCGAGTCCTGTCTCGGCTTTCTCTCGGCCGTGTTATTGGTGATGGTGAACGCGTTAGCCTCCAGAAAGGGTAATAGCGAATTCGATACCCACCACAGTCATGGTCCGGAGTTTTGCAAATATCGCAGCAACATTATTGTCATAAATATATATAGTATTTATCCAAGATCTAACCAAGTATTGGAAGAATGCCAACAACCAGAAGAGCCATTCTCCATCCGTAGTAGAATGCGAGCACAACACCAGCGACGATTGAGACCAACGTGCCCACTACTGCAGTCAATCGGAAATCGATTGCCTGAAAATCAGTGTTAACAACTTATCCATTATTCTTTGGGTTAAAGAACTTGGTTAGATTTCAAATACAAGCGACTCAGAAACAAAAGTAGGTTTTCCTCACAATACAAGAAACTTCTCGTTTCCTTAGAGCGAACTATACATATTAGTTATTATAAATTATAATGTTTTCAAATTCGATAATCAAGCAGTGTCGTTAACAAAGTTTCAGTAAGAAAATGGGGTCGTTCGTGAACCTTACTAAGTATGTTACTCAATGAGGTCAAGAGGAAGGATTTCGATCGAATTCAAGGGCAAGGCCTTAGCCCCAAGAAAAAAACCATTTGTTCAAAAAGAAAATATTCCCTCTCGCGGAGCCATTCAGACCCCATACTTCCTTACCAATCGGTATTGATGATTTATTGAATCCTTCACTGCTATAAGATATCGCTCGAAATCATGAAGGCACTAACCGATCGGAGATTAGGTACGTCTGTAGCGAGTCGAGTACAGAGCTTCCCACAAGCGTGAAGTGGTGAATCAAAATATCCTATATCTTGTGAAAGTAGATTTGAGAATAACTTCGAACGGAGATCCATTGTTAAGTTTTCAGCTGCGACACCCATAAAAAATGTCTGAAAAAGCCTATTTTGTACACCTTTCACTAATAAAGCAATATTAACTTTCATCCTCTCCATAATTGCACATTGAAACGTTTTTTCCTAAATCAAAGGTCTTGGTTTCAGCTCAACTATAGGTGGAGTGTCGGATGCTCGGATACCCTTTGATTCTGGGACTACTAAGGCTGAATGAGCAACGGCGTCGTTCGGTGGTGATACCTCAGGAAGGTTAACCAAGGCTTTTGGTTTCAGCTCAGCCATGGGTGGAGCGCTAGAATGCTTTGAGTTCATACACTGTGCCGATTCCTCGCACAATCCGTCATACACGACGTTCTCCGGATTTTGGGTGTGAGTTCGGCTACCTGTCAAGGACTTTCTCTTCCCCGTGAATGTTATAAGATAATGATTGGCATTAATTTGACCTGAAAACCTGGGATGGCACTAACCCAGGTTTTCTCCCCAGGTAGTTACAGGGTTCTGCGGATGGGCAAGAGTTCTCCCCAGAAGAACCTGGTAAAAAGTTGCACCACCCCACATGGATGGGAAGGCTTTCTTTCTCTAGAGAGGGGTCTATGACATAAGAGGTCACTTGGTATAAAGCTTTATCCTTCATCTTTTAAGGCTGATATTATACGAAAACCCAAAACTACCTGACAGAACATCGTTGTTCCTTGGACAAACGCTAACACAAGAAACATCAACGCCCAAAAGTGACCAGTTTTTAACAGCGTCGAGGTATCAGAAAAAGACTAAATGTAGAAAGTTCTTTAAGAAAAAAAGAAATATTGTAGACCACATTGTAATACATTAGACAGAGCAGATTAAGCTTCATTTATGCATGAACTGAAATAATTTTCATGTTGGATATCCCTTCTTTAGCTGAAGATTAGAAAAACGCTGGTAAGATAACCACTGCTGGAGTGGCGGATTAAAAGTATACGACAATGTAAAAAAAAGTGAGAGCTTCATTTTATTGGCAACCGTCATTCATCAAACTTCTCATCTGATGAGTTCTTTCTCTTGATTCGGTGCAGAGTATTACGGAGACACACGAATGACCTATCCGTAAGAGATATTGTGTGGATTCGAATAATTTCTTTGCTTGAATGATTTTTTTCACTATGAAGAAATCAGCACCAGGATGCATCGTCATCACAAGTAGGCATTGCTATTCCAGATCAGAGAGTCGCTTCGTGACTAATTTTCTTACGTGATGGGGATGAACACTGTCAAAGATTTACACCTATCTGGATTTCCGAACAAGGTAACAAAATACATCTGGAAGAATGCTGATATATGAGCAAAACTCTGGATCTCAGATAGACTTCGACCCCATTATTACCCTTTCTGGAGGAGCATATTCTATCCTCCATACCAACAGAGGCCTTTAACTGGGTTCAATCCGACTTGAGCCTCATAGGTCATTCCTGTCAAAAAGTGTTTGCTCATATCAGTGATAGAATAGAAGCATGATCAAGAGAAAGGTAAAGCAAGGGCCTGGCTTGGTGTAGTGGAGGATATGAGCCCACGTGATGATAATCGCAGACTCGAAACCTATCTGAGGTTCCAGTTTTGCTCACATCTCAACTTTCTCATGGCTGTATTTCACGTAGTCCATGCTATTATAAAAAGGAATAAGCACCAAATAAGAGTTAAGCCATTTAAAGATATCGAAGTTTTTCTTCATATTGGCCAAGAATAAGGGGGATGTACTCCTGCTGTGTTTTGTAGATCGCTTTTCGAAACCCCTTCACTACAGCGAGGTGATAACACATAATGAGCGAATCGCAAATGATGTACGCAGTTTGTTAATGTAATTAATTAATGCTTTATCAGACCTTTCTATATCCACTAATCGCAACTTTAAGCGTAGATTCAGGAAAACTCTACATCACCATAAAGTTCACCCGTACAAAGACAAGAAAACAAACCCCTAGTTTTGCTAAATACCGTATAAGTTGCAATCACTTACCGTAATCACTTGCATGAAGACCACAGAATAGCTCGGAAACACGAGGCCAGCAATAATGCATGTGACAAAACCAATAAACGTCATTTTCCAGTGAGGTCTAGTGTAACCAAGAATTTCAATCAGATTCGTTCTTCTAACTCCTTCGGCTTTCATTTCTGAATATCAATTATAATCCAACTCATGAATACCGTATTACCTGCGCTGGTCATCGCCATAGAAACTAAAGTTGCGGTTTTGGCTGCCTTATCTCAAGTAATCACATCACTCAACTTAATACAAGTATAAAATCGGTTTAAAAATATCACTCAACACCTTTGCGCAGTCGGGTGATATCGTCCTTTTTGTCTTTAGTTTCATCAATGGGTTGTCGATCTTGCGTCATAATACTGGCCGATCGCTTTGGAATCTGTAAATTCCAACAATTCCATCATGGGGTTTCATTCCTTTCATTCGGAAACTTCTTTACTAAACAAAGCAGATTTAAAATTAGAGTTGTGTTTTAGTTGAGTTCACTAAAGCGTTAGTGTCATGCGATGTTCACAAGTTCATTTCCTGCTCCGTGCCAGTGAGCTGTTTCACAGAAAGCCATTTAACCCACCTGTGTTTCGTTCACAGATTGAATAGAAAACTCTCTCGATATTCGACTAAAATGCCTCGCATTCATCAAACTGCCTTCACTGTCGACATTGTGTGCTGTAAAACTTCTTAGCAATACTATTTCTGAACAACGTACACGTTTCTTTCCTAATCTTTTAAGTGGATTGTAATCCCGTATACCGTTGACGTCGTTTAGGTCGATGAATGTTTGTGCTTGAACGAGATCGTAATAGAGACCTCTAGTCGACATTAGTTCCTCATGAGTACCAAACTCCGCCACTTCACCATCCTAAAGGCAGTGTTTTACCACTTCCACGGTAAATAATATTTTCTCTCAATGTTTTCTATTTGCTCGATGTTTATTTTAAAATCGATACGCGCTCATTTCAATGATCTCACACTTTGAATTCGATGAAGGGGGAAAAGTTCTCATCAAATAGCCCAGAGTTATCCTCCGACAGACGAAACTTCAACTTACAAAAAAGCAAATGGACCTTTATGGCTAGAATATTCGTTCCAAAAACAGGAAAACGTTTGAAATATAAATTAAAATAAAGTATTTAAGCCAAGGAGAAGAGTTTCAGCTTGTGACCATTTCTCAACTTACTTTGATGGCAATAATTTTGTTAGCATTTTTGATAGTCGACAAGCGATGTGCAATAATAATCGTCGTCCGGCCAACAGAAGCCTAAAATTCAGAATTAGTAGTCCGCTTTTCCCGCTTACTATAAAAGAACTTTCTAAAGTTTTTCTTTTCTCGTATGACCCGAAACCACATATTGTTTGTGTCCCAGTACTCGACCATTCATTGACACCTTAAAATTTGCAAATAGGCTCGAATGATACTTAAACGTCTCCAAAGACCGATTTCCATTAAGCTCGGCATTGATTGGTGAATCACTGTTTTTCTTCTGTGAACAAACAAGAAGTTGGTGTTATAGAATTTATTAGAACACAACAGCTGACGTTTTAGTGGTTTCGCCTTCTCCAGAGCCTAGAAAAGTCGAACTGACATGCAGTTTACTCAGCCAAACACTTTTATAACCCTAGCAGATAATACTTAATGCATAAATTTAGGTTAAAAAACCAAAGATCCAAAAAGCAACCACAAGGAGGAGCGTTTCGTGATCGCGCGTGACCTCACGCCATACCCACGGCTACTCGTTTGATCTGACCCAGATACATTACTTGCCTACCTATTACCTTATGCGGATGCTCTGCAGCTATTAACTGGGACACTTACAACAAATAAAACGGTGGGTGTTTAAAAGATGCTGTTTATGACGCGAATGAAAATTTATGCGCCAATTCTTATGTGCTAAGGTTATAAAAGTGCCTAACTGAGTAGATTGCCAACTTAACTTTTCCAGGCTCTGGAGGAAAGGAAACCGCCGGAACCCCAGCTATTGTATCCCAATAAATCCTATAATACCAACCTCGTGTCTGCTCATTGAAGAAAGACGGTGATGCTTAAACAATTTTTATATTCTTTATTAATCTCGTTGAATCTAGTGGATTCTCCTTCGAATTCTGGGATACGTCTACGAGTTCGTTCGAAAATCTTCCGTATAGGCAACCGCAAGTCTCAGTGAATCACAGAGAGTTTTTTCGTAGGCAAATCTAGTACCATTTTCACGACCATAGCAGGATGGGAGGTCTAGTTGGCTCGAGACGTGGTTGAACCATTGTTTGCAAAGCACCACCATCAGAAACCCAGGTAATCGCTAGAAAATTTCCAAATATTGCCGTCAAACCTTTTCAAGGGCTCTTTGCACAACTGCTTCACTTTCTGCATCCAAAGCACTGGTAGCCTCGTCCAGCAATAGGATTTTCGGATCTCGGACCAGCGCTCGTGCGATTGCGATTCGCTGCTTCTGGCCACCGGATAACTGCACACCACGATCGCCGACAATTGTTTGATATTTCTTAAGTACGTATAGTTAGAAACACTATTTACTCGTTTAGAACTTAAAATATACAATTAACTTCAAATACATCACGCGCGCATTGACATCAATGCACACGGTCATTTATGTGTTCGATATCTCTAAATATCAACGCAATCACATAGCAATATAATATTTATAATACAGTTACAATAGTAATCACTAAAAATTATTCTTATCGGGTGGACCTACTTGTGGTAAACTGTTTATGAAGTTCTCCGCGTTTGCCATACGACAGGCCTTAACTAGTTGTTGTTGGCTGATATTGAGGTTGCCGTACTGTAACTCTTTTAAAAACAATATTGTACTGCATCGAAAACATTACATTGCATTAAAACTATTCCGAAAAAAACTGATCTAACTCAAGCATTTAAGTGTATAAAGGATGAAGGATAAAGCTCTCGGCTTTGATCAATCCCTGAGGGATTCGCCAAACATTCGACTTCATTAAGTATCGCTTGGAGGTGATTGAATGCATTTCTGGCCTTCACAATGACTCGCGGTTGTCTACCGCATCAAGCCAGTGCTGATATCCTCCCAGACAAGCCTGGTACCAATTTGCCGACCCCCGAGGGATGGAAGGCTTGGTGGGCAATGGGCCCGGGGATCGATTCCAAGTGTGTGTTGCAGGGCGCCTGAGCCATACGCGCCCTTATTTAAGTGTACTTTCATAAACACAGGGTTCAAAAACAAACTCTTATGTTCTCTTCAATTGTACAATTGAAAAGAATCGGCTCCTGTGAGACAACGGCGATTTGATTTCGTAGGAATTCAATGTTGAATTCGGAGATTCGAACACCATCGATCATGATCTAGAATTGAGCAGTTTGCAAATACTAAAAGTCTACACGGATTGTTCTCAACAGAAGACTATTCATTCCGAGTTCCATGCCGTTTTCCTAATGTGTAACGTTCTCTGGTTTATGGGAGGATACGCTACACTTACCGTTTTATAGGTTATTCTTTACTGGTTTAAAAAAAGTGCTATTTTGCTAATTTTATCTCGATATACACTTAGGAAAACCGGAATTATCTCTCCACTAACATAATATTTCAAAGCAGTTAATTGACCATTGACTTAGAATACTGTATCTAATGAACAGGGTGGTATTACAATATCTGATATTACTGCAGTATTTAACTTTTTATTTACTACCTATTATTTTTTAACTGCAGGGTATTATGTGAGATAGGGGCCCCAGTAGTGCAATGTGTAACATGCGAGCTCCGGAAAGGATAATCACTGGTTCGAATCTAGCCTGTGACTGAAGTTTTGCAAATATTACTACTCCATTACTACAGTACTCAATATTCACATCTCCACCATTGCTTTCAATTTTTAGCGTAGTTTGTAGCTACGTACGACTAAATAACTAGATAGATAAGAGTACTTAGCTCCTGAAGTTTTTTAGGAATAAACAGATTACGCATTCATTTCTTTTCAGTGGGCAATTTGAAAGAGCCCACTTTTTGCGTATGATCGAACTTTTCTTAGATATCATTTTTTATTCCCAATGTTAACCTGTCAAATCCACTTGCATCCTTTCTTTGTTTTCAATTATTTCGTAATGGAAAGGACAACTTCAATTTAATTCGCACTTATCGTCCGACTGCATCAGTATAAACTGAAAAAGATCCTAGCTTAAACGATTCACCTCTCCTGCTTGAACATCATAGTAGCGAAGAAGCAGACTGACAATAGTGCTCTTTCCACAACCGCTTGAACCAACCAACGCGATCGTCTCTCCAGCTTTTACGTTTAGCGAGAGCTTCTTCAGAACCTAAAGCTCCATTGTCATGACAAAATGTTCACAATGTTTTGTGCAACATTTATTAAAGGATAAGGTACAAATCGTTCGACGTTGACCGACTGCTGACGGATATGTCATGCAATCGATTCCATTTGGTGATTTGAACCCCTATATGGTATATAGGCATATATATATTATTATTTGTATATATATATTTGCCAAGGCTTAGTCAGTGTTTTTTTCTCTTGAACAGTCTGCCATCAGCCTACTGAATCCGAGGGGATGAAATGTATGGCTACTCCACGTCTGAAGATCGAACCAAGGACCTTGAGAGTATTGCAGGTAACCTTTAACCACTGTGCTATACGTAGCCCAAAAAATTCGTTACTTATTGAAATGGACAAACGCGAATTTATACAAGAAAACAATGGTCAGAGAATACGTTGCGTTTCGTTATAAGAAAATATGGATCTTGAGCCAAAAGGTAAGAGATTCAAGGATTTCCCCATTATTAACGAAAAACCAAACTCGATGATGAAGACTGTGGTCTTGAACAGTGCCATTCTTAAAGGGACTCGTTAATTTAATAAGTCATTACAAATGAGAAACGATATTATTTATTGAAATAAGGTGGACTGAATTGTTTTCACTGTTGTGAGACTACATAAGATGATGAATATTGGATGCACCTGAACATCCGGACGCGACGGATAGTTGAATACGACGTTCTTCATGTCAATGTTGCCTTTGATTGTCATTCCTCGTCGACCTGTGCTACTACGGGAGTCAATTTCCGGCTCCTGCAAATAGTCATAACATTGCTTTCTGAAGATCCAATCTCCACTGCCAATTTGTTTTTTTGGTGATTTTCTTTTTCTCAGAAACTTAAGGGAATTTGGTGCTGTGTTTGTGATCGTGATAATACGGTAAACTACGTTATTACGACCAGCACCCTCAGTCACGCGTCACTGCACGGGCGCTTTACTACACTATTATTTATCTTTTATTCACAAAACCACACATATTATTCAAGTTTTAGCGCTTTCACCATTCGATTCATTTTCTTGCAACCATCGTCCATAAAGGTCTTGAAATTTGTGTGTGGGCTCGGCTGGCACTCGGGGTCTTTATCTTCTTCGTAAGTTAATGACTTTGCTTATGTGCTGGTCGAGTTTATTTTGCCTAGAATTTTGAAATAGCGCTGCTAGAGCGTTCCTGAATCAGAGCCAAAGGCTGTCGCTGGTTTTTATAACTTGGGAGTAGGTTTCTCCAGATAGGTGTTCCGATTCACTGATCCCCAATCTGGTGAAAGTGGAAGATTGGATGGGTTACTGTACGGCACCTATAGGTAATGCGCTTCTCGTGCTCATTGTCAAGATAAATAGCTGAAAAATCAAGATAGTCGATGATGTAACTGACCCTATCCAAAACTTCAAATATGCTGGCTGCAGCCCCTTGAGCTGCTCCCAAGACAGCAAACTGTGGTCCGGCTTGACCTAGTGCCATCGAACCCATCATCACAGAGAAGAAAGTCTAAAAAATGAAGAAGAATTGTTAAGTAAAGTCGGTTTGCGATCGAAGCGCTAGAGGAAATAGTACCACATTACCAATAAGACATAATAATAATAAGACTCATAGAAAGCGGTGAGTGTGCAGAGCTATGCTAAATGTGATTGAAATCTTGGTTTAGCGTTTTCTCTGTTTGGTTATGGAGGTGTTTGGCCGAATGGATTGCTGTCAAGTTGACCCTTCCAGGCTCTGAGGAAGGCGAAATCCGCCGAAACGTCAGCTTGTGCGTAAATAAAGAAATAAAATAGCACCTCGTGTTTGCTGAACAGAAGTAGAAAGATATATTCAATCAATGCCGAGGTTAATAGAAAGTCGGACTTGGGAGAGACATAATAATCATCTTTTTTTAAACTAAGTTGAATTCATTTGTCATTTACGCCGAATACCTTCCTTGCAATTCTTACACTTTTTTAACACCTTGGCAACCACCGCCAATTTAGCAAGGGTGAAAAAAGCTGTGAACTCCTCCGCGATTTAAGCTTGGCAAAGATAAATTTCCGACAACTAGAGGATTTATGGGGATGAGACTACTAATCATGGAAAAGAGCACCACTAATCATGAAAAAGAATTTGGTTATCTTCCTTCAATGAGCAAACACGAGATTGGTATTACAGGATTTATTGGCACAAAATAGCTTGATGTTTCGGTGGTTCTGCCTTCTTCAGAGCCTGGAAAGGTCAAATTGACATACAGTCTACTCAGCCAAACACTTTGATAACCTTAGCAGATAAGATTTAACACATAAATTAGCATTCGCATAATGGACAGCTTTTTTAAACACCCACCGTTTTATTCTTTGTAAGAATTGCAGGTGACTGGTGGAGAGTAGCCACACAGAGTAATAAATGGGCGAGAAACGGGCCTGGGTCAGGTCATAGATCAGCCTAAGGCATGGCGCAGGGTTACGGGTGCTCACAAGACACTGCATCCTGCGGTTCCTTCTTGAATTTTTCGAATTAATGCAAAACTCTTCAGGAGATTTACGCGCCGATGTGTTGGATTCTTGTGCAAGGTTAGTGATTTCCACTTCAAAATCTTTCCGTGATGCCTCTGTGCCCTATGCGCGCCTAGTGTTTGGTTTCAATTTAAATCTACCGACTAGGTATTCCTTTAGACGGATGCAGAGTGGTCTTCCCGTTTTTCCAACGTATTCATCCCAGCATCCTTTACAAGAGATTTGGTACACTACACTCGAACTCATGCAATCACCGTCTCTACCGTTAGGGTAAATTATGCAGTTTTTCTTTGTACACAGACTGTCATATAGGCGGTCACGAACTAGCTGGCTTCTTAGAATGTTTCGTGGTACTTTAATCACTGTTATCAAATTCTCTGGACCCCTCTCTTCTTATAGAACGTTTTATAGCTGCACTTATTTCGTTTGAGATGAAGGTCAAGACAAACAGGAGCTTATTCTCGCTACAATTACTTTTTAGAAACGTGGATTTTCCTTTACACCTATCCCGAGAAGCTACAGTTTCGTAGCCATTCGAAATGGCTGTTTGCTAAGCCAATTTCAAGGATTATTTCTTCGGCTCACTTCCTGCGCACACGCTGATTGATGGCTGTTGGAAACATATTTCTTATAAGTGCCTTTTGGTGTGTGAGTTGGGAGAGAAGGAAAACCATTATGTTTTTACTAATTGGCTTCCATTTTTTCATGTAACCCTTTTCAGATACGTTAATTTGAATGTTCAGAAGTAAAAGCCACTTTTTTTCCGGTTTCTCTCAGGTGCATTACAATATTTCTAATAAACTGCGTGCTAATAAATTCTATAGTACTAGCCTCGTGTTTGCTCACTGAAGAAAAACCAGTGAATTATCGACCAGTGCTGAGGTTGACAGAAAGCCGGTCATGGACTGAATTCCATTGATGAGAAAATGCTCAGTGAAGCGACCTACTCCGAGGTGTTCCTTCGATGATCTTATCATTATCGCATCATAGCGAAAAGCTTCCTCTAACGGTTAAATCCCAGTGCCCATCATATAGGTGGAATTCTGCGCCACCTCACTGGCCCTGTTGTCCATGCTTCAAACCTTCCTCTATAGCTATAGCCTCTCGCCGCAAAATGATCTCGTCCAAAAGAGGTGTTTTTTTGCAAATTATTACATGGAAAGAACAGCTTTCAATGATCCACTTTTCATATTGGATCTACGTCTGGCAAGCTATCGGTTGAATCAAAGAAGTGCGGTGGAAAACTTCTGTAAACCACTGAAGGGGCGTGGCCTCATTTAGTCAATAGTCCCCGTGTGAACCCTACAGTGTCCAGAGTTCAGTGGGTTCCAGGGTCCTTTTTTCTACGGCATTGTGTAGATTCATTTGATAGCTAATCCAAAACAAATCAATATAGTAGGGTTGAGATTAGAAAAGTCATTCTCTGTACTTAATGATTTGCAAAAAACCTTTCGAAAAAGTTCATTGACCGACATTTTAACCAACAATTAATTATTCTTTAATTTCAATCGCTAGGGTTGTCTTGTTGATTTTGTGGATATAAATAACACCGAAATCGACTTAACAGAGGATGAATAGTACTTCAAAATGCTGACAGTAATGCATACCACGAAAACAATAGAGTAAAGTCTCTGCTGCAATCCTCTCATGTCTACTACCCTTAAAGCACTCTAGTTATATTGAAGAGTTACTTTTATTACAATCTTAACCTTTTTAGTTACTGCCTATTTTTTTAACGGCAGGGTATTTTGCGAAATATAACTACTATAATGCTCAGATATTTGCAAAATTCCGGACCACAGGTGTCTGCGGTGGGGAACGAACGCGCTATTTTCCTTTCCGGGGAGTAACGCGTTCACCATCACATCATGTGGATAAAGGAATAGGCAGTAACTAAAAAGGTTAAGATTGTGATTATAACAATGGCCTCAGCTTAACTGGGTTCAATGCCGATTTGGGCTCCCCAGATCAATCCCGTTGACGGGTGATTGCTTATGGAAAAAGATCGATAGAACAAACTGAGAGACAGGCGAAACGAAGAGCCCGCATGGTGTGGTGGTGAACGCGTTACTCCCTGGAAAGGACAATAGCGCGTTCATTCTCCACCGCAGGCACCTGCGGTTCGGAGTTTTGCAAATATCTCAGCATTATAGTAGTTACTTTCATTGACAGAAAACCAGGAGGTCCGCAGACGAAAAATTCCTCGTAATCGATTAAGTCAACAGCAAGTTATGGTACCTAGCTGTTATGTGTTAATGTCATATCTTCTTCAGTGTGTTATAAAATTTCTGGTTCCACAAAAACGGAGAAAGCTCTCGACATTGATCAATCCCTAAGGCATGCGCTATGCATTCGATTTCATTCGTAGTATCGTTACAGGTGACTGAATGCATACCTGGCCTTAGAATGACTAGCGGTGGCATACCGATGTATCAATCCAGTGGTGCTATTCTCCCGGGCAAGTCTAGTACCAATTTGCGACCCCGGAGGGATGGAAGACCCAGTGATCTTGGGACGCGAGATTGAGCCCATATGTACTTCTCTGGCCACCTCTAACTGCTGTGCTACTCGCGCCCCCACCTTGATAGTGTGTAGTTACCAAACCAATATATGTGTTGACCTAATTTCTCGATATAATCAAGAACAAATTTTTGTTATGTTCCATAAATACGATAGTAGGAAAGAAATTTTAGTGAAATCGTACCGTCAAGAGATCATCCATTTTGAGGTCACCGTCAACAACCCATGTAATTCCAATGTAGAAAGCCAGCGCATACGATGAGAAATTTGTAAACCCCATCAGACAGAATGATAGCCCAACAAAGAGGTTTTTAAGTATACCTGCACGACGTGCCTCTAACAGAGCCGCTTTATACCTAAAGCAAGTGAGTTTTAGAAATCATCGAATAAAACATATTCCACGACTTCTTCAAACACTAGTTTATTTACCTCAGCAAAAGATTACTATCTACTACCTTTCGATTTCAAATCTAAGACCATTCAAAGCACAGACGGTACGTATGGACGAGATTGTCTGTTCAACAATCTTTCCGGCTTTTGCGTATTTGATCGTTTCGGCCATTGTAAAAGTAGACATGGACTGAAAGTATTGATGGAATTCCAAACAGAAAAGCTCTGAAGTATTCACTACTAACCCATCGATCGCATATCGACATGTATGGGACAAAAAACATTTTCGAAGATGTTAACAGTTTTCCATGACAATTTATTCAGTAGAGATCTTTGGCTGGTGATCACTTTATCCCACGGATCACTGAGGGATAACCGGCCGATTGCGAGGCTACCTGGCACATCCGCAGTTGACAGAAACAGGGTTAGGGGATCACTTCACCAACTTCTCCCTCATATGAGGAATCGCGAAAACCGGTTAGCCGAGAGGCTACGTGGCCCATCATCACGTGGCGGATAGGGGGTTAATCGCGGATCAAAAGCTACCTTTGCTTTCCTGAGACGCAGGTGGATCCAGGGGATGGACTTCCTGTTTCTGCTGCACTGATTTGGCACATACTTTCTGTATTTGCTAGGCGTATTCATGCAAGCGTGTGTGGGTGCGTTCTTACTTATGCGGATTGTATTCTATGAGTCGATACGGCCAAAAGCATGCAATCAAGCGACTGGGAAGTATATGGGAGGCGGTTAGGAGTCGCCTCCAACAAATAAGCTCCATGTATACTCTGGGAGAGCCTGGCAAGCTACCCGTGAGTATACCCAGCTCCTACGTTTAGAGCCCAGCAAGCTATACGTAGCTATCAAAAATGCTAAACACAGTAAAAAAAAAAACGAGCCTCGTTCCCCTGACCCCTAAAGACCCCTAATTTCGCAGTGTTGGGTAGGACGAGTACGGAAAGGCTGCTAAAATCTCAGGGCCAATGGAAGTTGCCTGCATTTCAAAGAACTATGGTGATCTGTACCTACTATGCACGTACATTTGCATCCGAGTCCTCGATAGAAGACTCACTCATGCAAGCAACAAGGATAAGGTACGACGTCATCGGCCTGGCTGAAACGAGAAGACGCCACCCATTTAACGCCCTCTGTGACAACGGAGAAAAACTGTTCCTCGAAACATACGACAGTAGAGGAGTCGGCGGCGTCGGCGTTCTCGTCAACACGAGTTTGTCCATGAACATTGATTCATTCGAACAACTAACAATCCGAATAGGACGCTTGCGATCAAAAAAATGTGGATCAATACCGGCTTTTACAATCTTCGTTGTTTACGCGCCGACATCAAACTATGACGAAGAAGAAGTCGAAGCGTTCTATATGGACTTGGAAAAGTTCTACAGAGAAGACCATACATTCTTCAAGGTCATCATTGGAGATTTCAATGACAAGATTGAACCAAGAAGAACGTCCGAAGAATGTCACATTGGGACCCACGCATTAGAACGGGACGAACAAGATAAGCGGCTCTCTAAGTTTATCATGGCGACGAAGACCATACATGATAACTTGCAATTCCAGAAGCCCCACCCTCAACGCTGGACGTGGGAGCCTCCCAATGGAAAGTACCATAACGAAATAGACCACATCATAGTAAATAGAAGGATTTGCCTAACCGATGTCTCTGTTGTCCCAAAATTTCACACGGGATCAGACCACCGCCTCCTTCGTGCAAGATTCTATTTCACGTGGAAAGGAAAAAAACCCGCTAAATTCAAAAACCGAAGTCCCGGAACTACCATTAACTGGGACTTACTCAATTAATTAGTCGACTGTTGGGAGGATGCCGTTGTCGATAACATATGATCGGCTCATTCAATATCTTCACATTAGCCCTATGAAAACTGAGAGTTCGAAAGTCACCAAGAGACTTGTGTAACCAGAAACACTTGAGTTGATACGTCAGCGTGGAATCGCACGAGCTGCAGGCAGCCGCGAACTAACGTCCGAACTTGCAAAACAATGCAGACAGGCGATAAAAGAAGATCTTAGAGGGAGAAGTGCAGCAGTAATGGCCGAAGCTGCAGAGGCTGAGAGGACTATTCGCAAAGCCCACCGAAACTTCGCCAATTACAAAATCAAGATGACTGCACTCCGACGCCCAGACGGAACGGTTACAGCATCTAGAAATGCAATGGAGAAAATCATTTACGAATAGTACTCAGATCTCTTCGATAGCCACGTCCACCTTCCGTCATATGAAATAAAGGAGGATGGATATGTTGTACCACCGGTTCTCCTTTCCGAAATCCGACATGCCATTTCGTCGGTGGAAAATCAAACAGCACTAGGTCTGGACAGGATAGGGCCAGAACACCTAAAGAACCTTCCGCCAGTCCTCGTAAACACACTGGCTCGGCTCTTCACACGTTGCCTGTCTGAATGCAAGGTCCCTACTCAGTGGAAGACCAGCAAGAGCGTGTTATTGTTTAAGGAAAGTGACCTACACAATATTGGCAACTAATGCCCTATGTGCTTACTGTCTGTCGTCTGCAAACTTTCACTCGAGTCATCCTAAACAGGATTGACAGAACACTAGACGAAGGGCAGCCATGTGAGCAGACAGGGTTTCAAAAAAGATTTAGTACGATGGATCACATCCACACGGTAACACAGCTCATTGAAGTATCGCGAGAGTACAAAAGACCGCTCTGTCTCACTTTCATCGATTTAAAGAAGGGCTTTGATTCAATTCAGATAGAAGCCGTCTTGGAAGCCCTTGATTGTCAAGGAGTCCCTACTCAGTACATAAAAATTCTTCGTAAGCTGTACAAAAATTTTACAAGCGAGATATCATCATTGTACAGCGATATAAACATCGACGTCAAAAGAGGGGTCAGGCAAGGCGATATCATCTCGTCAAAATTATTTACCGCCACCCACCAACGTCATGCGAACATTGGAATGGAATAATATGGGAGTGAAAATCGGTGGTCGGCAGTTACACCATCTTCGCTTTGCTGATGACATCGTCCTTATAACACCGAACATTAGTCAGCGGAACGTATGCTTGCCGACTTTGATAGAGCATGTGGAAAGATTGGTCTTCGACTAAATCTCATAAAAACGGTGTTCATGAGCAACGGATTGGTTTCGTATGGCCCATTCACGCTCAACGGAACGAATATCTTCGAATGCTCCAGTTATATCTATCTAGGTCAGGAAATCAGTATGAGTAACGACTTAGCTCCAGAACGTAGCAAAAAGAAATGAGCGGCTTGGGGAGCTTTCAAGAGGATCTAGGATGTAGTGAGGAGATCAAAGAACACACGACCGTGCCCACCTTTGCGACTCAACGGTACTTCCTGCCCAAACGTATGCGTCAGAAACCTGGTCGCTGCGTAAGCAGGATGAAAGATCACTCAGCGTTATCGAACGCGCAGTCGAAAGGACGATGCTAGGAGTATCCCGTTTCACACAAGTAAAGGATGGGATCCGAAGCTCCGATCCGCGTCAACGATGAAAAATCGGGGATTCTGTTCTATACGCCAAATAGTCGAAGATAAGGTGGGCCGGACCCGTAATGCGTATGAACGACAACCGATGGACAAGAGCTGTTAATGACTGGATTCCGCGCGATGTTAAACGCACTGCAGGAAGACGACCGACTCGATGGTGAGAGTTCTTCACAAAGAATCTTGAAGAAGGATATGATGCTCGACGAGTCCCTAGAGCGAGCAGAACCCACTGGGCTACTCTTGCGCGCAACAGGAAAAAATAAAAGATTTACTGGCGCCTGCTCGAGTCACTCCACGATCAACGAGACTACAGGTGATACAGGTCACACTTCTAACCATATTTTAATGTCTGAATACTTTTAAGGATACGATAAAATCGGCTAACCCTAGAAATAGCGAATCCTGACAATGCTTGAAGAGGGGTGACGGCTAACATAACAAGTGTTAACCTCCAACTATGCATAAACGCGATTACAAAACCTGAAAACAACACAAATACGACAACCGCAAGAAGTGAAGTCTTTTTTAAAGTTAGAAAATCTATTTGATTAATCTTTTTGCTTTAGTTCATTCTTGCTCACAACTCTTGAAGACCTTTCTTTGAATTTCATCAATAAAAGGCGTCTACAGTGGATGGAAATTGTAACCCCACCATGGGTTCACTTTGCAAAAAAAACTGCTAGATACTTACCGGTAACAAATTGACTGGTGTACTGAAACATCAGACCAATCTTATCACCAGTACCCTCCTTAACTCGTTCGAGATTACTGTAATAGTCGAGATTAAGCCGGTGTACGCTTCTCCTTCTGTCTAGGTAACGCGCAAAGGACTGAGCTAAATGGAACACCTATTACCAAAAGTACGCAATCAAACTTTTTTCCAGATTTGCTCATGAGAAATAAGGAATAGGCTGGTCATAACCATTCCATTTCTTTGATATTTTTGTGATAAAGGTGGTTGGTGAGTATGATACCCAAGGACTCTTGCAGTTGCTTCCGATCCCATACAAACTTACTCAAATAACTTTGTGGCCAGCGTCCCGCTGTCGTTCTTGTCGAACCATGGGATATCCTGGCGTAGAGTAGCCTGCACGAATTTTCGACGAATACGATTACTCATTTGTTCACAAACGATAAGGAAGCAAGTGACCTGAACTGAGACCAGTTTCATTGCTTTCTACTAAATATTAAAGCGTAAAACCGTAAAGAGTTCGGATTGATCAACCCGCTTTGGTAGGGTGTATGCGTTTAGTTCCACTTGTAGCATTATAGAGATGATAGGATACATATTCTGCCTAATTGGCTGCCAGGCTATCATTCGACCACCAAGTCAATGTTTTTGTCCTCCCAGAGATGTCTAATACCAATATTCCATCCCTCAGAATGATGGAGGGCTTAGCTAGCTCAGTGTGTGCGCCCATATCTATCAAACGCTACATGGAATCCTGATCGCCAATGAGATCCATAATAAGCCTAAATAGAGGAGTCGTTGGAAATGCAAATAGTTAGAAAGTTCGGAACCAGAATTTGTATGTTCAACACCATTAGGCAAGGTTATGAAAAGTGGTTAGCAACATATTCGCCCAAAAATTTCAAAACAGTGATCACCTGTACAGTAGCAGCTAGAAACATTCCGGTAGCCATGGCTATGTACCAGTAGATAATGTTCATGACATCATTTGTAAAATCCGTATCGTTATAGTGGAATTCTGGTCCTAAACAACTAGTAACTCTAGTACAGAAAGCGACAAACAAAGAAAAGTCGGCGCTGATCAATTTCCCCTTGAGGACGCGCTACGTATTCGATTTCATTCGCATTACCGCAGAGGTTATTGAATACATCTCGCCTATACAATTAATTGAAGTAGTTCACCGATATTACATCAAGTCAGTGTTTTTATTCTTCCAAAGGAATTAGCATGGATTTGTCAACTTTGGAGGGACGAGGTTCTTGGTGAACACATTGGGTGGGACCGATCCAACGAGCACGTCGGCATTACGGAAGACTTCTAACCGCTGCGCTAAACCACGTCTCTATGCAGTACGCATCGGTTAACACTTCTCGGTCTGTAGGGAATATTACTGCTTGCAATAAGAAACACCAGAATCTGCATATCTTCTCCTATAGGAGAAAAAAGTTCTCTCGTCTTAGCACGCCAAAATTCTGCATTTCTGTAGCCCATAGCATATGTTTCACACACTTTATTACTTCAAGGCTCATATTTCGAAGCATGAAAGCAAATGCCACAAGCGCCATTTCGTCGCGCACGACAAGATGGTCTTTCGCTGACCTTCCGCGGGAAACTCTAAGCCTTAAATGAAGTTTCCACCTTTTCATAAGCTTGAATTCTCAACATATTCAATATTGGGAAGGCACTCTATAGAAATTATGTGCACGATTAGCACGATAGAGCGAAACTCTTTCATAATCGAAGAATTATCGTTAGTCATCTAAGAGCCAGCCTCGTTTTTAATCCGTTGAAAAAGGGACGCTACTTCGTAATTTATGTTTGTTTTGATGACAATGCGTTTCCTTCATATCTATGATTCATTGCAGAAGAGTGACGTAGCGGCATTTCTTACGTAATCCAGAAATAATCCAGTAACATATGATCGATTTTCATTATTTATATGTAGGATCGGAAAAATTTTCGCTTTCCTGAAAACTTGGATGAAAAACTTTCCAAAACCAACCAATTTCAAGTCCGTGAACAATTAGATTCTAAATGTGTAACACCGCCCTCTAAATATTTCTCCATTTTCTTTATTTCTCTAAATACCCTCATTAAATTGCTCTTAACTGAAGAACTAGAGAATGATTTTTTCGTATCTAGCAGTGATCGCAAAGACTCTGAATCTTCTATAATTACAATGATGCTGAGATATTCACAAAACTGTGGACCACTGGTGTCTGCGGTGGGGACCTGACGAGTTATTACCCCTTCCAGGCGCTAATACGTTCACTACCACACGATGCGGGTCCTTCGTTTCGCTTTTCTCTCAGCGAGTTTTCTATTTATCAGTACCATCAGCAGTCATCCGTCAGCGGGATTGATCTGTGGAGCACAAATCGGCATTGAACAATGTTAAGCAGGATCTGCAGTATAAGTCATCATTCTACATAGCTGTTATTGTAGTTATATTTTACAGCATGCCCAGCCATAGCAAAAGAATAGGCAGTAAGTAAAAAGTGATTACATTGCGACTTCTTAAATTAGTTTAGGAAATACGTCATTTTTATATTTTCTGATAGATCTCATTTTTGGGTAGATCATCGAATACATTGCGTAGATCGGCTGCATGCGGTTCTTCCCCATCGAGGTTATCTTAGTATTTTTCCTTCACAATGGCTACCGTACTATTCGATGTAGATGAATTAGATAGATAAATTGCGTGGATTACGTAGATAGATAGTTGACCAACCTGGAGTGGTGTTCGTCTTGAACATTTCTTCGTAAACAAAAGATTGTGTAACCTTTCCTTGAAGAATGGACAGAAGAGGTAGACCGGCACCAGTGACCAACGACACTCCGATACCGATGAACAAAAGCACCAATTCCATCCACGTCGCATAACGAAACTATAGAGAAAAAAATCATATTCGGATATCTACTAATGCACATTTGCCTTGAATTTATGAAAACAGGTTAAGCGAGATATTTCTTCCATTTGACTTGTCCTTTGGAGGGATGCTTTTTCCCCCAAGCTTATCTCGAAGAGCTAGAGTTTCGTAACCACTGGAAGTGGCTATTTCCCGCATCAAGAAAAAGGATAAGGGAGTAGAAAAGAAAGAAGGAAAAGAAAAAAGATAAGCGTTCGGCTTTTATCAATCTCTGAGGGATGCGCCGTGCATTCGACTTCATTAAGCATCGTTTGAAGGCGATTGAATGTATATCTGGCCTTTACACTGACTAGCGATAGCCTACCGATGTATCAAGTCAATGCTGTCTTCTTCCCAAACAAGTCTGGTACCAATTTCTTGACACCGAAGGAATGGAACATGGTGAACCTGGAGTGAACCTGGAGCGCGGGGTTGAACCAACGACTTTATGTGTATCGTACGAGACCTCTAACCACTGGACTATACTGCCGCAGATTGATTTGGACGTCCAAAAATAGAAGACAGTTTCTTTTCGGTTCCTCTCGCGTGAATTTGATGTACTTTAACTGGGTCGTTCAAGAGCACAAAGCAATTGTTCACCTTCTCTTGTGTGGAGTAGATAACAAAACAATCATCAATATGTCTAAGGTAGAGTAATGACCGGACATCGAGTACTGGAGCTTTGTGTTTCGAGTGGATCAAATAGAGTACTTCGTTACTAGCTCTGATAGCAGTTTACCGGGCCCGAATAGATGGAAAGTTTGGTTTGACTCGGGCAAGATCGAACACAGGACCTCTCACCACTCACTTCTCTATTATCCACCAAACTATATCGAAAAATAACTCGTATGAAATGCTGAGATTTTTGCAAAACTCCGGACCACAGGTGTATGCAGTGGGGAACGAACACTATATCGAAAAACGAAAACTAAGTTGCATACCAGTTGAGTTATCGGTACCCTTTTGACTGTGTCCTTTCCAGCTGTCTCTTCATTACCGGGTTTTCTGAAATAATCTATTAGCTAAAGTATCTTAAAAATCTTCTTCTTTCTAATATATTCACGAAAAAACAATTACTCAAAAAGATTTATAGATTTAACCTTTGTAGAGTGTGATAAACAAGGTCGCTTGAAAACGATTTCACGTTTAGAAACAACTGGAGCCACTAAGCTCTACATTTCCTCATAACCGGCGGACATAAGCAGACTTCATCAACAAACACAAAATAAGCGAATCTCCTTAGCAAACGGCAAAAATGTTCACTGAGATTTTACAAATACAAAATGTTTTCATTTGAAACTCGTGTCAGTGCCGCCGATACAAGTAAACCAAACTCACTTGTTCTTTCGAAAACCCATCGTAGCAAAGTGAGAACGCAAGTTTTGAATGTGAACTGTGCTCAGATAACATTGGTGCTTCTGTGATAAGCGTTACGTCCCGACGAAAAGCACAAATCACAAAAAAACTTCGACGCCACCATAACGAGAAGCTCTTCGATCAGGTTCTGAATCACGACGCGATAAACAATGACTAGAAGAAAGGTAGCGCTTTTACTCCACGATCCTCACTGGTATATGCCATGATAAACGGATACACTGATGTACGTGTGACCTGAATTCACAGAAGAGTCCAGCGCAATTCCCGCCAGTTTTGTCGTCTCGTGGTTGTCACCGATAGAGGTGTATTTCTTAACCAGGGTGATGTCTGGTGGACTATCATTACGCTATACATGGATAACAACCAATTTTAAATGCAATTAAGTAAACTAAGCTGCAATGATGCCTGTCATTCTCAGAGCTGGTGGTCCTTTGGGAAGCTTACATCGCCTCGAGGTCAACTACACCGTTCTAGTCTGTGTGTCGTGGATATTTGGCCTATACAGTCACTTCCGAGGATATATCAAGTCAGTGTTTTTATCATCTCAGATAAGTCTGGCACCAATCTGCAGGTTCCAGAGAGATGAAGGGCATGATGAACCTGGAGCTTGGAATAGGAACCAACGACCGCGTGTTTATCACAAGGTACCTCTAAGCACTGCGCTACACGTTACCCTTGAATCAAGTATTCCGAGTTTCCACCATTACCCTTTGTGAGGGCTCACTCCCTATCGACTGTTTCCAGCCGAAGCACTCGCTTTGCCGTTCTTTCAGCCATTTTTTCGCTCTAACGTTGCTATGAGTGTCCCGTATCATGCAATTGAGTGGAGGGATTCAAAGCCCCGACCTGCGTTAACGATCGAAAAACGAAGATGTTCTAAAAGGCAAACTGTCGAAGGTAATGTGGACCGGACACGTAATACGTATGAACGGATGGAACCGAACGAACCGAACCGATGGACAAGAGCCGTTAGTGACCGGCTCTTCGATTCTTTTGGATTTTTGGACTTTGTGGATTCCTTTGGATGTCAAGTGTATTGCTGGAGAAGACCACCCACACACTGGTCAGAGTTCTTTGTGAAACTTTTAGAAGAAAGATATGATGCTCAGCGAGTCTCTAAAGCGAGGAGAGCTCACTGGGCTACTCTTGCAGTCGACCAAGCAGAAGTGGAAGATTTGCTGGCGGTAGGTCGAGTCATTCGACAGTCTGTGGGTCGATAGTTGATACAGGTGAACGTTGCTATCAGCAATCAACGGAAATGATCTGGGGAGCAAAATCGGAGTTGAACCCAGTTCAGCTGAAGCTGCAGGCAAAACTACAAATTTTCAAAATTTCATTTACTGGCTAATCTTTTTTATAGCAGGGTATAATCCGAAATACAATCACGAGAACGCTGAGACATGAGGAAAACTCAGAACCTTAGGTGATTAGTTAAAACAGTGTGGTTCTGACTACATGTTCAACTTAACTGATTTCAATTCCAATTTGAGCTCCTTAGACCATTCCTGTTAGCGGGAGCTTGCTGTTAGCAACGCTAGAGTTAAAAAATTGTCTGGAAGAATGGCAAAGCAAGGGTCTGGATCGGTGTAGTGGATATCAGGTGAGTTTCTGGAAAGGTTAATCGCGGGCTTGAAGCTGGCCTAGAGCTTCGAATTTTGCTCATATCTCAGCAATCTTGTGGTTGTACTTCATATTATTCCTTGTATGAACAAATGGTAACTAGTAAATAAGAGTTGAAATGTTCCGACTTTGTTCTGTGCCTGTTCTACTTATTCTTCGTTGAGCACGTGTGGCGCAGTGGTCGGAGGCGCCCTTCAATACACATTGGATCGATCCCCACAACCCACGCCAACCAAGCCCTCTATCACCCCGGGCTGGGCAAATTGGTACCAGATTTGTCTGGGGGATAGCAGTTCTGGTTCGATATATTGGTAAGCCACTGCGAGTCATTGTAAGGAGATATGCATTCAATCACCTCCAAGCGATGCTTAGTGAAATCGAATGCATGGTGAATCCCTCAGGATTGATGAATGCCGAGAGCTTTGTCCTGCTATCCTTTCTATGGTCGTTGAACAGTCGCTGACTCCATCAGATCGCGTTCTTACGCAAGGAGGACCACCTACTAGTTAACGGGAGCGGATACAATAACATTTTTCTGCATGCGGTAGAAGGTGTGTGAAGTTCACAACAGAATTCTATGGCCTTAACTACAGCTTGGCTCTCAACGGAAAAATTCTTGTGTACGTTGTAGTGCATTGGGTAGATTATTTGCATAAGACGGATCCATTTTTTTCTTGATGAGTTCATTCTGGATGGAAAATAAATCCCTTTTCAAACGGGTTACGTTACCCAAGAACAAAGCCTGTCCTCTTCACAATGTTAACCTTTTATTTAATTCTTACTATTATTTCTCCGGCAGCGTATGATGTGAAATACAACCACTACGAGGCTGAGGTATTTGTAAAACGTGGATCCTAGGCAAGGCCCGAACCCGCGATTACCTTTTCCGGAGGCTCACCGGATACCCACTACACCACTGAAGCCCTTGCTTTGCATTTCTCACAGACAATTTTCTACCTAACCGTGCCATCAGCTACCGTCTTCATCCGCACATTTTTTCTATCTAAACATTTTCGTAATGTTCGCGTTCTGGTGCCGTCGTATATAGCCTATTGGTCGCAGTCTCACACAGTTATTGATTTTAGCGTTCTGAGGACTTTAGTATTTATTAAGTCTACTTCGTAGTTTTCGTTTGTGTTACTGTTGTTAGATTATCGTGTTCTTTTCCTTTTCATCTCGAGGAAGTGATAGAAACTTGCATGTCAACATGTCTGCTTCACTTTTGCCATCACGAATTGTGTAATGACCAGAGTTTTCGAAAACCTCATGAAAGCACATATCAGTATGCCACCGAAGAAAGCTCCAGCCAAGAAGTCAGCTGACAGTGTGGAAACCCCAAAACGTGAAGCTAAAGGGGGTACGGCAGTGAAAGTGCGTCATATTTTGTGCGAGAAACAGGTTAGTAGAATTTCTTCCTATAGCTGGTCTTTCTTTCTGTCTTTCTTATTCCGTTTTTTTATACTTTAGTCCTCACCTCTATTACAGTTGATCTTTTTCTAGCCCACGTTCGTGTGTCGGTTAGCTATGTTGGTCAAATTCTTTTGCTGATCTAAGGAAGACAAATTGGAAGAGTCCTGAAGTACTCGCTTTGAATCAGTAGCGTCTCAAAACGATCTTTTTCAGAGTAGAGCTCTAGAGGCTATTGAAAAACTGAAGTCGGGCCAGAAGTTTCATGAAGTGGCAGCTCAGTACAGTGAGGATAAAGCACGATCTGGGGTAAGCAACCAGCACCATTCTAACTAGATGTACTGCTGAGTCCATCTTACGTTTTTGCCATATGTCGTCACTTTCAGGGTGATCTTGGCTGGATGGCTCGAGGTTCGATGGTTGGTCCATTTCAGGATGCCGCGTTCGAGTTACCAAAAAGTACTTGTGACAAACCCATTTACACTGATCCACCTGTAAAAACAAAATTCGGTTATCATATTATAATGGTTGAAGGCAAGAAATAGTGCTTAACTATCCCGTCTGATAGCCTGATTTCGTATTTATTGTGGTTTTTCGTCTTAAATAAAACTTTATTTGTGCTAAGGACATTACTTTAAACCACTTAAACAACGTGCGATCCATTTCCTTAGTAAAACAGTCTGGAGTTCTTCTAATTTCTCCATTTTTCTAGCCAATGCTTTCTCTCTCCGAATACGGCGGGCTATGATTCCGTTTCCAGAAAAGTTACTTTTATGTCTTTTGTCTTTTTCTTTTCTTTCTTTTTATTCTTTCGTTTTATCACTTTCACTTTGTGGTTCTCTGAGTAACATCTATAATTCTTTTTAAAGCTCTCTTGTAGTGAAACGGATTTCTATGGTTTTTGGGTTTATAGTCTTTTCTAATGTTCTGAATACAATCCCTACTTTCCCGTAAACTTTACTGCCTTGAAAATACGGTTGTGCCCATCTTCGTTATATTTGCATTTCTGTGTACATATATACGTATATCTATGCGTTATATATCTTGTTTTTATGGCCTTTTTCCTATTCCAACTTACTTTGATCTCTTTCAATTACCTTAAATCAGGACTTCGTGCAATACTTGATTATACAGAACTGCTTACATAGGACTCTAAGTGTAAATTTCAAGGTAATGAACCAAACAGCTGAACTTATGGCCGCCAGTACGTCTGGGTTGAAATCGGACCAAAAAGTGAAGATCTCTTTCGGCGTTAAGAGAGCTGTTCCAACAAAGCTTCAGGAATGCACACCAGTTATTGGAGATGGCAAGTTGTTAAAGCATTTTTTCTTCGTTCTATTTGTTGAAAATTCCTTTGGAATGGTCCACTGAATGGATTTGTTTTATCTTAATTTTAATTTTTTTCTTTATCCAGCATACTGTTTTATTTAGTGAGTGTGGATAGTGATGAAGAGAGGGAACATGAAAAGGAAGTAGAATTAAGTAAGAAGCGGAAATTGACTCATTTCGAGGATGGCGTAATCCCGTGAGTTATTAGTTCTTATTGGTGCCTTGTTTCGTTACTTTTAATATGGTTGGTGATTTCAGAGACGATAAAAGTAGCAAGAAAGGGTTGCCAGTTGTGATCCCTATGGTGCAAGAACAAGATTGGCGCGTTACTAAACTCCTAGCGCTCCAAAGGGAGGGCAAGCTAACCGACGAGGATCGAGCGAGACTTGCCATATTGACGGAAAACCAGCCATATCAAACATGTGTAAGCAATATACTTCATCTTGCATAAAGTAAGCTAGTTTGAGAAATTTTATGATGGACTACTATGCGATGAAAAAAATGATGAAGATAAACTCATGCTGAAGTTCTAAACACTTGAAGAATGCTATTGTTTGCAATGATGCTGAGATATTTGCAAAACTCCGGACCGCAGGTGTCTGCGGTGGGGATCGAATGCGCTATTGCCCTTTCTGGGAGCTAACGCGTTCACCACCACACCATGCAGGTCCTTGGTTTTGCCTTTCTCTCAGCTAGTTTTTTATCTACTACTGCTATCAGTTATTTTTTATGTTTCAGAATTCTAGTAACACAGAAGTTATAATGATCGGAGAAGAGGAGAAAGTGGTTGAAGATGCAGATTATGCTGCAGTAAGTATCGTTTAAATTTGTTTCATTTTATATATATATACATATGTACATGGATATACAAGCATAACTATGTATATATACATATATATGATGTACATATTTATGTATGTGTTTTACGCATATCATTAGATGATACGGAAAATGTAGGGTTTAGAGATGCGTCGTGCACCACGATCGTCAGCTCGATCTAACGCCTCAGACAAACTGGGTCTATAAAACTTTGGCTCGGCAAAGTAGCACTACATCTATCTGGAAAAATCTCCCTCTACGTGCACAGACCAGTCACGGCTAGTGTTGAATGCTTGAGGCGCTTTAGATCTATCCCAGGATTTCAGGGAAAGCCACCAATCACTTCAATTCAACGACATTAAGAATGCTCAGGTGGAAGCCGAACCAATAACTTGAAGCCTTTCGTTCGCGAGTGATAGTTGCAATACAACGGACTGAATCAAAGAACTAAAGAAATCTGGGAATCTATTGATTAGGATTGTTCCTCGTGGTAATAAACTTAAGCACACTTTTACGGTGTTACGGTATACTTGGAAGTCTAATAGGAAAAGTTCTTGATGAATAAAATATCGATGAAGTAAGTATTGTACTAGGGTTTGAGGTTATTCATAAAGTTTCCTCGTTTATAAGAATATTATTCTGTACTTGTTTAGGTTTCTATTGAAGATTTTGGCCTTGCAGTTCTAAGAGGATGTGGGTGGAAAGATGGCGAGGGAATTGGGCGTAAACCACAGGTATTCTATTCGAATTAAATTTTCTTCCTTAGTTCATTGTTTGCATTTGCGAACACGACATGGGTTGAACTTTCCATCTTTCGTTTTTCACGAAAGTAGTTTTTTTCTTTTTAAACAGGGAAGCCTAATCCTCACGGAAATAAATGTGTTAAGGTCGTTCCTCTTCGGATACTTCCTCGTCGTCCAAATGGACTTGGTATTGGTGCCACTCCTCAGCATCTAGAAGTTCTGGGCGTCAAGGTCTAAGATGCTGCGTAAATCATGTTCAATTTATGTCTCAAAGAATGCCACGGTCTGTAAACTTTATTTGTAGGGAGGAAAAGAAAGCGATGATGTGGGCAACGTGATAAAAAAGGACTCCCTCATACGAATTACTACCGGACGGCATAAAGGACTGTATGGAAAGGTAGCTTACGAGTTCTTTTTGTAACCGATTCGTCTTTATCCCATCACTATATTTCCAAAGTGCACTTTCGTCCTTCCGCTTTTCGTTTTTCACCTGTTGTAAATTTTCCCCAGACAAGGTTTAACATCCAATTCTGATATTTTGAGGTCGAGTCTCGAGACGACGACAATAATAGTTTGTTTGTGCGGTTAGCAGTAGGAGGGCAACATGTGAAGGTGCTCTTGTTACCTTTATCAATTCATTAACTTTTGTGTACGATGTTTGAAATTGGTGAATTCATGTCGTTGTAGGTAAGTCTGTTCGCAGTTCAGCTCGTTTCGAAAAAAGAGTACGATAGGGATGGCAAGTGCATCAGTAAGCTGTGCTAGTACAATATACCGTTTTTGTCACATTCTACATAAACTAATCAGGATCGTTTTCAGACAAGGAAGATTATGAGAAAGAGCGTGAAAAAATCGAGAAGCAAAATGGTAGAGGGTCTGGAAAAGATGTAAGGAGTAAGGATGAGCGGATTAATTATGGAGGATATAAGGACAAATATCGAGAAAAGGATCAACAGTGTACCAAAGAAGTTAAGGCAAGGTTTTCACTGTCATTTTGGCTTTCTGGTCAGTCACATATACTATAAAGGTAATTATTGAGACAAAATAGACAGTATGTTTGTACGTACGGGTTTTTTTTTAAAATTTAACCTATAGTTCTCATTTAACTCTGTGTTCTCAAACGACGCGTGTAGAGGAGTGGTCGGAGACCCGTACAGTACACATGGGATCGATCCCAGCGCTCGAGACTCAGCAATCCTTCCATCTCTTCGGTGTCGGCAATTGGGTACCCGACTTGTCTCGCAGGATAGCGGCACTGGCTTGATGCTTCAGTAGACCACGGCGAGTCATTGTAAAGGCCAGATATGCATTCAGTCACCTCCAAACAATGCTTAATGAAGTCGAATGCATGCCGCATCCCCGAGTGATTGATCAATGCAGACAGCTTAGTCCCTTGTCCTTTTTATAGTTCTCATTCCATCGTTAGTCTCGATATCCTTAAGTTGTCTTTGAAATGAAATTTGGTTGGACTATGAAGACTCTTCGTACACTTTACCAATATTTATTGTGCGGCATGAACTGTGAATGTAGAAAAATAGTAAAGTTTTCGAGTTGAGCTCAACCCTCTGAACTATTTGTGAGCTTTGGAGAACTTTAATAAATACATGGTTCTTTTATCTATATACAGATTTTAATTAATGCTCTCCTAGTGTGATACTCGCTTTGGTTTCCTGGCATTTGTGGATGTTAACCTACAGTAATCTCGGGTTTTAATTTCTAGGTGCATCCCTGGATACTCATTCGGCCGTCTTCATGAATTATACATGCTGTAGCGAAATTTCGTTAGTGCAATTCTCACTGAGGAAGTTCTTTCGTCGTGGCTCCGAAATAGCTATGATAGGACGTACCGTCGCCATAAGTACCTACTAACCCTTCTGAATGTTAACAGGCCTCTCTTCTATTACGTTTAACTGTCTGCCCTAAATTCGCGGCGGTGTTGTTTTTATAGTAGGTGTCGAAGTGCTTTAGTGTTTTCTTACTAAGGGTATATACAATATTCCTAAAATGTCACTTTCGTTCATGCCTTATTTAAACTTCTAATGTCGAGTTTTTTTAACCGGAAATGAATCAGAGGCTGCTTTTATATAATGGCGGACGAGAATCACTTTCTTTGTTCCTTCGCCATTCGAGGGATACGACACTCGACAAGAAAAAAGCGAAAGGAAAGTGATTTGTGGACTTCACCGTTTTAGCGTGGTAGACTAATACAAATTGTGTATCGCTGGGAGAAATGTGTAGATTCTAATGGTTTTCATTTTGAATGAATGCATTGGTAACGACATGAATCATATAAGATTTATGCGTTTCGTAGCAAACTCCGGCATGAATCATGTTTGACTCGTGTTTTCCTTTACGGTTTATTTTTGCAACACAGAGCTTTTTTCGTTAGGTTTTTTGCAGTCATTCGACATTTATCAAGACGATTTTTGGTCGAAAGAAGCTGCATTCAAGGTTTAAAAGTGTGTAAAGAACCATTTTCTTCTACGAGTTTATTTGTCCAGTTTTAATCCTGCAGCGGCGGCCACCTGCATGTCCGTTGTACTTGAACTTTGAACTTCAGGACTTAATGATAATTACCTTGCATAAGACGGTAAATAATATTTTTGTGGAGTATAGAACGGCTCTGCGCGCACAAAATACGCAGTCGTCAATGTTTTTTTTTGTTTTTCTTTCACAGCATGTTCCTTTGAAATGATGACATAATTTCGGTTTATTTTCTTAACTTTGCCCTCATATTATACATGTTATGTTCTGAAGCGTCCATTTTATAATCTACAGTTTTCAAAGTTTACACTTCTCAAACATTAGGTAGTCTTCACGATCTTTGCAACAACCAAATTATGGGGCGATTAATATAAAAGAAGCGATTCAGTCAATTTGGTTGATTTCAATTCATAGAATGAGGGGGAACTTTGCTGTCTTTTGATGTGGTAGCAATGAAATAAGGAGTTGGACTCATAATTGTTGGAGGTGCAAAGCTAAATTATTTCTAAATATGTATGGATCGTGTAGGGCTCATGTAGCCGCTAATGCGTTCCTGTATTAGCAGAGCTCTTTCGGTTTAATTTCTTAAATCTGTGATGTGTAGCCCTTTTAGGAAACTGAACTATGGGTTCGTGCTGATCTGCTAGTGAGGTTTGTCGACGAAGATTATAAGAAGGGCAGACATTTCAGAGAGAAAATGCGAGTTGTGGACGTAGCTTCGCGGAAAAATATATGTTTAGAAGATTCTCAGGGTAAAATGCATTATGGTGAGTCTTTAAAGGTTATTTATACAGAAACGAAACATATATATATATGCATATTTCTTTGCATGGTTGTAAAGAAGCACATATAGCGCAGTGGTTAGAGGCGCCTTGCAGTACATGTGGGTTCGATCCTACGCCCCAAGCTCACCAGGCCTCTCATCCCTCTGGGATTGGCAAATTAATGCCGGACTTATCTGGGAAGATTGCAGCATTGACTTCATACATAGGTAGACCACCGCGGATCATTATATAGGCCACATGTGCATTCAATTACCTCTAACGATGCTTGAGGAAGTCGAATACATGGCGCATCTCTCAGGGATTGATCAACCCCGTAGCGCTTTGTCCTTTATCCTCTATCTTTTATTGTTATATGCTGAGTTTTATATTGTAGGTATTCGACAATCTTGGCTGGAAACGGTGCTGCCACGATTGGAAAAGTCCCGTGTAATGATAGTACGAGGAAAACATAAAGGCTGTTCGGCAACAATAGAAGAAAAAGACAAAAGAAGTTGTACTGTTGTTGCACGGCTACTTAATTCAGATGAGGTACATGGTTGAATTTCTTGGTTTTATAGTGCTTTCATTCTTCACACCTTCTGTATGGTTAAAGATCCTACGGTTTTTAGATTATCACTGTTGACTTTGACGATGTTTGTCAACATCAACCGAAAGAAGACGATGATTATTGAATGTGTTTTTATGTGAAGTAAATATACGCTCACTATGTTTTAAGACTATTCACGGATAGCAAATTCTGGTCAGGGATTTTGAGCAAATATTCTTAACACCGTGTTTTATTCTGGAGTTTTTCCCATTACGTTCAACAAGTTATTAGTGTTTCGGTACTTTGCCTCCACAGTTAAGGGATAGAAGACCAAATTCACGAGCCTAATCATCCTGGCATGCACACCACATTCGTCTTCTATTTGTATATTTGCTGAAGCAACTTCGATTATCATGGTTAGCTTTAACAACGAATTCTTTTGAATGTGAAATTGGTTCATTTTGGTAATTACGTCTTTTAAGTAAATCTGCTCGTTATCAACTGATATGTCAAAAAAGGTGAAAGATAGGGTACACCCAATGAACCGACGTGCTAAAAGGATGGAAAGCATTATAATAAAGACACTTTCAAATTGCTTTGTAGGAAGTGTTGACAAGGTTTTCTGGATTAGAATCGATAAATCGCTCGTAAAGGATTACCAAATATCCCGTCTTGTTCCAAGGAATTGTTTCCGAAAGGATGTGACAAGTTCAAGGGCGACTCACGATTATGTAGTGGTAGTACGAAATACGTATGTGTACCAGCGTTGCGGCGAGAATGATGTTTGGTTCAATCTTGTCTCGAATAAGCCGAGCCTGTTATGCCTTTTAAGTTGGGAAAGTGATGCTAGCAGATTCATCATTAGGGAAGAGTTTCATCCGATCGACAAAGGCAGGCGAGCGCTTGTGGTTACGACATTCTAGCATGGCCGTTCCATCAGGGAAGGGTCACACTTGACTAATATTTGATGACATTCATGAAGAAAATGGAGTCCTCAATCTGCAGCGAAATCTACACCTAAATTTGAAGAACCTGCTGGACAACAGTTGAAGGATAACGAACCGAATAGAAAAAGTGCTATGATACGTGCATTATGAGACGATAGATCATATAAGAAAAAAAGAAAAAGATGTATACAAGCTAAAATCTTAATTTAAATCTAATATGGTCTAGAACTGACAGAGTAGGAAGTCCTTCCTCATGTTGTGACAATTCTAATCATTTCTATTCTAGTCTTCCAGCAACGGTTGGTTTACCGCCTTATCATGGTTGGAAGGTGGTCCTGGATGTCGGGCTGCTATGTACACAAGGGGAATTGATCCCTCTGGCAGGGTCTCCCAAGCTGAGAAGGAGTCCGGCGTTTTCATCAGGAACCCCAGCTAAGGCTAAACCAATACCAGGATCCATCATCGTTCTGGTATCAAATTAGTCGCATGGTGGCAATCTCCCTCCTATCCCCAAAGGCGACGACTGTCTGTGGAGATGACGACGCGGGGCAAACTTTGGCTAGGCTGACCTCGGGACTCCAGGAAGCCACAATGGCTGAACCAGTAAAACTCCGAGAAAGAGGTAATTATGGTGGGGCCTGCAGGGCCAGTGAAAGCCATCCAAGTATCCATGTATTTGTTCTAGTCTGGTGTACTATCTATGTTCGGTATTTAGATTCACAGTGTTTTCTTTCGCTATTTAGTTTAAAGCTCAGACACTATATAGACGAAAAGCTGACCGTTATGTATTTGTTATTGGTAGCTGTTTCTCTCTTACAGAAAGCTTTGTCGTTGCCCTGAATTTCTATCATCCGGGTTGAAATTATTGCGTTGAAATCCTACACTACGCTTTATATGACGGCCCCATAGAAGAAGATGTTAATGGCCCATTGATGATTAGATAAACAAGGACATCACTAAGAGGGAAATCATTCATCTTTAACTATGGTATGGGAAATGTCATTATTTCACAAATTCAAATAGTTAAATGGTAGTCTTCGTGGTGAGCTGTTCGGAATCCGACACGCTTTCCATTTATGAAGTGACGTTTCGCAACTCTGGCCAAAATTTCTTCGAGTCCTTAGATTCTCGTGAAGTTGGCTACCTTGTGTCTAGGTTTCCTTGAAGACATTGTCTATTCTTCGTAGTGGTTCACTCTGGATTGAGTTCACCAATGGGAATGTTGAACTCCTCAGCTTATTCCACTGGGAGGTACGAATCATTTTACGGTCGCATTTCGTAGTTCGATATCCCGGAACATCAACTTCCCAGGAGCTCGTAAACCATCGTAGATGAATTTCACTAATGTCTAGTGACCCGGAATCATTTTCGTTGGCGAAAACATAGCTCTTAACTATGTGATCTGTATAAGATAATTAGCGCCTCAGAAGAAAAAAATGATCTTAGGCAGCTGAACTAGCTAATATAATACCGACTACTGCAGAATAGATTGTGTTTATAAATACTTACCATTACCAGTCAACAATCAACAATAGCAGTCCTGTATAAAAGAGAAAGCGAAGTAGGTTTTCATTCGAGCGGTGCTTCAATCCAAAAGATTCGACTCGATATGATTAAGAAGGACAACATCGCGAAGACGAATGGTTATTTATGAACGACTCAGATCTTTTTCTCTCTGAGGACGACGAAGACGGCTAGACGTTGGCCGGGTAAAACTTCTACAAAAACCTCGTCGGGGTAAGAGTAGTACAGTGGAAACCGTCGACCAGGAAGCAAAGGCGGTAATTCAACCCCACGCCAACGCTCTCCTCGCTCTCCTGCAGTCCACGTGGGAACGCCTTAGCTCGGCTGTCTCCAACATTCCAAGGAGAGTCGACTCAGCATTCTACGAAAAGGAAACCCTCAAGAAGCAGTCGAAACAACACGCGAAATGTTTGGAGAGGTTTGTGGAGAATGGATTTGAGGAAAACGAATCAAATGTAGGAAGTGCTAAGATCCTCACAGTGGACGTGATGACGGGTCATGTAAAAAAACAATTCATGTAAGCTGAACACAAAGGCATCTAAACGTTAGCCGAGAAGAACTATACAAATCTAGTATGAGCTGAATAACCTAAAAATATTGATTATCCACGCCGAAATTAAATGAAGGTCGATTATTAAAAGGAAACTTCGAAATTTTCTAATCCTGACCGACGTCTATAAGCGTCGAGTTAGGGGTGTGGTGGCTTCAGTTTGCGCTGTCTAACGGCGATCTCAAGTCGTAATCGGGTCAAGAGCCGTCACGTCGAGTGGTCTGGGTATATAAATATGGACGGATCGGCGACAATTATAACACTCTACATCTCTTGAAACTTGGCCGTATTTTAAGCTCTCTAAAAGAAGTTCTAAGTTCTAAAGAAGAACTCTGAAAAAACACCTGACTAATCGTGGGATTTCAGAATGTTAGCCTTATTCGTTGTATTGCTTCTGTCTGTACTCACTTCATGCAAATTGATTCACCTAACCATTCGTGAAAATTTCACGCAACCTTGTCCACATGGTCAGTTTGAAGTGTGCGTTGCTAGTTGTCTACCATTCTACATATATCAACCTAAAACATGTAATATATGCATTTTAGAGAAGGTATGGTATGTAGAGGAAATGACTACCCAGCCTGAAACTTAGCCATTTTAGGTAGCAGGAATAGACCAGATTGTTTTTGACATTCATAAATGTAACCGAATAAAGATAACCTTTCTGCCATCGACGTGTTTTTGAGTTGCGCATGTGAATTGAATTCCATTCGTAAATACAGTGAGGTAGCTGATATCCAGCTGAAGACAATGTTTTAACTTTTATCTACTGCCTATTCCTTTTTCATGATTCGTCACCCTAACTAATTGTGTTCAACGCCGATTTGTGTTTCTTGATATCAATTCCCATTGATGGGTGACCGCTGATGGCATCGTTAAGGTAAAAAACTGGCTGAGAGAAAGGTTAAGTAGCACACGATCCTCCGGAAACGGTAACTGCTGGTTCGAAGCGCACTTGAGGTCCCGCGTTTTGCTCATATCTCAGGATCCTTGAAGAAAACCATCGTTCTTTGAGAAGCAATTTTATCACAGAACATTTATCAACCAGATATTGTAGAGCTGAGAAGTTCGATTAGCGTAGGGATAGAAGTTGATCCAATAATCATCTCCTTACAATAGGGATTCTATTGCTTTTTCATTGATTCTACATAATTTTAAAATGTCCATAATGAAGTTGTTAATCAACTGCCTAGTGCGATCGCTTCTGTTTCAGTCAAATCGGATATTATTGATCGAAATTCACTGAAATTCAGTTTCGATACGATTCCGAGCGATAATGACGACGACGAGGAACCAGATAGGGTGGGTAAACTATTTTAAGATCACCAATCACTATTTGTATATGATAAATGGAGAACAGTGCTTCGAGATTCTCCGTTACGCAGAGAGGGTTGGCTTGAGCCCAAGCCTCGGACAAACGTTGTCCTTCATCCATCAGTGACACGCTAGCTCGTATCAGACTTGTTCTGAAGACATAAAACACTGGGTCGGTCTCCAAAAGCCACTGTTTACGGTAAATAAGCACTAAACTATTTCTGCGGTGCTACTTATGAAGTAAAAGCATGGAGCTTCATTAGGGTATTGATCAAGGCCGGACGATTTCTTTAGGTAGCAAATATTTTCATCTAACATCATTAAAAAGTGCAGAAAGTGCAGGAGAAAAGAAGACGAGGTGTATAAGCAGCTACTTAATGACTTGCACTCGGGTTCACGTCCTCCTTTTTAATTCCATTTCACTTGTAACTTGGAATACATCACAAAAATCTGCACGCTATATAATTAAAGTGAAAAACCTATGTCGACGATAGAGGACTATGGATGCTGCCGCATATTAAAAGCCTTAGGGAAAGCTCTGTTCTGAACATAATAATATACAAACAACCTTTCCCAGACGAGTTCATTGACTAGTAATCTGACTGCTAATTCACTGTTATTTCAAACCTTCATACTTACTTGAAGATACTTGAATGGCCCGTCCTCACTGGTTGTGCGGGGCCAGCATAATCTGCATTTTACGGAGATTTGCTGGTTAAGCCATTATGGTTTCCTGGAGTCCCAAGGTCAGCCTGGCCAAAGTCTGCCCCAGGTTTTCACCACCACGGGCAGTCGCAGCCCTTGTGGATCAGAGGGAGATTTATTACTATGAGACTAATTTTATACCAAGATGATGGTAGATCCTGGTATTGGTTTACTCTTAGCTAGGCTTCCTGATGGAAACGCTGGACTCCTCCTCAACTTGGGCGACTCTACCAGGGGATGAATCCCCGCTGTACATCGCAGTCCGACACCGATGAACACCTCCCAGCCACGGTGAGGCGGTAAACCGTTGGGAGGTATTTCAATCCTGGTTGTTATAATTATCATATGGAATAAAGGATAAAAGAACAGAGCTCTTGTCGTTGATCAATTCCTTAGCTGTGAGCCATGCATTCGACTTCGTTAAGCATCGTAAGAGGTGACTGAACGCATATCAGGCCTGCATAATGTGTCGCGGTGGACCACTGATGTACCTCTCGAGGCAGTGCTGCTATCCTCTCAGGCAGGTCTGGTACCAATTTGGCAACCCCGGAGGGATGGAAAGCTTGGTGGGCCTGGGGCACGAGGATCGATCCCGTGTGTATTGCAGAGCGCCTCTGACCACTACACTATACGCTACCATAATATGGAATAGGCATGTAGAATATATGGAAATAGACACCGCATAGCTCCAAAACAGTTCTAAATGATGAGAGTATGTGGCTGATATGGTGGACCATAGCGTTGTAAAGGAAATAATAGCATACATACCATGCGCACTCTTAGAGCGATAAAGCGTTGTATCTAGTGTAATACTGTGGTGTTCTCAACCACTGAAGACCCTCTAGTTATTGAAGTAATATCGTTTACTGTCAAAAAACCAGCATAGATGGAAAGCTGGAGGCGGTAGGTACTGAATTCCGCGAATATCGATCACTTATCAGAACGATAAGAATGGAGTCGGTTATTGGGGTTCCCGTGAAGAACTTGGAAGGTTGGTACCACAGTTTAAGGATTTTTTTGTTACAAGAATAAAGTCGGCCTCAAACAAGAGCGTGAAAACGGATACGATATCCCACACTTAGGTACGGCCGGCGTTTAGGAGACAACTTATCCGCAACGTAGATAGTTTGGTAAATATTCCCATTACTTGGCGTTTTCAGGTGGTTCTTACTGATATTCACGGTGAATCACGATCAATATCGTTTCCTGGCTGTTATAGAGCGAAAATATCGTTTAGAATGAAGAAACCGTTGAAAAACCCGTGAGTCAAATTCATAAACAATTTCGTATCACACGTGAATTATAGGCTCTGGAAGCGTAGTGGCTTGAATTGAAGGCAATGTATACTTAATGGTTCAATTCCATCGTGTGTCAACCCAGTTTCCTCCACTCCATGTATCCGATGTCGAAAATTTGGTACTACACGCGCCTATGGAAAACCGCCTATGGAAAACTACCTCAGATCCACAATTTTCGGCCACAGCCTCTATGGTGAATACATGGAATGTGGAGCTATACTAGAACTCCAAGGAGGATCAATGCGTCCAGCGTTCAGAGATATTTATGAGCAAAGAAAAACCTTCAATGAGTAACCGAATTTATATGCAAATAAGACCATCTTAGATAACAGATCCGAGGAAACGAGTCGCATAAAGGAAATGCTTGGATCCACACAATATATAATAACGGTTTATACAAGTCAATAAATAATGTAATCTTTAATCAGCGATCTTTCCACCAAGGTACATATGCTCCACTAAGGACCGTCCATTATAACCAGAACGATGCTGAGGTAATCGCAAAACGTAGACCCCGGGCCAAATCAAACCACGATTGTCCTTTTCGAGGGGTCGCGTATAACACACTACACCACGAAAACCCCTGGTTTGCGTTTCTCTCAGCTAGCTTTCTACCTAACGCTGCCACCAGCAATCACCCTTCAGTGGCACTGTCCATTACTGCGTGACATGTTGTGACATAACACCTACATCAGCACCTGCATAGCTCACATGGACAACATTCTGCAAGGGGATAAATCCTGTCATTCTTTTTTTGCTAAGCTTCCGTTTAATGAGACGTGGGCAATTTCATGGTGCGAAATTCCTTTGAAAAATCACCATCACCGGACAGAAAATTGTTCTCATGAAAGCCAGGTTCAAGCATGTACTCCACTGACGGTAACTGTCGCATATAAATAACTCATTTTTGTTAGTGTGGCTGATGTAGAGCACCTGCTTGTCGCCCTCAGCTGTAGTCTTTCACAGAAATCCCTTTCGGTCCGGACGAAAAAGAATTACTTAGAGTACTTATTTAGAAAGTACCTAGGTATCTAGAGTACCTAAAGTATCTAGAAAGTTGACGAGGAATTCATCTTTAGTACATCCTAAGTTTGGTGGCCAAGAATTTTCAAATGGCACCGTTAGGGCAAAAAACTGCCTGAGAGAAAGAGAAAGCAAGGGCCTCTGCGGTGCAGTGGGCAGCATGTAACCCCGCAGAAATGATAATCGCGGGTTGGATGTTGGCCCGGAGTAAGTTTTCCAAATATCTCACCATCATGGCGGTTGCATTTCACATAACAGCCTACCATGAAGAAAATAGTAGGCAGGAAATGACGTGGTACTTTTCAAATGGTTTATCAATAGCCATGTGGTATATTCTGAGTCGTCTTACCGTCTCAATTCGAAACTGATAGCGTCTTTATAGAAAAACCAAAAGGTGGCATGAAACTTTACCTCCACATTGATTTGCTTTTTCTTTAACCACTATATATTCCTTAGGGATATATAGTGGTTAAAGAAAAAGAACCAGGGTCATATTATGTGAAATGCAAAGGTAATATTGCAGATACATCGAAGCATTTCTTCAACTCGGCCAGAATATTCCGTGCCGCTCTGGTGGGCGAACCTTTGTGTCCAATATCTGCACAAACATCACTCAAACAAACTGGTGCCCACAAAGCAAGAATAGCCAGTTGAGAGGCATGTTGATGGATAAGGACACATGGTTGGTGACTGGAATTCAAACTTTTTAATAGTCGAGTGCCTAATGTAAAATTTTTAGTAAGATCAGTCTTATTTTAAGTGAAGGTTTCCTTACTGCACTATCTTTGCAACAGGTTTTACCTCCTATTTAATTTACCACATTCTTCATTCGTGACTCAAATAATCTGACCCATGAAGAAACTAAGTATGGTGTGTATATAAGAAATACTTGAAACTAAAGCCTTCATTTAGCCAATTCTGTCATGTTTGCGATACGATTAAAGGAGAAGCTACTAAAAACACGAGTGACTGGAAGCGCTATGTCTTCAATGAGGGTTCTGAGAAATGTGACACAACTTCAGATCAACAAACACTTTATTTCAAGGTGAGAGTCCGGAAAATGGATAAAAGCCAATATCATTTGTGATTGCTGATAGCACCGATAGAGTAAGAAAGTGGCTGCAAGAAAGGCAAAGCAATGGCCTCGGTTGGTGCTGTAGATAACATGTGAGCCCCCGGAAACGGTAGTTGAGGCTTCCGAGCCCAGCTGAGGTTCTGAGTTTTACTCATATCTCAGCATCCTTGTGGTAATATCACTTCTTGTCTCGTTGCGGTGATACAGTTCGGATGTAAACCGACACTGCAGCTTTGAGGGTCTGTGGACTTCCCTGTCCGCTAGGACGCTGAGTACAGATCGACTGTGGTTTTCCGTTGGAAGCCGAGAAAGGCTTATTTGGAGGGCGGTGCCAAGTCTTTACCACTGGGAGTTATCTACCTTTAGATATTGGTGAAATGGAGGAAAGTTTGCTTTTTCGACTCGGATTCTTCCAAGACGACACCGATACCTGCAAGTGGTGAGAACGCTGCTACTGGTCGACCGACCGTTCCAGGAAGATGTTGCAACAAGAATGCCACCATAAGGATAACAAACACTAAAATGTTTGAAAGTGCGGATCAGACCGAAAGGACCCAGGCTTCCTATGAGTATATATTTTGGTTTCTACTTAATTGGATACTTTGATGGCTCGTCTTCACTGGTTGTGCGGGACCTAGCATAATTTCCATTTTTTCGGAATTTCGGTGGTATAGCCACGAAGAGAGTAGTTGATGCTGTGATTGTGGTTTAATGGAGTTCCGAGGCCAGCTTGGGCAAACTCTGCACCGGATCGTTACCACCACAGGCGGTCGCGGCTACTGTGGATGAAAGGGAAATTTTCCGCCATGCGACTAGTTTGATGCCAGCACGGTGGTGGATCCTGGTATTGGTTCACTATTGGCTGGGCTTTTTGATAGAGGTGCCTCGCTCCTTCTCAGCTTGGGAGACCCTGCTGGCTAGGGAATGAATCCGCCGCTTTATATCGCAGTCCGACACCCAGGAACAGCTCTCAGCCACAATGAGGTGTTGAACCGCTAAGAAGATCTTGATTCTATGCATAAAGAATCCGAAATTTTACAAATTATAGTGGTTTTTCAATGTCTACTTTAGATGTGCACACCAAGACGTAGTGAGCTGAACGAACAACATAGTGACATGCGCGATAAGCTGAACGAGTACTGGAACTATCTCAAACAGGTCAGAGACAGCATGTTTTAAATCGCGAAGAAGAAACTGACCTGTTTTTCGACCTGTGCTTTAATTCTTCGTATCAGCTATTACATTAAAAAGGATAAAGCTCTCGGCTTTGATCAACCCCTGAGGGATGCACCATGCATTCGACTTCATTAAGTACCGTTGGAGGTGATTGAATGCATATCTGGCCTTTACAATGACTCGCGATGGCTTACCGATATATCGAGCTAGTGCTGCTATCTTTCCAGACAAGTACGGTACTAATTTGCCGACCCCGGGGGATGGAATGCTTGATGGGTCATGGGCGTGGGGATCGACTCCACGTGTGTGTCGCAGTGGAACCTCCAACCACTGCGTCACACGCGCCCTGTCTGCCATTGCATTAGTACTATGAAGTTGAAAACACTAGCTAAGCCGACTATCGTGGAAGCTTTGATGTACGAATAAGTAACGATATCTATCTGGTTCTACTTTAGGGAATTCTCACTGCCGTTGTGCACGTATTGAACCGACCTGAACCTGAAACGCATCGACGTCAACAATGCCAGAAGATGTGCAACACGTATTCAAACAAACCCGGTATCAGTCACAGATATCGAGTAAGTTCAACCAATCTATGTCACTTGGACTAACATATTAGAAATGTAAGTCAATTTCATATGGCACCTTCTCTAAATAGGAGTTGACCCATCAGTAAAAGAGGGAAATTATTCTACTTCTACGGGAAGACCGACTTACTGAAATAAAACAAATAGAAGATAAACGAGAAAAGGATACGTAGACGACGCCTTAAGCACCCAACGACTTTAGATGCTTCCCCTTTACAGTTTACCACATCAAGAGTTTATAATTTCTTACTGCAAAGCCTGGAGCGTGTGTAGTGCAATGGTCGGAGGCGTCCTGCAATACACACGCGATCGATTCCCGCTCACATGGCCCGCCAAGCCTTCCATCCCTTCGGGGTCGGCAAATTGGTACCAGCCTTGTCTGGGAGGACAGCAGCACTGGCTCGATACATCGTTAGGCCATCGCGAGTTATTCTAAAGGCCAGATATGCATTCAATCACCTCCAAACGATACTTAGTGAAATGGAATGCATGGCGCATCGCCGGGAGCTTTGTCCTTCTTTTCTACTGGACAGCGCTGCGGAGAATTTCCATTCTTCATAAACCCATAAGAGAATGAACCTATGTCAGTAAACACCATCTTCTTGGACTGTGTCGTGACAAGACGGCACATCTGCATCCGATATAAACGGATCGGTGACTGTCTGCATTATATTTGCTACTCAAATGGAAATGCTTACCGCGTAATCCTTCGTTGAGTCCAAATATCTTAGGTATCAAAGGTAATTAATCTCATCTCCAAACGTACTAAGGCACTCGAATCTGAGATAACTGGTGGTGAAAAAGCAGATAAAGCGTGGTCAAATCTTAGTCTCTCAAATCTCAGGTCCTATTGATACAAGTATTTGAGACCAAAACAGACTTACTTATTACATGACATTGGATCTCTTTCATTCTATGGATGGGCAAAAAAAGTAGAACATTCTCTAAACCGTTCATCAAAGACACCAATTGTTTTATACTTTCTATGACATTGGAAGTATTCATTAATATTTGTTCTAGAGCACTCTTCTGAAGTCAATCGAGTCGTTGTGCACACCACGTGACACATATGCAGCATGCGTCTACCACACAATGAAATTTGACATCAACGACTCCTGATTGCACAGATGGACCATTGACTGTCGTAAACTTGATTTCTACTCATTTATGATTGTTACGGATCCATAACTTGTCTAATAAACAACTAACCTCTATGCCACAGAGACAGTTCACTCACCCAGACGGATGAACAGAACTTCTAACTACCCCTCCCGGAGGCTCACGTGCTACGCACGGTACCACCGGTCGAAAAGGGTAATTGCGTTTCAATCTGGCTTGGGGTCCTAGTTTTGCAAATGACTCAGCATCATAGCGACTATATTGATAGTTCAAGAAATTTCGCTTCTACAAACACATCACGAAATCGGTCGTGGTACAAGGCAATAGAACTGTGCTCCGCTTCACCAAATCTTCATATTGCTTACGTATTACCAGCTTGTCTTTCCAGAGAAATCACCTAGTGAAGAATGTGAACTCACACCAAGATCAAGTGGAATCTTGCAGCACATCACTACAATTACCCTGTATGGTGGATACAATGTCGATCATATTTGATATGTATAGACATACTTAAGCTATATGTTGCGCGGTGGTTAAAGGTGCTCTACAATTCACATTTTGGTTTCTGACTCGATCAACTACCCAGGCTATATCAAACAGAATGAGAGTAAGGCAATCCCAAATTATCACCAACTATCAGGACCACGCCCTTCATCGTTGTGGCCTCAGAAAATTGGTTTTCAGACTTGTCTGGGCGGATAGCGGCAAGGCCACCGCAAGTTATTGTATAGACCAGACATGCAGCCTTTAGTCAACTTTAACGATTCCTAAAATGAAGTCGAGAGCATGGTGAATCCCTCAGGGATAGATCAACCTCAAGAGCTTTTCCTTTAACTTTTTATATATGGCATACATGTATTTATAACTGTCATCAGAGTTACTTAATGCTGTCACTTGAATTAAAGAAAACAGAATGAAACACAGTGGACACTTAGTGCTCAGCTATAACGTGGTCTTTGTAATATTATTGCTAGTAAAATACACAAATAGAGCAGCAGCGGCGATACGTGACGTCAGATCCTCTTGTTCAACTTCATGTGCCCACTCAACCTAAATATCAAATAGAATGAGAGCAAGGTAATCCCAAATTATCACCGACTACTGGGTAGGCTATTGTACAAGGTCATGGACAAAACGCATTCAAGATTCGTCCTTGTTCTGTAGAAAGTTTTTGAATTTCGTTCTTTCAATTCTTCTGCACACATATGGTAAAATAGCTGCACCATTAATCATCTGATAAAAATGATGACACGAACGATTAAAAGGTGGAGAACGATGAGCTCAAAAAAATATTGAAGAACGTACCGATCCCCAAGTTTCCGCTTGAGTTCTTTGCTCTAGTGTGGCACAGTGAATGGCTTCTTTGGCCCCCATTTGAAATGTAACTACAGAATACGGTAGCAGTACGCTTTTCAACGATTCAACGGCATACTGCATGCCAATCAGCGCCCACAGATTGTATGACTTGAGCCATTTCTCCACAACGCGTGAATCCCTCGAGGAAACCACGTCAGAATCTAGACATGTAGTTCTCAATGTAATAAAAACTGATCGAGAATGCTGAAAATTTTCCACGGAAAGCTGTAAGGATAAGAATTACAGGTTTGGTAGATGATGAGATCCACTACTCCTTCGAAAGCGTGGTAGAAGGAAATCAGCAACATTATATAAGAAAAAATGAAACGAAATAAAGTTAATTTGCTTTCAAAAACATAATTTCACAAGAGAAAAAACATGGATTGCTGGTAATATCAGAGGTTGCGCAATTTGAAATTAGATTAGCGAAGCCATTTGATAGGGAAACATACGTGAACCCGTCATATAATGAGAACGGACAACAGAACGACGAAAAGAACTAGAGTGGACTCCACGAGGATGCAAGCGCTTCCTAAGAGGGCCACCTACACGCTGGGCGGACGTGTTCGTAACTAAGGTTAATCAGCTGTACATTCAGTTGCAGTTCCTCTACAAATCATGGTATGAGACTCGCACATTCCACCATATTTGAATAAAACCAGAACCGTGGATGACAACTGCGAGGGAAAGAAACAAATGGTAAACGTGCTGGAGTCAGGGCAATTCGTGTAAACGGACCGTTCAAGTGTCCAAATAAGTAATATCAAAGGTAAACTAATGATATAGAGTTCTAATCGTTTTAAGAATTTCCAAGAAAAAAACTGAAGGACAGTGGTATGCTTTACCACAGGGTAGAAACGCAGCGCTTAGGGATTCCGAGTAATACGTGCAAGGCCGCCGATTTGAACGCCAGACCAATCAAGTGTCGACAAATTCGTAGCAGACTCGTTTTGTACACACATCCACAAATTCCAGCGACCGCCGGTTTTGAAGAGTTAGGGGTGATCTAGCAGAACTATCCTAGGATTCCATGGTTCCAATAATTTCAATCAACTACCAGCACGACATTCGTGATGAAGAGAGAAACATCAAGCAGCGGCCGAACTCAGAAGGAAATCCGCACACATTTATGCGCAATAAATGCAAGACATTGAATCTAATGGAGGGACTGCAAGAAATTGCAAAATATATAAAGGCGAATCATACAATAAATAAATAAACTCGTACAATAAAATTAAATAAATGAACAAACATTTCGGCAAGTCGATAGAAAAGAAACAAAAAAATCGCATACCAAGTAAATTTTTAGACGGTTTGAACGATGTGCCGAGACCCTTGTTAGCATGATCGATTACTGGTTGCCAGTACTGCTGCTGGTATCTACAAAGAAAATAAAATGTCACAGCCATCGACTCGGCAAATACTCTTCACCTTTCTAATTTTTCGCTCTCGTTATTCCAGAACAACACCGTATCTCCATGAAGGTATTCCAATATTCTTGCCGTTACAATGTCTCTAAACCATTCAAACTTTATACTCTTAATGTCATGTTTTTGTTCGTAAACTGTTCCTTAACGATCAAGTGCAAAATTCAATATTTACTGTTGCCTTAAATATTAACAGACTTTGCCTTCGAATAACTATTCAGTCGTTATCAAAACACAGACAGTCACTAAGTATATTCAACAGACAGAACTCTATATGTGGAAAAGTCTGATTAATAAGGTCATATCAAGACGATACCCCAAAAGAAGCAAGATTTTCTGAAGACTTCTTAAGACTGAAGGCAAGGAAACCTTTCAAAAAAAAAAGACAAAAAATAAAGCACTCGGTGTAAAGAAGAATAAAAATAAAGTGTATCTCCATGGCGAATCTCGGAAAAAGCCGCTAATATGCAAATTCATTTTTCCAGTTCTGTGCCATACAATTAAGGTGCAGAAATATAAATTCAAACAGCTGGAAATTTTTTCGTTCAACTCTTCAAGTTGCAGAATCTACTTAAAGATTTTTGCAGAAAAAAAACAGCTTTGTTATTACTCAAATACTAGTCTGAACCCACTTATTCATACGTAGAGGGTTGTCCAGAGCAGTGAAAGCGAGACCTGTTAATCTCATATGGCCTAGGTGTATTTGTTCCTGTTGTGAAGCCCACTCCTCAGCTATAGCTAAAGCTAGCGGCTCGGATTCCACCTGCAACTTTAAAATGTTATTTTAACCGTTTACGACCTTCCGCTGTTATGTTTGTTTTAAACTTCATGCCTATCCTACGATACAGAAATGCGGACTTCTATCAGCCCATGTATACTTTTTTACGGATAAATTTCTTTTGATTTGTCGTATTTCTCCTTACGCGTGAAAAAACTGTGCCCTTTCCCATCAATGGTTTACAGCCTCACAATGGATAAAGGATGCATCCGGATATTGGAATGCATTGTACAGTAGGAATTCATTCTAGCAAGGTCACCTAAGCTAAGAAAGAATCCAAACTTGGGTATATTGGCTCAGCCAGTAGTGAAGCTATAAAAGGAAGGTTCTCAGACTAGGAGCCTAAATCAGGCTCACATCGCTCTCCCAGCAATAAAACACGTAGTAGGATGGAAAGCCTCCACCTGATTTATAATAGCTTGCGATAGCCTTGCGCTTTTTGTGAACAGGGACCATTTAAATACTTCGATGGGTACCGAACATCCAGTTCTACTGTCCAAATTCTTGACAGTGCATATACTGCTACATAACCCAAGCATTCGACAAGGTTAAGCAGTCAAATGTCTCGAAATATATTCGAAAGATATTAAAATACAATTTTAAGAAATGGAAAGCAGGACAGGATCGCCACATCTGAACAATCTATTTAAATAGTCAATTTAGTACAACCACAACTTTGCTGAGATATTTGTAAAACTCTGGACCGCAGGTGTCTATGGTGAGGAACGAACGCACTATTGTCCTTTCCGGGGAGTAACGCGCCCACCACTACACCATGCGGGTCCTTCGTTTCGTCTGTCTCTCAGATAGTTCTATCGATCTCGTTACTTCCCGGAAAGGGTAATAGCGCGTTCGTTCCCCACCATTGACACCTGCGGTCCAGAGTTTTGCAAATATCTCAGCAACATTGTGGTTGTACTTCGCTTAGTACCCTGCCGTGAAAATTGTAGTAGGCAAAAAATAAAAGGTAAAACATTGTGAAGTCAATTTAGTGCTCAATTCGAGTATAACCAGGTGTATTTGCATGTTTCATTATGAAACTTCGCTCAAAAACTTTCGGAAATATGAAGGAAAATAGTGCACTTTCGCGGACCCAACAAGATTTCTGGATTGACGGTGTTGGTACTACGTCACAGCCCCAAATTTTCCTTTCAGGGAGGAAATCTCCCATCAATACACTTATGTCAGTAAGCTCTCAACAATACAAACACGTTTTTTCTCTTTATTCAACACCTAACCGAGGTTTTCGAAATCTTATACTTCCTACCGGAGACTCGTTTACAACGGGGTCTGCTAATGTTACTACTACAATATAACATCGTTTCGATCGAGTGTATTCTGAATGTTTTCTGCTTAAGTAAACGAACCTCTACGACCTTGCCGCCATGGGTCTTTAACGTACGCCCATCGAGCGTTACTTTAAAAACCTTTGCTCCCTTAGTCTCGTCCTCTATGACATTCACATCCTGTAACAGACAGTGGTTTCAAGAAATTTAATGGCTACACTTACATAAAAGAAACTCACACAGTACTCTTAAATCATTGTGAGGAACAATACATACCAGATTAGTTAGAAAACCCAAACTACGAAGAATAAGGTAGGGTAAAGCAATGGAGGAAAATAATACAGCTCTCGATGTCGATTTATCTCTTAGCGAAGCGCCTGGATTCGACTTCATTAAGAAGCACCGTTCGCAGGTGACTGAATGCACAACTGGCCTTTATAGTGACCTCCGGTGGCCTACCGATGTATCGAACCAGTGCTGCTATCCTCTCAGACAAGTCTGGTGCAAACTTGCCGACCTCGAAAGGATTGAAGTCTTGGTGAGCTTGAGGCACGGGGATCGTTCCCATGTATATTGCAGGGCGCCTCCAAGTACTGCGACACATGCGCCCTGCCTAAGGTAATAAAGGGATAGTAAATGGGACGTGATAAATTTTTACTGAATCAATAGATGAGTGTGGACCAACCGAAGAGAATCGAGTTTATTCCAGATGCTATAAAGAGTCAAACGCTTAATACCTTGTAGAACCGCTTTCGTTTGGTGAGAGCCGACGAAGACGTAGAGGTAAATCGTCGTATGATTGTCCTTATAACCATAGCAACCACAACACCTAAAGCTATACAAGGGTACTTTAGTGCTGTTGTTAAAGAAACACAGGTGGAGCAAATGCCATTAACACATGAATAGACAAAAAATGGCTTATCATAAGATTTATCCTTCTGAATAAAACAAAGTGACTGACAATCATCTCGAAGCAAAGCTGCCGTAGGACTCCGACTGTTACTAATCTGCTCAAATTCTCTTACATGTAATAACACCAAAAACGTGCCCACCTGGAAGAAAGAGAGCTAAACACAAGGTATTTGAGTTCAGAAGAACATTGATGGATAAACCGACAAAGCAGTATGCGATAACACATATCACCATAACAAGGGGAAACCAAAATACCAAAAGATATCTCACTAGGAACAGTGGTTTGACCTTGCGCACAGGTAAAGCCAAACTCTCACTCCACTCCTCTCCATGGTCAGCAAATACCTACTTGGACACTTGGATGGCCTGTCCTCACTGGCTGTGTGGGCCTCAGCGAAATCTCCATTTTTTCGGAGTTTTGCTCGTTTAGCTATTGTGGTTCCCTGGAGTCCCGAGGTCAGCCTAGCTAAATCCCGCTTCAAGTCGCCACCACAACAGGCACTCGCCGCATTTGTGGATCAGAGGGAGATTTGCCACCATGCGACTAGTTGGATACCAGGACGGTGATGGATCCTGGTTTTTGTTTACTCTTAGATGGGCTCCCTAACAGAAACGTTGGACGCCTCGTCAGCTTGGGAGACCTTGCCGGGGAGATGAATTCCCTCGCTGTACATCACAGCCCGGCACCCATGAACAGCTCCTAGCCACGACGAGGAACTAAACCACTGGGAGGACACCTGATTATTAGCCAGAACAAAGTTCACCTTTCGATGTCCGTTTAGTTACGTCCATATTAGACTTATGCATAAGACTCCACAAATTTAAACCAAGTTTTAAGCACTAAGAAGAGTAGATGGAAAGGCGGTAGAACCAAAAGGCAATGGCCAGAACCCAAAACGACAACACCGCATCCACTTTACTTCATTTCTGCTTCCAAAAATACAACAACAAACAATGAGCTAGTGCCTTCAAAAGTGTTTAACAACAGAACAGTCTTTTGCTAAAACTACCACTTATGAGCACTTTTCAAGCATTTGCCACAAAATTTCACAGAAAGTCTTAGCAGAAATGATCATCAGTCACTTTTCTTCGCCCCTGGTGCGGATTCCAAATCCTCATAATGAGGAAAAGCAGCAGGTATGTCCTGCTTTCGACTAGTATCAGTTGCGGCAACATGCGGGGCTCGTTGTTCCGTTGTCAGATTCTGTGCTAACTGAGCCTAAAACTTCACAATTTTATTTCGTACAAAAACAAAAGTCAAAAATGTTTTCCTCATAAGAAAATTAAGCGGATTACATTTCATTAAATGTCATTCATCTTGGATTTCAGCACAAACCTCTCAAATAAATGCAGCACAAGATTTTCCTTTTCGGGGCCTTTTTTCCTGGGGTTATGGTTGCTTTTTCTTTCCAAAAAATTGACTCTTTTCTTTCTCTGTCCTACTGTTTCCATCGCTAAGACTCTTACTACATGTTCCACTACCAATTCCCCATCATTATCGTCTAGTCCTGGGTTGTTTAGTTCTAAATCTCTTATCCGTTGCCTCTCCTTGTTCTCTACTATAAGATGCCTTTCGTGTGTAGCGGCGCAGTAGACACAGGCGCTCTGCAATACACATGGGATCGATCCCTGCGTCCCAGGCTCACCAGGCCTTCCATCTCTTCGGAGTCGGTAAGTGGATACGATACTTGTCTCGCAGGATAGCGGCACTAGCTTGATACATCGGTAGGCCACGGCGAGTCATTGTAAAGGCCAGATATCCATCCAATCACCTCCAACGATGCTTAATGAAGACGTATGCATGGTGCACCCCTCAAAGAACGATCAACGCCCAGAGCTACGTCCTTTTTTTTATAAGATTGCTTTCAACTCTGTCTTTCCATTCACTTCTTGTTTTTTCCAATAAAAAACAAGTAAACAGACAACCAAACACACGCACATACATATCTACGCATGCAAACACAGTTCTGTTTCATTCGTATCAACGTGTAAACTTGTTAATCACCAACTCGAGCTAACACCACTGAAATTTATATCCATCCATTTCGCTCTTGCTATCAGAATAATATGTGCTGTTCGCTCCAGAAGACAAAGAGCATCCCACTTTTTTCATGAAGGTTCCTATTCCCACTGTTCCGATGAGTGGATAACCAAGAATTCTGCACATCCAAGATGAACAGGAGACCCTCGGCGGGAGTATGCCTCTAGAGAAGCAACATTTCCATCCGTACTACTAGATATAACCCCAAAAAAACACTTAAGAAATCTTGTCTTGAAAAGAAGATATTTGAAAGATAGGACAACATCCCATAGGTAATAAAATCAGATAGAAGACTGAAAGTCAAAAATGTGAGCCAAAAGAATCAACAAACTTGCTGCCTCGTGCGATTCAAGGCAATTTCTTCCTCGCTTGGTGGAAAACGTCGAGTTCCTTTTAGCCATGACTGCCATTCCACGGTAGGAGCTTGAGGGTTTGAAGCACCAATCGGTGGATCGTAACCGCTTAATTTAAAACCGATAAATTTAAAAAGAAAAACTCCAACTTCAAAATATAACCGTAGTGTGACAAAGCATGATGAAACAACATAGGCTGTGATGGCTGGTCTCAAAGGAATTTGGCGTAAAATGGTATAAAACCATTGTAATGTTTGATAATTCCAAAGAACATGCAAAGCAGTGGACTGACTTGAAGAAAGCCGTATATTACAGCAATACAGACATTAATTTAAAAAACTAAATACAATAAGGGTGCGTGTAGCGTAGTGGTGTAAGGCGACGCTATGCAATACACATGAGGTCCATCACTGCGCACCAGGTTCAATAATCCTTCCATCCCTCCGGGGTCCGCAAATTGGTACCACAGTTGTCTGGGAAGATAGCAGCACTGGCTCGATAGATCGGTAGGCCACCGCGAGTTATTGTAAAGGACAGATTTCAAAGGCCAGATATGATTCAATCACCTTCAACGATGCTTAATGAAATCGAATGCATGGCGCATCCCTCAGGGATTGATCAACGCTGAGGGCTTCATACTTTTATTTTGTAGGTTAATTAATGTTATATCAATGACTAGTATTTAATCGTTCAAGTTATCCGAACTCCTCTTAAGCAAACTGTAAAAGCTTCAGATGAACACATCAGTAGACGCATGAAAGGATTTTATATGAAGCACGACGAACTTACAGAAACAGTGAAAAACGGACCGTGTCACATTCTGTCGAGTATTTTTAATCTCATAATATCGATTCCCCATAGCATCTTCACCGATATAAACCTAAAAATAGACAAGGCCATTCCACACAAACTTTTGTAGGATAAGAAAGACCAACAAAGTCCTAGCGCTGACCACCACATAGGTTAATCTGTGATTCGTCACAGAACCGAAATCTTAAAAAAGATGGAATATCTATGGGAATTATGGGCCTCTTCCAGGAAGAAACGTAAGGCAAATAGTAATTGTGCTACTGTTTCTTTTTTATAAAGGTGATACGTGGAAGCCTAGACTCAATATCAAGCCAAAGAACAAAATAAAGTAAAATGACATTGAACATAACTCACCTTAGCTGACCAGTCCTTCCGCAGATACTTCCACAAGTTAGACAGTACGACGGCCCATGCTCCAGGGCGGCTCATCGTCGGAAGTACAGTTCCGGAATATTATCGTCATACTGTAATTACACAAATGAAGTGCTGAATACGCAAGCACGTCTAACACTTGTGTTTCTATTTATTTTTCTACTAAATGTTAGATATAGCCACTTTTCTTGAATTGATGGGTTTCCCGTTTAAATGCATCTATTTAGAGGCAATACAGTAAAATGATAGTGAGCTTTTTGCAGTAAGCCCGATGAGACAGTGTTCTGGTTGGATGTCGTGTCCTATAATAGCAGGTCACTGTTTTTAACCCTTTCCGGGGGCTCCCGTTTTACGCACGACACCAGTGAGGCTCTCGTTCTGCCTTTCTCTCAGCCATTCTTTTTACTCTGACGGTGCCATCAGCAAGGGCAGTAAACGGATGTAGGATAGAGCTCTCGACATTGATAAATACGCCATACATTCGACTTCATTAAGCGTTTAGAGGTAATTGAATGCATATTTGGTCTTTACAATGACTCGCGGCGGCCTATCGATGTATTGAGCCACTGCTGCTTTCCTTCCAGACAAGTCTAGTACCAATTCGCCCCCGGAGAGATGGAGGGCTTGGTGGGCCATAGGTGCCGGGTTCGATTCCACATGTGTGGTGCATAGCGCCTCCAACCACTGCGCCACACAGTTGGGCAGTGACCATGGGTAGTAGATAAAGGTAATCATTGTGATTTCCACTACGGTCTCGACAACGATTGACTTAACTGGGTTCAATATCGATTTTTGCTCCCCAGATCAGTGCCGTTGACGGGTGATTGCTGATGACACCCATCCAAGTTTTGCAAATATCTCAGTATCATTCTAGTTGTATTTCACGTAAAACCCTACCGTGAAAAATAATAATAGGAAGTGGATAAGAGCTTATATTGTTTTCACTTGTTCGAATAAATATTGCCGTATACGTATGTACTCTCATGTGAGAATGATTAGCGTCTTTAGGTGAATAAATATGTAAACAGCTAGCCGTTAATAAAGTGCGTATTTATCGATGTGATTACACGCATTGTATCTCTGGAAGCAGGTCCCTATTGTTCTTCTCACAAGATTCCACTCATGTTTTAAACGTTGTGTTAACAAACATTTATTTCATAACCTATAATTTATCCTCCCTACGGTTTACCTCCTCGTCGTGGCTGGAAGGCGTTCCTGGATGTCGGGCTGCGATGTACAGCGAGGAATTCATTCCCCACCAGGGCCTCCCAAGCTGAAAAGAGCTCCGGCGTTTCCATTTGGAAGCCCAGCAGAGAGCAAACCAATACCAGGATCCACCACTGTCCCGGTATCAAACCAGTCGCATGGTGGCAAATCTCCCTCTGATCCACAAGGGTGGCGGCTGCTTGTGCTAGTGACGAACTGGAGCGGACTTTGCCTAGGCTGACCCCGAGACTCCAGGAAACCACGGTGGCTAAAGCAGCAAGACCTCGAAAAAATGGAAATAATGCTGAGGCCCGTACAGCCAGTGAAGATGGGCCATCCAGGCATCCAAGTAGGTGAGTGAAATTTATACACGACCAATTTACTCTTTTACGACGTTCAGCTAACAACAGCAACTTCTTCAGTGTGGTTTTCTTTTGTAAAGCGGATAAAGAATGAAGCGTTCGGAATGAATTAATCTCTATGCATACACAATGCATTCAACTCTATTCTCTGATTGAATTCGTATCTGGGCTATAAAGCGACTTATGTTGGCCCTATCAAGTAGGAAACGAGTGCTTACGAAACCAGAAACATGTGTTATTAATTAGCAGACCCTGAAAACATGGAGCGGGTTTGTTGAGCGTGGATGTGGGATCGGACCCATGACGACGTGACTACCGCAGCGCACCTCTCACCGCTGTTCTAGACTTACACACTTCTACACCATAAGCAGTAATTTGTATGTAGAAGTTGTACTTCTCATACACATTTCTTTCATTTTGCATAACTCGTCTGTTGGGACGGCTCGTTGATATAGGAATACCAAGTAGTTAAGACGATTCGGTCGGAATTAGTTGCTCGCCTTTGTGTGTGCCACACGAGACTTCTAGTAAGCAGCAGTCACAATGCCGGACACCTCAAATTTGGGTAATTAAACCTTTATCATATTCATACGACAATTATGGCATAACAATACAACTATAAAGTTAATACAACAATGATACAAGTAATGAATAGGCGCAGCCTGATCACTGGTGCTCAGGTTGCTTATGAGTGAAGAGGTTGTCATATGACTTCTGTTACATGAGATGAATGTGAGGAAAGGACATGGTGGCTTGGGTAGCATTGCTGCGACCTGAGCTAGCTAACCGTGGTGACGTTTATGTACCTCTTGGGCTGGGCGGAGTCAGGCTACAGTAGAGAAAGAGATGGTTTGCCACTAAGAGGTGTTGGAAACATTTCTCAAGCATTGCAATCTGATTAGACGATATTCAAAGCATAGGACTGTAACTGCAGATGTTTTTCATGAGATAACCGCCAACGGAATGTTAGACATACGGCTATCAGATCGTCACGGAGAAAGGTCATGGGAGAAGCATTTGAAATGTTTTACCATAGAGTTATCAGATCGTCATGGAGAAAGGTCATGGGAGAAGCAGTTGAAATGTTTTACATAGAGAACATTCCAATATTCGTGAAGAATGTTCTCTATACCGTCTTCACGTCTACTGTGCGGATCCCATTCGATTAGTTTCCTTCCATCCAACGTTCACAAAGATCTTCGAACATTTCACGTGTTTTTTTGGCTGCTGCTTGAGGATTTCGTCTTCGTTATGGATGTCGTCTGGTCGAGTCGACTCCGGAGCCCTGGAATAGTCCAGTTAAAGCGTTCCCACTTGGAATGCAGCAAGTGTACTATTCCCAGATAAGTCTGGTATCAAACTACTTACCTCGGAGGGATCAGTGCCTTTTAAGAGATGAAAAAAAGTAATAACAGAAAGAAACAATGTGTAGAGATTTTTGAAAACAAGAAAACAAAGAAGAATGAAGAATTTATGAAGGGTTTTTTTGCATGAATACTTCCGGGTTTTTGTAAAGAAAATAGAGAATAGACCACGAAGAGGTTTAAATGTGATAGAAGGTAAAAAAAAACGATGTAGCCACTTGGTAAGTGGAAAAAATGTTATACAGCGCATTCTAATAGAAGCTTCAGTCACTTCTATGATACTGAAAAGGTGGAAACTGGATGTGTCCATCGGCGATGAGGCCAACTGAGAAGATTCTAATCCTAGGTGTTGTGATTCCAGTATTCTTTAAGTGTGCGTCTTAAACATAGATCCCTGGAAATAATGTTTATGTTGGTGGATGCTCAAGGAAAATCTGTAGAAGTTTGCGATGGGTTAGAAATTCATTCAGAGCAATGGGTGTCTTCTCAAGGCATTCAAAGATAATCGGCTGAAGTTATTAGATTCTAGTACAGAATCGATACAGATTTTCGAGGTTGGTTTTCTTTTCGGATTCTCTTTTTATTGTAGCTCAGACTTGCGACAAATTGTTTGCAGATCGACTGGGGAGCTTTATCCTCTTTGAAATAAAATTCAGTCCGATTTTAAATATACATTATTCCTTTTTTCGACTCGCTATGACGACGAAGGCACCACATCAAGTAGACGAACGAGTGTGGATCATCGACTCGAATCATCGGTTCTGATGAATCCGCAGACGTTGAAAACGCTAGCCGAACAAATGATTGATAACAACACTGTGTTAGTTTAACAATCCAAGAAGGTACACATTATTTCGGTCCCTTCCAATTCTATTACTCACTTTAAAGGTTCAGATTCCCTAGGTTAAACAGATGTGGTACTGATCGTGATTAATGTGTTTGTGCCATCAGCAACGTGATTGACGACGCATCGTCCATGAGGTTGGAGAGGAAGGGCGGATGTTCCAGTCGTCGAATTGAAGAGAGCACAAGTCGCGAGAACTGAAAGAGATTTCTTAAAGAATTCATTTTAAATGATCGCGAAGAGTACTCCACTAGTGTCTTCCCTAAGAAGAATCTGAAGTTACCGTAGAATCTGATAGTACACCATATTTTCTCCTATTGATATTGATTTTGACAAAACAAAGTAATTTTGTTATTACAAAAAGTCTTTTAGGCAATACTGCTGAGAAGATTAAATAAACGATAAAGCCCTCGGTGGTGATCAATCCCTGCATGCATTCGACTTCACTAAGCACCCGCGATGACCTACCGATGTATCAAGCCAGTGCTGCTATCGTCTCAGACAAGCCTGGTACTACCAATTGGCGACCTCTTCGGAATGGAAGACTTGGTGGGCCATGGGCGCGGAGATCGATTCCATGTGTGTGTTGCAGGGTACCTCCGAGCCACACGCGCCCTGTTGAGAAGAGTAGTAAAATAGATTACACACATTGTAAGGTTTTCATGTTAGGAATCATTAGCATGGGTGAGCGATATTCTCTTTTTCAAGCTCTTTTCTTTAGGACAGTATATCTACCTCATTTTCTTTTGTTTTCCGACATGTAAACCAAACTGGGAAAAAAGATCACTGCAAAGCACTTTTGTGAAAATGTTATCTGAGTGGTAATTAGTGATGAGAATAAGACTACAGAACAGTACTTAGCTCGAGTTCTACTTGTGAAGCATTTAGCATCCTTACAAAAAACCGGGTAAAGTTTTCGGTTGGTTACGGAAGAAGATTTAGGCAGAAAGAGGTTGTGGTCCTTAAAATTTGACACTCGATACGTTAATGACCTGATGAATGCGTTGCAGAAGAAAGAACTTCGTGTTATGGTTTTACAGATCTTTAATTTTTACAGTATTATTCGTGACTCCTGCTCGAATGGTGCTATGTAACAGATTCCAAGCATGCCTAACAAGTTTTTTTTTAATAATGAACGTTTGGCTTTTGGGAGTTTGTCGATATTTCATTCTTGTCGAATCCATTCATTACGCCAAACATCTTCACCTGTCCTGCCAGAAATCCATAGTATGAGCAACTCAATCCAAGAATGCAGCTTTTCGTGCCTAACACCTAACGGCCTAGGTGCATTGTTTGCAATACGCTCGCGGAGTGGCAAAGTGGACGAGGTGCACCGAACACAGTGTATTCCTTTTTGAGTGGTTTATTTTGGTAAACAGAACTTTTTTGGAGCACTTTTTATATCAGATCGATAGACTGTTAATATAGATTTTATATCAGGAAAGGATACGCAGAAAAGACTTCATAACGGCGAAAACCTTCATTCTTCTTTCAGTGTTTGCGATACAATTCAGAAAATAGAAGGCTAGAATTACTACCCAGCCAACCTATTTAATACATGGCGACCATGCGCAACAACTGTTGTGAACATTAAGATTTGATTTGTCATTGCCATCGATACGCCCACAAAGTGCAACTCACGGATAAAAGGACGAAGCCAGGGTGATAGGCACGTGTGCTCTTTCGTGTTTCTGTAAACTTTTAAACGCTTTCTCGAGTCTTTGAAAGAACTCCTTTAATTGTTGATGTGGCTTATTTAATATATGCTAGACATTACTAGGCTTAATTCACTAGCGAGCATTTCAACGTTAAGAAAACTTCGGCACCTATAATTCAGAGTTTGAGCAGCGCTATCACCAGTCTTGCTTATAGTATGATAAACTTGTGATAAACTGATATAGTGGCATGGTAGCCGAGAAGCATGAGTGTTAGAAGACAGCCTAGATTTCTTTCTTGCAGATTGCCTTTTTTTCCCATGCATATTAATTTTACAACTCAATAGTGATGTAAAAGGCAGGATTTACATAAATCGCGTTCAGAATGGCCTGTCATAGGTCTTGTGTTCCACATAGGTCTTCGGTTCCATCTCCATGGGTCCCAAGATAGCTGCAAGTAGTTGCTTTGAATTTCTAAACATATTGAGTGAGTCCATGATCCAAGACAATAATTTTGCGCTGTTCTCTAGTTTTTGAATCAGTAAGAAGTTTGGAATGTAACTGTGCGGCAAATTTAATTCCAGACTCTTCACTCCAATGATCCTTGCTTACTCAGGAAAGCTTGACGAGACTATCGTTTTCGTTCCATGAATAGCCGCTCTTCCTGGTGAAATATCATGTTGGGGTTCTTCTGCTTCAAGGAAAGAATGGTTTCCTGGAAAGCTCATATCGGCGGCCTTTGATGTTCATTTCTTTTATAGGTGAAAATTAGGACCGTTTGGTCACTAGCAGTGCTCGTCCTCAAATTATCACAGCTTTGAGAGGCACTAACTTCGTAGCTCCATGTGAACGTCTGATGTGAGCACAAGACATTTTTCATACGAAGCATCTTAAAAGCTTTCAGCAAGTCCTTACAGTTCCCCAGTCGGTTCATATCCGTGTAGCAGACGTTAGCTCGGTTATTCAAGTTGTTCTTTGCTGACCGATCGAGCAATGCGGGGAAGCTATTCCGCTGCTTTAATTTTAACTCCACGACTTTTTTAAACTAAGCCATTGAAGTTTACGTCGTCATCATTCCATCGTATGATCCGAAAAAGACCAAACTTTCACTTTATATCAAAACCTTTTCGTTCTGTCACTACTCGGGAATCTTCTCGAGAGTTCTTGGGGATATTTTGGACTCTCCTGCAGTTGATACGATAGAACTTCCATTAGCTTATCGATATTGATATGTTTTCATAGATTCCCAAGGCAAAAGCAAATAACTGCCGAAGAAAACATTAAAAAGCATAGGTGAGGTGACTTTCATGCCTACAAACAAATCGAGACGTGTTCCCCAGTGTTCTGTTATCCGGTAGTTCATACAGAGAAGGTCTATGAAGTCTGAACACTTTCATTTTCTTAGCTTAACTAAGTCAACCATCAAGTAAAATTTTTCAATATCTTTAATGCCATAGTTATTCTTTGTTTCCTTCGTTTACAAAACTGCCATAAACTACATGAAACCCACTGAACAAATGAGCTTTAGTCAGGAGAACACTTCCATTACGACTGTGATCAACACCCTTCTTGATTTTTTTCTTTATTTTAGTGTGATGTTAATATTGTGTAACGTTTTTTCCTATGAACGGGGCCGTGGCCTGATTAATCAAGACTATCTTAAACTTTGTTTCGAGTTCGATGCTCACAATTCATTCGTGCTTGCGGTGAGTGACGAGAGAGAAGTAGAACATTACACAGCTTTGCTTTTAACAAATTGCATCTAAGAAAAATCCACCAAGCTCTAGTCGAGAATACTTCACCTGTTGTGGCTAAGAGCCTACTGGTTCATTGAGGTAAATAGTATGTCAGTGACCCTTCTAAAGGGAACTTGTAATTCTTTATGTTGGCCCTGCCGAAGTGACCTTTCTCAATGGAAGCTCTTTTCCTTATTTCTTGTTTATTCCAGCTATCTCGCCTTATTGTCTTGATTCAGGATTGCTCCAATGAAGGGCCTTGTCGTGTGCACTTTTCTAATGATTTGTGTCATTTCCACATTCGCAAAATTGCAAAATGTGACCGTTAAAGGAGTAGCGGTCTGCCAAAAAAGACGTATGGCCAATCAACGTGTTCAACTCTATGATAGGGACACCTGTAAGTTTATTTGGGATAAAACCAATTAGTAATATCGATGGTACTGTAAGATCACGCAAGCATGTTGTGAATTGAACTACAGCAGGTGGATCTTTCTAGAATCATCCGGAAACAGGCGTAGTATACTTGAACCATGACATGTAGGTCTAAACATTTGAATATGATTAAAATAGTCTGTGGCTTTTTATTACAGTGGATCCAAATGACCTTCTCTCCGAAATTCATACTAACAAGGATGGAGAGTTTGAGTTGTATGGAGAAGAAAACGAGGTAAATGAGAAATTTTGAACATTTATAGAATATCAGACTACCGTTTCAACTTGCCTGCCAACGGTTTACCGCCTCACCGTGGCAGGGAGGTATTTCTGGGTGTCGGGCTGTGTTGTACAACGGAGGCATTCATTCTCCCGGCAAGGTCTCCCAAGCTAAGAAGAAGTCCGACATTCCTATTCGGAAGCCCAGCTAAGAGTAAACCGATACCAGGAATCACCACCGTTCTGGTATCAAACCAGTCGCAAGGTGGTAAACCTCTCCCTGATCCACATGGGTGGTGACTGCCTGTGGTGGTGACGAACCGGGGTAGACTTTGGCCAGGCTGACCTCGGGTCTTCAGGGAAACACAATGGTTAAACCAGCGAAACTCCGAAAAATGGAGAATATACTGGAACCCGCATAAGCAGTAAGGACGGACCGTCCAACTATCCAAGTATCCAAGTAAGTGTCAAGTTGAGACACCTCGGAACGTTCTCGTCTGTTTGAAGTAGAATTTCGATAATAGAATTGGAACCGGACTTTATTTATTTACACATCGCATACTGGAATGAAATTAGTTGTCTAAACAGTCATTTTATAGCTGGGGAGCATCGAGCCGTTTGTTCGAATTCACCACAACTGCAATACAAAACCAGTAAGTTTTTTTAAAAAATGTGTTTAGCAACTTTCTCTAAATCATTTTCATAGACATAACACATATAAAATGTAGTCAACCCGCAGATAGCTTTTAGTTCAAACTTTATTGAAAACACTTGTTAGCCTTTTGAAGCAGTTTGACTAGTAGTAGGGCTTTCAAGTGATAATCTAGTCCGTCTTGATTGGACTACCTTGGCACGGACTCAGTGGAAAAGGAAGCAGTATGTCAGTTTTTCTACAAGGTAATTTATAAATAAAAAAAAATAAAGGACAAAGGACAAAGTACAATTCGTTTGGTGTTGAACCTGTGGAAGTAGTCTTGAACTCAGCTTCATCAAAGGATCACTGAATGCGTATGTTACTCGTACATTCACTTGGATAGACATAGTTCGATACTTTGATGCCTACCTTTCACAGATTTTACGGGGTAAACGCGCCTTTTATATGGCTCATGTTTTGTTAGTCGAGCTAGTTTTTCCTCTTCGGAACCATGAGAGTCCAAAGCCAAGTCATTGTCTTTCCAAATTGTCACCAATGACATCCTTTCGCGTTTTTCTTACTCTGATCAGTACGAGGTGCCCGACTAGGTTCGATTCAGTGTAAACGCCTATGGTCAACATGGTTATTTTCGGAGTCTAATTAAGTTTTTCCGTCCTTAATGTCTTTTTTTAATCAAATCTTTTCATTAAAGGTCAACCTGATACTGCCGCGATTCACTTTTGACGCATCCGAAATCTCAACACATGACACCCAAGGTGCATGGTTTGCAATGCTTGCATAGGTGTTAAAGTAGACGAAATGCATTGCACTCTATGCATTCCCATTCTGGTTGTTTATCTTGCCATTTAAAGTTCGTTACTGCACTTTTTAGGTATTTAGTTGTTAGCTGGTAATGATAGTTCCACTTTGTTCTTGCAGTGTTGTTTAAGGTTTGACATCATTAGTTCGTAATTATGAAGACGCATGCTAAGTTAAACACAGAACGTAAACTAAACATGGGCTAAAAATTAAAACGTTCCTTAGACAGAAAGCAGCAAATTTAACAGCTGGTTGAGAACATATGACATAATAAATGTGGTCATGGAGATGAAAGATAGAAGAGCTATGTTTATCCCAATTTTATTGCAAAAATCGAGATAATCATTTCTTTTATCGATCTGCAGAAATTTTGGAATCATTTTTAAACAGAGTTCAAGTACCGGGGAATTCTAGTACCAGTGAGAAATGGGCTACCCTTCCTTGCTGTTATCCTCTTCCTGCTTGAGTTTGTGAAAGCAATTCAAGTTGCTTGCATTCACTCGAAATGTTGAAACAACTCTTACGTCAAATATCTTGCAAAATATTTCAGATGGAGGAAAATGCTTTCTAGCCTTCTGTTGTTTAAGTTTATCACTAAGAATAGTAACACAACAACAGCTGATGGTGATTAATCAAATAAGCTCTGTGTAAGACGACATTCCGACCTGCTGTGGATGTTAAAGTTTATGGCTGAGAATTATAATGGACGACGACGGTAGAAAAAGTTATTACTTAGAGTTACTTTCAATCAGTTATTTTGCAAGGATCGCAACCGATATTCACACTGGTGGTCTCATTCTTGTGCGGATGCAGCTATTTCTTGACGATCTAGCTTGCTTCCCCATCAGTACGTTCAGCGGTGGTGTAGCGAGGGTCTCCTTAAAGTTTTGATGATGACACTTCTAGAGTGGTCCAGGGCCTTTAACACAACAGCAGTCGTCAGCCATGGGTCGGAGAAAACTTTGCGGCTTTCTGATCAGAATTCTTCGGAGACTACTGCGATTCCTGTGATTTTTCGGTCGTTCAATCAAAGACCATCCAACATCTCGAATCCACAGAGTAATATTGGAATAGTCAATAACGTTGCAGCAGTAGCAGTACTTAAGTAAGAGCGAATGACTATAGATAACAGAGGAGACCGGTCGATATGCATAATTTCCATGGTGTTGAGAGATATATGTCTCTGATGATAATTGACTTACGCCGTTTCAGGGTTGTACTCGTGTCAGTGACTACGAGGTACCTCATAACAAAATCGGTGGGCTGTACGACATGACGTACGTCACACTCGACATTGTTGTACATGGTGAGAAGGAGGAATGCTGATGATAGTCATACCTTTCATAGGCTTGAGGGTTCTGAATACTATGAGACCATGCCAATATGCATGATATGACTATATGTCGACAGATTAAACTATATTACCTTGATACTTTATAGATAACGTATACATTGTTTACGTTAAAAATAAATCCTTAAAATTTACGAAGAGCCATAAACACACTTAAACAACAACAGTGCAAAAAGCAGATCGAAACTAGATGAATATCGTTGAGTAAAAATTGATGGATGTATAATAAATACTAAATAACCAAATTCTTTGCCACAATTTTCGGTTTCACACGCGGGCTATAAATAGTTACAGTTTCTGGATAGGCCTACTCTTAATTTTGCTTTTCCAATTTTAAAAATGATTTGATTACTGTGGACTAGGGGACAAGTAATAGACCAGTGGTGGTGATGCCGTTCATCGCGAGCGCAGTGCTGGTCCTACCCCACTTCGGACTCACCAAGGGTTTCATGCTTCCGTGATAAGGAAATTGGTAGCATACTTGTCTGGAAATAGTTCAGCTCTTCCAGTCCACGGGAACAACTTAGCTCGACTACCCCAGGAGTCGAGGAAGAATCGATTTCACGAGAATTTAACGACATTCACAAGAAAGGCGACAATCCTCGAGCAGCGGCCGAAGCCACACGCGAGAAGTTCGAAGATCTTCAAGAATGCTGGGTGCGAGAAAATGAGTAGAATGCAAGAAGTGCGAGGATCCGCACAGTAGATGTGAACTGGGATCCTGTAAAATAAAGTTATAAAAGTTGCTGCATGGTTAGTCCGAATTTTAGTTCGCATTCTTTTCAATGTCACTTTTCAATTTCCTTAATCGTTTCTGGAAAACTGGATTACGAGATTTGGATAGTTGTAACAATATTCCGAAAAACGTAAAGCATTGAAGGATAAGTGGTGGAGCGAGCAGCGTTGACCAATTCACTGAGATGCGCCGTGCATTCGACTCCATTCGTGACATGGTAGAGATGACCGGGGGTATGTGCATTTGATCAATCCAGTCACTTGCGTGACTCTACCAATCAGTTCTTTACCTCCATGGACAAGTCCGTCATTAATTTTCCGACGTCAGCGGATATGGTTTGTCCACGAGGTGGGATCAAGCAAAGACCTTGTATATTCAGAGTGCTTCTAACCACTGCACTACGTGCACCTTATGTATCATAGAACACTATGGATATATTATGGTTGTGAAAAAATAGCACTGCACCATGCATGTGACTAGATATGTAATAAGGAAGAAATGTGGGTTACACATGAGCTAGTATTGTATTTCGGATTATGAGAGATTCACACCGTAAAAGTCTAGGTGATGGAAAAGCTGTATGGGCATAAAAAGCTCTTACAGTGCCTTAAATTTAGGTTCAGAGTTTTTCCCAGCTGTTTTGAAGTCGCGTTAACCTCGTATCAGTACACCAATCATGTTTGACGAAAACATAATATAACAGCATCGTTACTTCTATAATGCTGAGATATTTGCAAAACTCTGGACCGCAGGTGTCTGCGGTGGACCGCATGTGCATGCGGTGGGAAACGAACGCGATATTATCCTTTCCAGGAAGTAACGCGTTCACCACCACACCACGCGGGTCCTTCGTTTCGCCTGTCTCTCAGCCAGTTCTATCGATATTAACACTTAGACAACATACCCTGTCATTAAAAAGAATAGGCAATAAATAAAAAGGTTAAGCAACGTTACTTTCCTAGAAGAAAAAATCTTTGGTGATCACAAACTGGCAAATATTCAGCCGGTCCATCAAATCCGGCTACTTCTTGTGTTCCTGTCGAACTGGGAACGGATTGAAACGGGTTTGTCGAACTGTCCAAGTGTTAATATCGAGTATTTATGGTCAGATATTCATCAATGCTCGAACTTTAGAGCTTCTGCAGCAAGGTGCAGAAAATCTCTACTGTCATATCTACCACTGCTTTTCAAAGAATTGAACCTAAACTCATCTTACTCTACCAAGAAAACGCAGATTTGGTTAAAAATATTTAGCAGCACAAACACAAAATTGTATGGTTCTTCACGGATCGTTTACTGAAGACATTATGCAAGGCTCACCAAGCCCTCCATCCCTTCAGGTACTCGACAAATTGGTATCAGACTTGTCTGGGAGGATAACAGCACTGACTGCATATATCAGTAGGCTAGCGCCAGTCATTGTATAGACCAGATATGGATTCAGTCACCTCTAACGATCGTTGATAAAATCAAATGAGTAGCACAAATTGACCTGTGCCCAGAGCTTCATCCCTTACTCTTTATCCTTTATCATGCAAAGCAAAATGCCGAGGGCAACACACGTATCTGTTTGCTGTCTCATTGGCACAGCTGTCACCGTCTTCATATATAAAGCCAGTGCTGATGAATTCAGATCCATTCAGCTCTCGATCACTTTTCCCGTCCACCTCTGCCTATATCAGTGTCCGAGCTTCATTACGTTGTAGACCCATCTAATACCGTTTTGTATTAATACTTCTCGAAGATTTTCCTACTAAAAATAAGACATTGTGGAAAACTCTGATCTCAGAGAATTAAATAACTAGAATGAATCACAATGGCTTACGAAGTTGAAACTTTATCTTTCTTGCTATATGAAGAAGTCTATTTGCAAAGAGCATTAATGAACAGAAAAATTTTTTAAAAAGACATTCAAGAGTGGTAATGGAACTAAGCTGAAGTAAGCACCACTCAAGTCCTGAGGAATTCCTAGCTCTTTTTTCTCTTCCCTCTATGCATTCAATATCATTTAATCGCTTTGGCTTTCTTCTCTTTCTTCTTTTCGTTCTGCTATACATTTGATAGTATCATTTTAGGTAGACCGTGTTCTTTACGCCATGCGTTCTCTCGTAGTTGTAACTCTAGCGATGTGTTTGGTGTCAGTAATGGCAAAAATGCAAAACGTCACGGTGAAAGGTGTTGCCGTGTGTAACAAGAAGCGTCTGGCCAACGTCCATGTCGAATTGTACGATAGGGATACCTGTAAGCAAGATAAGCTTGTGATTTTTATTGCGTATAGTAACAAACACAACCAGTCGCTTAGCATTGGCAAATACAAGAGAAGTTAAAACAGCACTTTAACAGAAACTGCATTATGTCTTCAAATACTAAATTTCTATTTGCTGCCTACTGTAATTTTTCATGGCAGGGTATAATGCAATATACAACCATAATGTTGCTGAGATATTTGCAAAACTCCGAACCTCAGGTGTCTGCAGTGGAAAGAGAACCCGCTATTACCCTTCCTGGGGTCTAACGCGTTCACCACCACACCATGCTGGTACTTCGTTTTGCCTGTCTCTTGGCTAGTTCTATCGATCAGTGCCATCAGCAATCACCCGCCAACGGGATTGATCTGAGCAGCCCAAATCATCATTGAATAGGTCCGATCGATAGAACTAGCCGAGAGACAGGCGAAACGAAGGATCCGCATGGCATTGTGGTGGACGAGTGAGCCCCTGAAAGGGTAATATCGCGTTGGTTCTCCACCGAAGACACTTAAGGTCCGGAGTTTTGCAAATATCTCATCATCATTGTGGTTATACCTTTATATTTTCAAAAACAAGACTTATCTTCAGTGTTGATGCAAACTGCCTCTATATCTATAGATTAAACATTTCCGTTTAAAGTACTCGTTTTTTTTATTTTACGGTTGCCGCATTTTCTTGAAAAATGGTGTTTCAAAGTGTTTAATTCCAAAACACTGGCGGCTTACTGCTTCTAAGTTGGGTCACAGCTGAAGCGCTTGAAGCTTTCATCCTCACTGTTTATCTATTTTACACTGACAGCTTGGGATCGTTAGGGTACTGCTATCTTCCAGGGCCACAGTGGGAGAAATCTGTCCAAGGACACCGCCCAACATCAGGCTGAATAAACATTCCGTCAAAAACCTATGGAGATTTTTTCTTAATGTGCTCACACGACGTCTGAACGGTCTCCTCAAAGAGCGCTTATTTTTCCCTTCTTAGATCACAAATTCAATTTCACCATTCAATCTTTTCAAATTGCACATAATCTTTTGTTAGCCACAGAAGGAAAGACAGTGAACGTGCGTTAATTTTATGGCAAGATCATGACCACCAACGGACGGACGTCTTTTTCTAATATTTGGGTAACGATACTTTGATATCAGACCCAGCTGTTGCAAACTAAACAGACTCCTGAATCACCTCACCTTGCATTTTCTGGCCTCAGCTCACTACCAGTTGCTGTTCACGAATCTGTGCGCTCGACCTGAATGAGTGGTACTAATCTGTGAATAGTTGAAGTGACTCAGAAAAAATCCTTCAACGAATTCTTACAGGAGACTTTAACGGCGGATAACGAAGAGCTATCAAAAAATAAAGCAAGATTTAAATGTTTTAAAAAGAAGGCTGAAAAAATAAAAACCACCTATTAGCTTAGCCTCCTGACCGGAAAACATCTATTAGAAAATCGATGTGGCTTGAAATCAAGAGTTCCTCAAATAGATGAATAATCAAAACATCTCAGGGAGATTACAAAAAGCCGTTGAAGGACATTGCTAAGTCAAGATGTTGCGAAGATGTTGAATGAAAATTACTCCTACAGTTTCCGTCCAAAGTTCCGGTCTTTCCAAGGAGGTTCAGTTTTCAGAAGAAAGCAAGATCGTCCTTGAATTTTTTAGGGTTAAAGAAAAAGAAAAAATTGCGAACTCTAATACTCCATTATTTAATCTCATCAATTATATATGCGAAAACGTTAGCTAAGATATGTAGAAGTACTCTACGGTAGTGAATAACTTTTCTAGTTAGTAAAAAGTTCTCAGATAATACGAGAGTAGGTAGAATGCTTATAGGAAATTCCAACTATTGAAATTAAGGCCTCCAAGTAACATTTTCTTTGGAAAATTTAGTGGATCCCAATGATTTGCTCGCCGACATGCATACGAACTCCGAAGGTGAATTCGAAGTCTTTGGCCAAGAAGACGAGGTATGACGGTTCATCTTCTGTTGATAGTAATTTCTAAATGGTTATTGTGATTTTGCACAATAAAGATGCTAAAACTTTAGATGAAAACTTACAATTTAGGTTTAAATAAAAATTTAGGTCGGCAGCATCGAACCGTTTGTTCGCTTCACTCATAACTGCATGGTGTCGAAGCCCGTGAGTTTTTCTAGCAGTTGTCATCTACAGTCACGATTTTTGATAAAACACCATTTTCACAGAACGTCCACCGAAGAAATTTCTAGTCAATTGGTACCTTAGTCGCTATTAACCCTCTGTTTTTGTCACTATTGTCGTACTTTCTTTCCTTCTTAACAATGTCGTTATAATAGCTAAAATTTTCGACGAACACGTTATCGAGAGGGTGTTTCCCGTACCTTGCTTGTGAGAAAGAGATTCCTAGGTTCTAATGAAAACTAACGATTCCTACTACTCGTTTGATATCAAGTTAAGTAGAGTCATGTATATTCAGATCAGTGGTTAAAGACGCCCTGCAATACATGCATGCACGTACCAGGTACACCATCTCTTCGATTTAACAAATTAGTGGCAAACTTGTCTAGGAGGTTAAAAAACGCTGTTTGATACATCGCTAGGCTACTGCAAGCTATTGTATAGGCCAACTATGCATTTAGTTACCTCAGCTACGCTACAAATGAAGTCGAATGCATGGTACATTCTTAGGAGAGTAACCTACCGTAGGCCAATCCTCTCATCACTGTTGTAGTAGATAATATCCTATAGTCAATTTTCCAGCAAAGGTACTCCCAATAGGTAATAATTTTTATGATCAGCTTATTTATCATTGATTTTCTTCACACCCAACTTTTCCGAGAGCCACTTGGAGGATGCATTTTTGAATCAGAGGAGAGTGGAAAAAACATCCGGTATTGCACTAGAGAGCCTGCTTAGCTAGTGAGAGTACCTAGTCGATGCATCGACTCGCTCATTGATTTCGTATTCACTGTGATGATACAAAGGCAAATTTCAATGAAGGAAATGAAGACCATATATTCCGTGGTTTTTCCACCGTTTATGGTTAGCTTTCTCATATCTCTCTCGTTCTCCATCTTGTTAGTATTACTTGCAGCGAGTAGTTCGAGTACCACTAGCATCTGTGAAATGTCATTCATGCCTCGATGTATTCAACACAAGATCCACAGTGAGAGTCCGTCTATGACTGACAAAATAAATAGTCATACTAGAAGATAATTCGGTTTGTATTTCAACTGAAAATTTTTAACCCGCGCTTGCCAATCTGAGACACATTTTCTTTCCTTCAACTTGAGACATTGCTGGAATTTTTGCACGGCAGTTTACCACTTCACTGTTGCTGGGCGTTATTCGTGGGTGCCAAGCTGCAATGTACAACAGGTCTTCATCCTCGAAGTCACGAAAACAGCAGACATCACCAATCCTTGTAGGAGGTGCCATGCATTCGACTCCATTCATAGTTTCCATAATGCTGAGATACTTGCAAAACTCCGTACCGCAGGCGTCTGCGGTGGGAAACGAACGCACTATTATCCTTTCCGGGGAGTAACGCGTTCACCACCACACCATGCGGATCCTTCGTTTCGCCTGTCTCTCAGCTAGTTCTATCGATTATTGCCATCAGCAATCACCCGTCAACGGGATTCGATAGAACTAGCTGTGAGACAGGCGAAACGAAGGACCCGCATGGTGTGGTGCCAAACGCGTTACTCCCCGGAAAGGATAATAGTGCGTTCGTTTCCCACCGCAGACAATTGCGGTCCGGAGTTTCGCAAGTATCTCAGCATTATGGAAGTTATATTTCGCAACGTACCTTGCCATTAAAAAGAATTGGCAGTAAATGAAAAGGTTAAGATCCATTCATAGCATCGTAGAACTCACTGAGTGCATATTTGACCAACAGATTGAGTTACGTGGGTATGGCCATGTATCAGCTCCATACCTCTTGCGCTCCCACCAGTTAATAACAATTTTAGGAGCCAAGGAGAGTGGAGTTTTAGTTGTTAAATTCAGTGGTGCCTCGTCGAGCCAACAATTCTGTAAGTATTGCAGGGCAACTTTATCAATTGCGCTATACGTGTTCCTGGTGGCGAACACAGTTTTTTCCCTCTTTTTTCCGAACACGTTTGTTGCTCAGCACAAAATACTATTCGCTATTTAGGGATGCCAGCGCATAGGCGACTATGATGTACCTCACGACAAGATCGGTGACGTCTACGATATGACGTATGTCGCACTTGATATCAAAGTACATGGTGAAAAGGAGAAGTGTTAGAAAACATCACCGCAACCGGTCTGATTCCATATATCAATGATTTGTAACGAATGATTTGTCTCTTCCGAATAAATATCATCAGAATGTAACGCATAGCATACTATTTCAAACCTTATGTTGCAGCCAAGTTGTCGCTCTAGTTATCTTCTAGGAAAATTCCTTCGATCTTATTCTTTCTCTATGAAGAGTTTATATATGCAGATGGTTTTCTACATAACTGAGATTACACGAGCTTGATATAAAGACTTTTACTCAGCTAATGTTTCGGCCCCTCAACCTCCTTCAGACCCGCACTAATCTAAGTCGATGATTCCACGCTGATCGTTGTCTCCCTGTGGGCATTCGTAGTCGCATTAATCGAATCCAGTACAATAAGCACTATCGAGTGCTCCACCATGTAGAAAATTATCGATTACTCCTAATAAAATATAATGAAAGTCGGTTTTTAAGATATGTAGATGATTATGGCTCGGCCCTAATAAGTAGAGTTCGAGGAGATGTAGAACAGGCCGAAACTACTTCACTACATTAGCAAGAATACCTTTTATTCATGTACGTGAAACTCCTTGATAGTTATGAAACCGTAATATCACTTTTAGAGGCGCGTGTAGCACAGTGGTGGTGATGCCGTTCAATAATACCTAGAGAAGACCTTGATTCAAACCTTTCCACAGCAGTTATGCGGTGCACTTCTCGCAGGCCACGAAATTCGTATCACACTTGCCTGGGAAGCTCTTTACAACACACAAAAGATGATAGTGGCGTAATCTATCAGCATCCAATGGTATTCATAAAGAAGACCAAAACCCTCAAGCAGCAGGCCGAGACGCACTCAAATCCGATGACTTTCGTGGTTGTTGTATGCGGGAAAACGAATAAAATGAAAGTAGCACTCGAATGGTTATAGGTAATTTAGTGGATGAAGCATTTATTGACAAACATTTACAGATTAGCACGTATTTCATGGACCAATACTGTTTTAAAAAATGCCCACTTTTTGAATCCTTGAGGTTTTAAGGTCTTCTTTAGATTAGTAAATGTATTTATTACTAAGGAGACTGATCAGAAAATCTGATTCTCTGAATACAGTTGAGGCTTTCTTCATGAAGCAACGAACGGCTGCTCTGTAATGCTCATTTCACCGTCTATTGAGTTCTAGTCAATCTTGAGTTTATTAGATGCTACTGAGGCACGCGAAGAATTGCATCTCCTGTATTACTTGTCACATCGTTGAGCGTTGAGTGACTCGAGCCGGCGCCAGTGAAGCTATCACTCGCGGACAAGGGTAGGCTATTGGGTTTTGCACGCTCTAGTGAGTCGTTGAGCATCATCTCTTTCTTATAAGCTTTTCGTGAAGAACACTGATAATCGGGTCGGTGGTCTTTCTACAGTACGTTTGACACCCCAATGAATGCAATCACTAACGGCTCTTATTCACCGCTTGTCGTACATAGGCACTACGTGTCCAGCACACTTTATCTTTTTATGGATACAGAACAGCGTCTTTGATCTTCAATCGTTGACGTAGATGGAGCTTCGGATCCCTTGCCTCAACTACGTGATTCGTGATACTCCTAGCAGCGTCATTTCGACCGCGCGTCCAATAACGATGAATTATTTCTCATCCCGCTTACGCAAAGACCACTTTTCTGACGTATACGCTAAGGCAGGAGGAATCGTGGAGTCGAAAAGCTAGGCATCGAGTGGGGCGTTCTTTGTTCTCTTCACCACACCGTTGATGATCTTAAAAGCCCGGATGGTGTAGTGGTGAAGTGCGCTGCTCCCCGGTAAGGACAACAGCGCGTGTTCGTTCCTCACTGCATACACCTGTGGTCCGGAGTTTTGCAAATATCTCAGCACTTCATACGAGTTATATTTCACAACATACCCTGCCATTAAGAAGAAAAAAAAAGGCAGTAAATAAAAGAGTTAAGATCTTAAAAGCTTCCAAAGCTGCTCGCTTACTCTTGCTCAACTCTCGATCTAAGTCGTTCATCGTGTTGATTTCCCGACTAGGTAAACTTAAGTGAAGCATTCCGATATATTCGTCCCGTTCAGCATGAATGGGCATACGTAACCAATCCGTTCCTCACGAACATCTTTTCTGTGAGATTTAGTCAAAGACCAATCGTTCCACAGGCATTATCAAAGTCGGAAAGCATTCGTTCCGCTTGGCAATTTTTTGATGTTGCAAGAACCATGTCATCAGCAAAGCGGAGGTGGTGTAATCGGCGACCATCGATTTTCACTCCCATATTATCCTATTCCAATGTTCGCATGACGTTCTGGAGGGTGGCGGTAAATAATTTTGGCGAGATGGTATCGCCTTGCCTAACTCCTCTCGTGACGTCAATGTTAATATCGTTGTACAACGGTGATATTTTAGTTGTGAAGGTTTTAGTGTATAGCTCACGAGGAACTTTTATCAACTGAATAATACCCCTGCATGTCTAGGGCTTTCATAACTGCTTCAATACCAGATGAGTCAAAAACGTGAAAGTGAGGAAGGGCGGTCTCTTGTACTCTCGCGATACTTCATTGAGTCTTATTATCGAGTGGATATTTCCGCTCGTACTGAATCCTTGTCAAAACTCCGCTTGCTCACATGGCTATCTTTGGTCTAGTATTCTCTCAATTCTGTTTACGACTACGCGAGTAAAGAATTTGCGGACGATAGACAGCAAGCAGATTGGGTAATAGTTGCCAATATCGTGGAGGTCACCCTTCTTGAACAATAACACGGTCCTGCTGGTCTTCCATTGAGTAGGAACATTGCACTCTGACATGTAAACTGAAAGGAGCAGAACGAGTGTGTTTACGAGGGCTGAGAGAAGGTTTTTCAACCGCTCAGTTCTTAACCTGGTGTTCCTCGGTTCCTCAACAACGAAATAGCATGTCGAATTTCGAGAGGAAAAACCGATGGTATGATTTGTCCATCCTCTTTTATTTCGTATGAAAGAACGAAGGGGTGGGTATTGAGGATATGCGAGTAGTACTCGCGAGTTGTTTTCTCCATTTCCTTTCTGGACGCTGTAACTGTTCCGTTTGGGTGCCGGGGTTCAATCATCTTGCTCTTGTAAGTGAGGGAGCTTCGGTGAACTTTCCCACTGCTTACCCTAGCCTCTGCTGCTTTGACCATAACTGCTGCTATTCTGTTTTTGACATCTTCTTTTATCTCGTTAAAATGGTTGACCTTACACGGGGTCAATAAAATTGCTTTATCCAGCTAACACCTCGACGTCTTCGTCTTCATTAAAGCCGATGATACAAGTCGATGGTGCACAGTTGTTCGCCTTCTCGATGTGGCGCCTTCGTCGTCGTATCTATACGAATCTTTTTTAGCCTTTTCTTTATCTTCTCGCACCTTTTTCCTTTTTTTCCGATCTTCTTCTTTTATCACCTGTCTGCAATGGTTCGCAAGTTCTAACATGATTAGGCGATTGCCTTTAGCTCGTTCTATTCCACGCTGACATAGCAGCTCGAGTGTTTCCGGAGGAAACGTCTTTTGGTGACTTTCGAACTCTCAGGTCTCATAGTCCAAACATGAAGTCGTTGTGAGTCGATGGTATTCCGTGTTGATGTTTTCAAGAACGGCAACTTTCCAACAGCCGACTAATGGACTGAATAGATCCCGGTTTATGGTGGCTTTGGGATTTCGTTTTTTATAAATCTAGCCACTTTTCTCCTATCCGAGAGAAATGGAATCTTGTACGAAGGAGACGATGGTCTGATCCTGTGCAGAATTTTAGTAGAATAGCGACACGGATTAGGCAAAACCTTCGATTTACTAATTTGGTCCATTTCTTTATGGAACTCTCTATTGGCAGACTCCCACGTCCAGCGTTGAGGGTGGGGCTTCTGGAATTGCGAGTTACCATGAATGATCTTGGCCATCATGATGAAATCGAGCAGCCGCTTACTCTGTTCGTTCCATTATAATTCTCAACTCCCAATGCGACGTTCTTCAGACTTATTGTGGGCCTATTCTTAGCGTTAAAATCTCCGATGATGGCCTTAAAGAGCGTGTAGTCTTCTCTGTAGAACTACTCCAAGCCTTTATAGAACGTTTCGACTTTATTTTCGTCATAGTTTGATGTCGGAGCGTAAACGATGAAGATTGCCAAAGCCGATATTGATCCACAACTTTTTAATCGTAAACCTCCGATTCGGGTTGTTTGTTGTTCGAATGAATCAATGTTCATGGATAAGCTCGTGTTGATGAGAATGCCGACGGCACCGGCTTTTCGTTCTAATGTCGCATTTTCCAAGGAACAGCTCTTCTCCGGTGGCAATAGACAGCTTTGAATTGCTGGTATCTTCTAGTCTCAACTAGCCCGATGCCGATGACGCCGTACCATATCTTTCTTTTCTTCATGACCAAGTCCTTCATCAAGGGCTTAGATGCAAGTGCTATTTTTATTGATTTCAGTAGCCTGTGTTACCCAACGATGCCGTATAGGATGCTCTTTCGGGGTCAGAGGAATGAGGTTCATTTGTTTAAATGTGTTTAGCCTTTGGTACCCACGTATAGCTTGTTGAGCTTTGAATGTCACTTGACTGAAAGCTATTCCCGAACTGACTTGTAGAACATGATCCGCATAAACGCGAACACATCCATCCATGCATATACCGACACTTCTACGAAAACAGAGAAAACATGTACCAAATCGGCGCCACAAAAACAGGGAGTCGATCTCTTGCATCCACTTACGTCTAGAGTAGCATAAGGTCGCTTTTGGTCCGCGATTAACCTCCTATCCGCCACCTGGAGACGCGCAACGTTGCAACGTTACTAACCAGTAGGAGTCCCTCTGTGAGGGTCATCTATGGAAGAACTGCACATTTTCGAAAAAAACTGCATAGCGGACTACCAGTTGATTGAGCTTGCTTTCAAACCTCAGTCTCATATTTTGACCAGGTACAGGTAATTGCTAAACTTTCTTCAGTGCTTAAAAATGCTATATTTGACACTTGAACGTCCTCACTGGTTGTGCTGGCTCCAGGATAATCACCATTTATCGCAGATTTGCTGGTTAAGCCATTGTGGTTTCCTGGAATCCCGAGGTCAGCGTGGCCAAAGTCTGCCCCAGGTTTTCACCACCATTGGCAGTCGCAGCCCTTGTAAATAAGAGGGAGATTTAGTACCGTGCGACTTTGATACCAGGACGGTGGTGGATCCTGCTATTGGTTTACTCTTAGCTAGGCTTCCTGACGGAAACGCCGGACTCCTTCTCAGCTTGGGAGACCCTGCCAGGGGATGAATCCCTCGTTGCACATCACAGTCCATCACGCAGGAACACCTCCAAGCCATGATTAGGCTGTAAACCGTTGGGAGGTGACACATAGTTATCCCACTTTACCGTTCCAAGTCTCACATTTCGAATAGAAAGCAGGTGAACAAATGAGTTTTCTCAATGATATGATGATTTTCCTCAATATATCATCTATGACTATAGCTACAGGTCTATCGTTGGAAATTTTAGAAACTTGAATTTCGTTGTAAATTTTTTGAAAACTCTAATTCTGAAGACATTTGAATGTGAATTGCTGGCTGGTTCGATCCCGTGTCCCACGCACGCAAAGCCTTCCATTCCTCCAGAGTCGGCAAATCGGTACGACTTGTCTGGAACTATAACAGTACTGACTTGATATGTCCGTTAACCACCGCAGTTCATTGTATGGACTAGATTTGCAACCAACTTCAATGATGCTTGATGCGATGTTTGATGAAGTCGAATATGTAACAGGTCCGTAACGATTTGTCAGCGCTCTATTTTCTTTTTTGCACAAATAATACCAAAGAACAACGTCTTTCCTCTAAATATTTAAAGTTCTGAACTCTTAAATATTCCTCGTCTCAAAAGTTGAAAAAGAAATAAAATTCTACAACTGTATTTCACTGATATTCTACTTTCCTCGTCGCAGAATCACTTGACACCTGACAGAAGAAAAATCGCCAACAATATTCGCAAATAAAAAAGAAGCTTTCGGGCTACCCTGGAGGGATGGAGGACTTGGTGAGAAAGGAGCCCAAGAGTCGATCCCATGTGTATTGCATGGCGCCTCCGACCACTGCGCTACACGCGCCCATAGTCGGAAATATGGATGAAAATGCAACAAAAAACGTTATACAAACAATGCTACCGATAATTAGCAAAAATCTATTTGGAAGAAAATACGTTAAAACGGACACAAATGTCAGCTCACTTACTGTACACAGTAGTACTACTCAAAACTACGGTGACGGCAGTACTACTCAAAACTACGGCAGTACTCTGAGTGATCAGTGGAATGTGATCGATAAAGATCGCTCCAATTTTACAAATCGAAGACGATCGTTACTGGTTCAGGAGCTATTTCAGTGTGCCCGGAACTATTAACACAGAATATTACCACTATAATAACGCTTAACTATGAATCCACATTCTTAAATTTCTTAGCATTTCAAACACACCGCTGATAAGAGAGCGAAATACCGTTAATGTGGGCAGAACAGTACCGCATATCGAGCGCTTCATACCTTCGCCTTATTTTTGCGCTTGGCATCTTTTTCTAGTGCAGTTCCTAGATTTTTATTTCTTGCGCAGTCCCATAAATCTTGGCTTAACGTATGCAAAAGCATTTTCGACGCTTAGTGATGTATTCTTTCATTGATAAACCAGCGCGAGGTTGATAAAAAGATAAAGGATAAAGCTCTCGGCGTTGATCACTCTCTGAGGATTTTGCCATGCATTCGACTTCATTAACCATCGTTAGAAGTGATTGAATGCATATCTGGCGTTTACAATGACTCTCGGTGGCCTACCGATGCATCGTGCCAGTCTACATCGACCCCATGTGAATTGCACGGCGCCTCCGACCACTCCGCCAGACTTGCCCTTATAGTGTTGATACAAAATCCTATTCGGCTAACATTTCAACGTCTTCACCTTCCTCAGAGCCGTGCTGCTAGACTACCTGTGTGTTGTTCACGGGTCATCTACCGTGAACAATGCGCAGGTGGACCAGCAGCATGGTTCTAATGTAGACGAAGTAGCCGAAACGTCAACCATCAAATAACAACAACGACAATAACGATAAGTACATTTATACCAACGTCGCGTCAGCTAAACAAGAGAAGTTCGTGAGATAGTAATGGTTGTCCGGTGATAACAGCTTGTTTCCGGACAGCTCCGGACAATCTATTATTCAGGGGTCGGTATCATTATCAGTTGGCACAGCTCGTAGTAATACTTCAAAAACCGATTTTTCTCTCTCATAATTATTAACCAATATGTATTCTTTCATCGATAAGCTGACACGAGGTTAATGAAAAAAAAGACAGCCACCAAGATGAGAAAGCACCATATCGCGAGGACGAACGGCTGTGGGCCATCAACTCGGTTTACTGGTTTTGAAGAAGAGGACGACGCCGAAACGTTACCCGAATAAAGTTCTTTATCAACCTCATGCCAGCTTATCACTTAGAGAATAGATATTAGTTAATCTTGCCGAGGTTAAAGAAAAGGTTTCTAAAATATGCTGGCTGTTCATTTGAAAAAGTGATTTAACTTCCGTAACCAAATTTCTCCATTACGGAATCGTAGCCAATCCTGCTACCTGGGACTTGTAAATCTACTTCTTTCCAACGGGAATACACCAGCGCATTCAAAATAATACTTCACGGGAACACTGTAGGCAACTTTACAGAAAAACAGTCCTCAGATTCTTGCTGGTACATCTTGTAGTAACTCCCACGTCCCACTTTCTATTAACCTCGGCATTGATTTAATAATTCTCTCTACGTCTGTTCAGCAAATACGAGATGTTATCTTATTTCTTTATTCACGTACAAGTTGACGTTTCGGTGGATTTTCCCATATATGGGCACAATACGATTCCGTGTGAACTCTGTGCAGTTGGTCTCCACGTGACATATTTGGTGGAAGACTCATAGAAAGCGGTGAGTGTGGAGAGACTCTGTGTTCAATGTGATTGAAATTTTGGTTCAGCATTTTCTCTGTTTGGTTATGGAGGTGTTTGGCCGTGTAGATTGCAGTCAACTTGACCTTCCCACGTTCTGAGGAAGGTGAAATCCGCCGAAACGTCAGCCTGTACGTAAACAAAGAAATAAAATAACACCTCATGTTTGCTGAATAGACGTAGAAAGAATCCTCAGCTTATTTAATTGTAACATGCTGGCATGCCTACATCTGAACTGTCGGTGGTTCTTCATAGGACTTCATCGACTGTTTTCTAAACACAACCCTAGTAGAGACAACTCACGTCTCTCACAACATGTGCATATGATTCATCCAAGTATCTAAGTAACTAGGATCACTTTGTTAAAACCAATGTCAAAAAGTGTGAGGAACAGTATTTAGCGATACCTTACCAATCCATGTATGGTTGCTGGTTTTATCTGGCGACGGGATAATGAACCCTACCTCAAGGTAAGTGTTACATCTGTGCACTGTTTTGGCTAATTTACTGCATTTATGCTAACAATTTATAAACAACGAACACAGACCAAGAGTGAAACAAACCCCTATTCTAGGGAAAATCATATTTGATGTTTACAGCCAGCTACAATTAGACTGATGTAAGACGGAAAGATTCCCAAAAACAGTCAACTTTATAACAACTGAGAAACTCCAAAAAAAGCAAAAATTTGGTACGGTACGTAGGAAAAAGCTGAAAAAATGATAAACAAAACAAGATATGAAGGGGAAACAAGTCTCTTCCATGATTACGACTGCGGTGGAGGTGGAGGTGGTGGGGGTGGCGCTGGTGCTGATAAAATACGAGATAAATCTGCTTGTGGTGCCGGTGGAGGCGGTGGTGGTGGTGGCGGAAAACCACCTATTGGTGGTGGAGGTGGTGGCGGCACAGGCAAAGGCATTGCTGATGGACTTCCGTACCAACCACTGAAAATTTCGAATAACAATGATATGATATAAAAATGCTAGAGGTAAAGAGATCAGATATCTGCTATGAATAACTTTCTAACTTTCACTCATCTGTTGCCATGAATAATAAAAGTAAAAGCTGCCAGACGATAAAAAAAATGAAATAAGAATGAAGGTACCCTCGGAAGCTCCCGCGTCCACGTGCACCTGGACTCGAGAAAAATCCATGCGGTTGGTATGGATCTGGAAGAGGCCCCATACCATACGGAGGACGTGTCCCTGGAGGAGGCGGCACCATACCAGCATTCATCATAGCATTCTGCTGTTGAGCTGCAGTACCCAAATTCACGCGAATGACCGGTTGCTGATTGTTAAGAGCTCCACGTGGGAAGAATGTTCCCCTCTGGAACTCTCTCATTAAGACTCATCTAAAGAGAAAAAACTGCACTACTCAAAACTACGCCAAATAAAGATTTACCGTGCCACGAAAAGGCACTGTGCCACCACGGCCACGGAGTGATCCATCTGCTTGGCGAGTTGGACGCTCTCCAAGCTCTTCCATCAAGGCCGAATATTCATCATCCATACCCCCATCGGCAGTGCCAGTAGCATCTGCACCGCCAGGACGAGGATTTTTACAATCTCGTGCGATGTGTCCAGCACCTGAGAAAGAATATAAGTTGGCAAGAAACATATTTAATTTAAGCGCCACTTTACGATCAAGATAATTGTCTAATTAACCTACTTCCACAAGCCATACATACAACTTTAGCAGTAACATTGGGTGCATCAGGACATTCCCATGTTTTGTGTTCGTCCGAACCACAGTTTGAACAACGAGCACCACTTAATTGTAAGAAACTAACCGTGAACCAATTAACGCTCATTAACAACACCAAAAATGTTATTTTTTATGAGATTTGAATACGAACCTGACCAGGTCTTCTGGTCTCAGCGTGCCATTTAGAAGTGCTAATTCTCGCAGCTGAAGTTTTCGCAGCTCATTTTGTCCATCTGGTATCGCTGTAGCCTCCGCGATTATCGAGCGAATCTAGGATTAGGATTTATTATCGAACCATTTTGAAGTTGTTAATAAGCACTGAAATATTCCAAACCAACCTTGTCGCACGCTTTCTTAATCGTTGCTTGATCGGTTCCAGTTACGTATGCATGAAGCGGCTCATTCTCCCCTGGCATAGGACCAAGCCTACTGCCCAGCTTTCCCTCCTTCACTGATCCTTTACCTCTATAAAGAAACCATTCTAAATGGATAAATACAGGCTCGTTTCACTTTATGCTTTCTTAACATGCCTTAAATTTTCAAAAAAAAAACACAAAGTACCTGATAATAATTTTTGCACCCGTTTCCGCTTCCAAACTTTTTAAAGTGTTTCCTCGAGGCCCAATAAGAAGACCAACAAAGTTCAATTCAGGGTGATTGTCTTGTGGTATCCACACTTTATCATGAAGACGAATATTTGGTGCTCTGAAAAAATCATAGTAACGTTACCTTAAGAGTATGAAAAGACCACGAAAGAGAACGAATCAACAAACAACAAAGCTAGTGAAAAAAAAACGAATACAAACCGATAATCGGCCGGAGGCTTGAAATTTGGATTGATCTTTAGCAATGCTTGGATTTTTTCGTGACGAAGTTGCTCCAATTCCTGTCGCTTTCTCACTTCTCGTGTGTTCAAACGCTTACCATTGCTATCATATATTGGCTCAGGTGATGGACTCCTTAAACAGGAAATCGTGCAGTAAATTTAGGCTACATTTTTTTTTAAGTTGAAATATTTTATCTCCTAAAACTTTTCTACGACGCAGCTGGGATGTTCCAGAGACGCTAAAAATAAATTATAAGTTAGGCAGCTGAAAATTTTCCCATTAAACGATGGATCCGTGGTGTCTAAAGACATGGAGATGAATCTAAACGCTAAATAAGAATATTATGATTAACGTTATTTTATTTCGTAAAACATTTCTACGACGCAGCCAGGATGTTCTGGAAAGGCTAAAAATGAATTATTAGTTGGGCAGCTGAAAAATTTCCCATAAAACGATGCATCCGTGGTGTCTAAAGACATGCAGATGGATCTAAATGCTAAATATTAACATTAGGATTAATATTTTACTTCCTAAAACACTTCTACGAGGCAGTTAAGATGTTCCGGAAAGGCTAAAAAGAGATTATGAGTTAAGAAGCTGAAGAATTTCTTATTAAACGATGGATCCGTAGTGTCTAAAGACATGGAGATGGATCTAAACGCTAAATATGAATATCAGGATTAAAGTTGCCTGCAACTTAAACAATAGAAGAAATTGATCTGCTGCCTGAAAAACGAGAATAAACCATTTCCAACAGATGGCCGAATGTAGGCGTACGCAAATAATATGACATCCAACAAACTAGCCATCGCGCTAAAAATGAAAATGCTCTCAAGCCTTCAAAATAAACTAACTTACAAGATCTCTCCCACCCACTCTTTTACATGTAACTCAACCGAACACACCTCAAGGCCTTAGTCATTTTCAAAGTGTAAAATATAAAAAATGAATAGTCAAAATGGAAACACTTCTCTGTCAGGTACACATCACACTGTACCACGCGAGCACGGCGAATGCATACCATACGGTAGCACACACCAGATGTGCATAGCACTAAACGTGTGATTGGTGCCTGAAACGCTTGAGCATAGTGCCTTGCCATTTTTAACGACTAGCCTTTGCGCAGGATCTGTCGAGCCGAGAAAATCGCCAAGTCGCAGTTTGCGTGTAGCGTCCTCAATCTCCAGTTGCACTGAAATCACGGCCACGCCGCGGACAACATTAGTATCAGCATACTCATTCAAAACAACAATAACTATAACCTTGTTAAAAAAAACATTTTAAACGACTTCCCTAGCAGTCTGGGAAAAATGAAAAAAGCTATTTAGAAAAATATCCGTAGCTTATCATAAAGTGACTCCACTAGCATAATTACCCACGCAATGGGATATCTTTTGTCATTTGGAAAATAGATTTATTAATGACAAAGATCGTTTAACTGTAACTGATAACATACCTGAATTGACTTACCAGAAACACTGCGAGTTTATCCTTCTCTACACAACGAATATATTGTAAAGAAAAGAGTAGGAAGCGAATGATTAGACAATGCAAACACTCACGAAGATATGCCGTACGTTGATCATCGGATAGATTAGACGGTAGAATTGTAGGCATGCCTGGCACGAAACTCTTTGTTGCTGACCAACGCGATTTCCGTTCGCGCTTTCGCCCAGCTTCCATTAATGCCGTCTCCTGGCCAACTACTGGATCAGTACCAGATAAAGCTAAATCGATAAAAATTATCAAATACGATCACGTCCTGAAAACTAACAGTAAGCATTAGATCGTATCCATATGCTTTCATATTTCCACACATATATGTACTTAAGGGCACATCTAGCGTAGTGGTCGGAGGCGCCATAGAACACATGGGATCCACCGCCTCGTTTAAGGCTCACCAAGCTTTCCATCCTCCAAGGGTCGGCAAATTGGTACCAGACTTGCCTGAAGGACAGCAGCACTGGCTCAATGGATCGGTAAGTCATCGCCTGTTATTGTACAGACCAGATATGCATTCAATCGCCTCCAACAATGCTTATTGAAGTCGAGTGCACGGTATATCCCTCAGCGATTGATCAACGCTGTTTGCCCTTTACCCTCCTTTACATATGCATATATATATATATATATATATATATATATATTACAGAAGCGTATGTAACGTACTACTTATACATTTGTATAGGTGGTGGGAACAAGTAAAATAAAACGATGAAAAGCGGGATGTAATCTCTAAGTGGCCCAACTAAGTAGGACTCCATGCAGAACTTTAAATGCCTTACGAGTCCAGAAAGCAATGGTACTACTTACCAACTTCGGGCCGCATAAGCGGATTGATAAGTGGCTCCTTAATCATTGGCGGTCCAATAGGATGTGCTGGTGCAGCTACCGGAGATACTCGATCACGTTCTCGATCTCTTTAAAAAAAAGCTCGGAAAACTCTCTTTTAAGAAAAAATCTATCACAAACCTGCTCCTGGTACGCGATCGCTTCCTCTCACGCGACCTACTGCGGCGGCGTGAGCGACTTCTTCGTCTCTTGTGACGGTCGCGATCGCCCGAGCGAGAACGACGACGACGACGATCCTTACGATCACGTGAGCGACTTCTGCTTCTATCACGATGAGAGTGCGAGTAATTGTCATGGTCACTGGTAGATACCGCTAGAAAAAAGAAACGTGGTGCCGATGGACAGATATAGTTCCTTACAATGAGATGACACACGTTCTGTAGTCACTATAGTGGGAGTAGCGTTATCATCAGATCCGCTCGCTGCTGCCGCTGCGCCCCATTTGCGGACGAAAGGCATTGGCTCGGTGTTGCCACCTGTTTTGCTACCCATTCTAGAACAAAATACAACAGATTAAAAGTATGCCGATAATCAATGCGCCCAGAGAAATTTGCAGACAAAGGAAAAAGAGACGTATATTAAGGAATGCTACCAGCAGCACAAAAAAACACGGATTCTCAGATCAATTTATTCCCTCGAGCAAAAATTGGGAAATGTCAAGTATATGAGGCAGATGAGAACGTTACATGGAAAGTTACAGAAATAATTAATAATTTGCAGAGAAAAACAAAGGGCAACTTCTCAATTGAAAAAAGATGGCTGCCGCACGTAATCAAGTGGACTCTTTTTGTGGGTCCACAACCATTACATCGTTATCGGAGTTCTCAGCATCAGGTTTCGAAATAGGAGGCTCTGGTTTTAACTCTCCACATTCCACGATTTTCACAACCATTTGAGGTTTTCCAGAAGGAGTACCCTCAATTACATTAAATCAGTGATTGTTTTCTTTACAAAAGTAATAGGCACCGAAATTCACCCAACAATAACTTACAAGTAAAGAAAAATTCAGGATGAAACAATAACAATAGAATAAAATTGGGCTTAACTAAAAAGAAGGAAGAAAACGTAATTCGGTGGTATTTACGGGGAAAAAATGGGCAAAAGAGGAAGTGTCAAAGCAATTACTGCTCCTTTACTTAATTTAGATATTATAAAGTGTCATTTGTTATGGACCACCATATAAAAAAGTAGAGAATTGTTGCTACCACTATGGTCCAGTGTAATCATAATCCAATAATTTATCCCTTTCAGAACACAGAACAAACATTAGATAAAAACAAAGGCTACCTGCTGTTCAATTTGCCGAACCACGTTCATTCCCTCTACGACACGTCCAAAAACTACATGCTTCCCATCGAGCCAATCGGTCTTTTCAGTACATATAAAAAATTGAGATCCGTTTGTGTTCGGACCACAGTTCGCCATCGATACCGTACCGGGCATCACATGTCGGAGCCAAAATAGCACTGTATGTTGCGAGAATGAGGTGCATAATTAAAACAAATGTTGCCTGAATGAATAACGGCTCCAGTGTTGAGTCTCAAATTTGGAGCCCATGAACATACCTTAAAATTCTCGTCTTCAAATTTCGGTCCGTAGATAGACTTTCCGCCTGTACCATCGCCCTTCGTAAAATCACCACCTTGCAGCATGAATTTCGGTATTATTCTATGGAATATGGAGCCTTAATTTTCTAAATAAGTGATACCTAATGTACACAAATTGACGGTCTATAACGTACCCTCATATCCGAATCCTTTCTCCCCTGTACAAAGACATCGAAAATTCTCCGCCGTTCGAGGTACAACGTCGTGACGCAATTCTATCACTATCCGTCCAATATACCTGTCGACAATGTAACAAGTCAACATTTAGAACTTATTCAACAGCTATATATACATTGATTCAACAGCGTATAGAGCTCATCATTTTTAGAGTAAGATCGGAGTAGGTTAACAATCGAAAAGCAGTGAAAAATATGGTGCTAGCTACACCAAATGTTAAAAATCAGTTGGACAAGACATAAGCATTGAATGGATGGGTTTCGAGGATATCAGAGCCGGATAACGTTCTCTACTGATCAGATGCCCAGATTTCTTCACGAAGAATTTGGATGAAAAATATAATCCTCGTAATCATTGAGCAGTACACATTAATAAACATTAGTAAGCGATAGATAAACGAGAAAACAGGTGGTCCAAGTAAGTTATCAGACATATATTCTTTACGGCACATCATACACATTCGAAAAGAAATTTACCTGTCTTCTGTAATGTAACCACAAGCAAACAAAAACGAATCAAAAGTGCATTACTTTCGGCGTATTAGATTAAAAGTACTTACCTTATTCCTATCTTCACTCCGAGATAAACTCGTGGTAAACCTTTAGTTTCTAAAGTCGATTCATCACTCTTATTTGCATCTGCTATTCCACTACCCTTTCCATAACGTTTCAACCACTCATCATCTGCCCAGACAGGACGAGATGACCGCTCTGTTGCCTTTGGTGGTCGAGCAAAATTACACCTAGAATGGTGTTTCATTGAAACTCGACACAAAGACAATGGAACTAAATTTATTTCGATAGCTTTTTAATGGAAGTAATTTCAATATAGTTAGAAGACTAAAGGGGGTCAAAATGAGTCCCTGAAAAACTTAGAACACCTAAGAAAGAATCTTTGCCACTCTAGCTACTAGCTTGTACAGCTGCATTTTAATTTACCTTGCTCTGATTTTGATATCCATGTGTTCTAATCAGATAGAATAAACAGAAACGAAATCAGAGCATTTTTGCAAGAAAAATTTCTCAATTTCCAAAACGTCCAGAGTAACACGATAAAGGATAGAGCTGTTAATCAATCCTGAGAGATGCACCATTCATTCGACTTCACTAAGCATTGTTGAAGGAGACTGAATTCATATCTAGCCTATCCCATGACTGGCGATGATCTACCAATGTATTGAACCTGTGCTGCTACCCTCCCAGACGAGTTTGGTATCAATTCGTCGACTCCGGAGGGATAGAGGGCTTGATGAGCCTGGGGGTACGGAGATCGACCCCACTTGCATTGCATGGCGTCTCCGACCATTGCGCTGCACGCGCCCTTATGTCCAGAGTATATACCTAAATAATGAGTTCATATGAAATATATTCTACGACATACCTAATTGTTCGACCAAACAACTCGCTTTCATTCATATTGTCTATTGCAGCCATGGCATCCTCAGCGAGTTCAAATTCGACGAATCTAAAAATTAACGAACCATAAGATCAGAGAGCTCGAAAACCATGAGACTGCCAAACATAACCCACAAACACACCCAAATCCACGATGTTTCCCTGTTTCATAATCCATCGGTATAGAAATGGCTACAATATCACCAAATGTTATAAACGCCGCCATTAGAACCTGAAAGAATGTGCAGTTCGCATCCACAATAAATCAAGAAAATACAAATCTCCTGAGCAAACTTCATAAAACTGCAGAATCGTATGACCTTTTCTGTCACCTCTTCACCAAATCCTCCTACATATAATGTCCGTTTCTTGTTATGTGGAAAATTTGAAGTAGCCATCAAACTGAAAGACTTGGAAAAATGTTCGAAAAAAAAAAAGAAACAAAAACAGTTGTAAAGACTCAGGTATCGTGATGCGCCTCGAAACATATTATAAGACGATAAAAAAAGAGCGTAAACATTTATTTAGCATTAAAAGGCAATTTGAATGAAAAAAAAACAACCACTGCTCCATTCACGATTTAATACATTTACACTGACAAGACTCGTGGAACTTGTCAAACGAAAAAAAAGTCCAAACGTGAAAAACACGTTGAGAGGAAGACGGTAAACACTACGAACTTCGTAACCAGGCAAATCCAATCAATAACGTCTATGATCTCTATCGCGGTCACGACTACGTCTTCTATCCCTGTATGGTGATCTATCCCGTCGTCTTTCTCTTTCGTGACGATCGCGATCTCGTCCACCACTTCCGATACCACGAAGAGATGGATAGTGACCGGCAGAATCAGCTCTAAAGAACGTAAAATTTACGATCATTTCAAGGAATACAAAGAACAAAGACACAATCATCAAGTATGACCCTTGTGATAACACTGATATCAATACTCATGTACAGCAATACGGAACTACGAAAACCCTTACCTCCTACCTCGCCTTCCGAATAGTTTCTCACCAAGGGCAGGGCTGACTGCCTTGAGATGCATGAAATTACAAAAGCCTCCCTTAGAACAGGTGATGACCTCGTGTTGACGACAACGAGATTCGCGGAAATCCGTAACCGGACATAATTCCGCATAGATAGGCGCTCCATTAAACCTTAAAGTACAGAAGACCATAACCAGAAACTAAAGTCGAACAGTATTGGAGTTTCTTTTAAACTCCGCGGATAACAAATGCGCCCTTATTAGAACCAGATGATAGGTAAGCAAAAATTTGCTAAACGCATGTCGCTAGGACGGCATTTCAATGCGCAACAAGAACAAAATCAATGGATAATAACGCCAAAACGACGTCCAAACCTCAACAAAACAATCATTGCATGTGAACGAACTGCATCTTCCACAAAAGTGGGGAATTTTTCCTGAACAATACCAGAATGTGTGAGTTACTCACTCAATTATGAATGTATAATTGCCTTCAACCGTCCCGAACGACGCGCGCACTGCGACAAACCACAATCGGGCAATGGATCTGAACTCTGAACGGGGGTTTTCGTGTACAAGGGTGAGCGATATCGTTCTTATAGCAAGCCCGCACAGTTTTTATACACATTTTTCCTTCTAATTTCACCGAGCTATTGACTCGAAAAGCACAATCACACAATAATCATGAGCCTTAGGAGGAATACTTATAACTTATAGATCGAAAATACGGATAAGCAATTTCGAAATCCTTGATGGGACACCGAGGTAAACGAAGAAGCTTTTCAACTAAATAGACCGTGCAGTGTAGATTGCAGTGAAGAGCATCTGAACACGTTAAAATTACATGGAATAACTGGAACAACTTCTCAACACTACAATTGTTGTGCGCTCCCCTAGAAATCATACAGAGCGTGTTCGAAACAACAAAGGTACAAAGACATGTTTCAGAATCATGTACCACTGAACTGGAAAAATGTAGGAAACCAGTAAGAGATAACACAAGCTTCAAAACGGTTACCCCATTAGAAATGCATTATGTAACGTACCATCGGTTGTCATTTAAATCACGACAGGCTCTATCCGCGTCTTCTTCTCTAACGAACTTCACGTACACGTTGCCCACCATGTGTTCGCCGATATTTTCGCACACATTTATTTCCTCCACCTCTCCATACTTAAAAAACAGAAACTGATTATTATAACACAACCAGTGAATGCTTAAACGCCTGAGAAAAAACGAAATCAATAACCTATGATACCCATAACGTATATCCATTCCGTCCCGACGAAAATCTAAGCAAAAAAATAATTTGTCATGTCACAAAACTGCCGGAGGATTTTCATACCTGTGGGTTTAACTACGCCGTAAAATTTTTGACACTTGGATACTAGGATACTTGGATGACCCGTCCCGACTAGTTATGTGGGGCCTCAGCGAAATCTCCATTTTTTCGGAGTTTTGCTGATTTAGCCATTGTGGTTCCCTGGAGTCTTGAGGTCAGCAAGGCCAAAATCTGCCCCAGGTCATCACCACCAAAGGCAGTCGCCGCCCTTGTGGATCAGAGGGAGATTAGCCACCACGCGACTAGTTTGACACCACTTAATTGGACTTCGTGATAGAAACACCGGACTCCTTCCCAGCTTAGGAGACACTGCCGGAGGGGATGAATCCGTCCGCTAAACATCGCAGCCCGACACGCAGGAACACCTCCTAGCAACGATGAGACGGTAAATCATTGGAAAGAAAATTTTTGATAATAATGCCAATCATGGAAAATGGTGCGGAGAACCTAGTGAAGCAGAACGACATCGGGTGGAGACAACGGTGCACTACTAGTTGTTGTGCTGTACTTTGCTCCACGACGTAATTCGAACACTTTAGGACTTGGTTTCGCCGAAGAGTCAAACTTATAGAGTTAACTTTTTTAACTACTAGAATAGCATCGTCATCAAACTATTCATTTTCCACTACTTGCAAAACTCACTAAATCTCATATGGTACCCTTTTGTTCCGTAATGCAACCTAAACGTAGCCTATTGCGTCTCACAATGATCATCTTGATACCAAATTTCTACAACAATTATTCAGAAGAAAAGGACAACGTCTATAAAATATTAAAGTAAGTTGTGATTAACATGACTTTTCTACTGCAGCGATAGACTTACCATAACTATACATGCATAAGCAAAATGATGGTGAAATATTTATAAAAACTCCGGACCGTTGGTGTCGCAGTGGGGATCGAACACGCCATCACCCCTTTCGGAGCTAACGCTTTCACCACCACACCACCACACCACCACACCATGCGGGTCCCTCGTTTCGATTTTCTCTGTCATGTTTTGTATGTGCTATTAGCAATCACCCGTATACCTACATCGCCAGGGTCGACAGGTAACTTTTGACCAAATTGCCTCCTCACCAGCAAGAAACTAGTTCTATGATTTTTACACATTATCGGAGCCTTGTTCATTCGGACTCAGTGTCTGAAGTAAAAACGGGCAAATGAACAAGAATTTAAGGAGGTAAAACGTAAGTTTCCTCGAAAAACCAGAGATCGTACAACCTTATGGTAGCTAAAACAATTTTATAAGCGGGAAATAAAAATGAATGGATAAACAAGCACAAAAAGACAAGAGCTCTACCAATGTAAGATTTCAATGAAATAAAAGGTGCAGGCAATCGGACACTAGCCCTAAACTGGTAAAGCAACAAACCTTCCTCTCCAACTCAGTGAAAACCTCCTCGTAAAATTCATCAAAATACCTCTGCTCTTCTTCATTTTTTCTGCCAACCTCTGGAACAAACAAACCAGTGGCACTGAACCATCATCAAACAAAACATTGGGGACTAACGGCAAAATAAGATTTAAAAGCTTGTAATACAACTTACTGTCAAAAGCATCTGCTTGTCGCACATCCACAACTGGATTATGATAGAAATTTTTTAGTAGAATCGTTGGAGAAAACGTTGGCGTGTGGTGAGCTCGTGAACATTTATCGCCGTGCCGACAAGCACCAGTCTGAACAAAATCGAAATTTTCATAGAAACCACTAGCAAGATAATTCGATCGCAAACTTCCTTTTCTAGTCGTAACCCTGAGTGTTCCGTTCTTCTACTTACTTTGCATTGCAATTCACCACAAATACCTTGGAACGTCTTGAGAAATTCCATGACCAATCAAAAAACTGAAATCCTTACTTTGAAGAAAAAAGAACAATTAACTTTGTCCTTTTCTGTACCATAGATCGATGCCAAATATTCTGCTCCAGAGAGACTGTCACCGAAATTCATATCTAAAAAACAAATATGTGGGGTTTGGACGAACAGTTCCTAACCGGATCTACAATATAGTGGAGGACATCCTCCGATCTCTTCCAACAAAGTCTAGAAAACGGCCAACAAAACGAGAAAATAATAAGTAAATGTATGAATCGACACCAAATCATTAGTTTAGAAAAATATTTAGCGCTGATGCAATTAGCCCAAAAAATCAGTGGCAGACACAGACACACGATCACCTCGAAGATTATTTGCCACAAATGACGTAGCACAAGAGAAAGAAATGACATACTAATAACTGGGATAATTAATGTATCCCTTTTTTACTCGGTTGAAAGGTCGATTGAACCACACGTCCGATTCAGATAAGACATATCGTGTGTGTGGCGAGAAATTAAGTGTGCCTTGCGTCCGCCACGTAGAATCCGACGTCGTGACGAATGTACTGTAACTGGTGGAAGTGCAGGAAAGACTAGTCATCATGATCATCACCTCTTCAATAAAATCTCGCAAGAATGATTATTTCCTTAGTCGTACTGAATTACAATGGAAGCCAAAGGCTAGAATACACACCCCTGGTCAATTTCACCAAAACAAAATGCCCAATCATTCCCAACTTCTGAATGCAAATAGAACTCGCTACAAAAATAGATTGCGGAAGCAGTTGATGAACAATAGAATGTTTCAGTCCTACCAAAATCCAATACCGATTCACTAATCTCGGAAGACTGAAGCGATTAGCTGAGTAAGTGTCGTTGATCGAACCACCAAAAGCAGCACCTCAGTTGACTTGGTTATGCAATCCTCAACAAAGTAGCAAGATGTTTCACAGACATTCCCACTCTTACGCCTTTATACGAACAATCACTATCAATAAAATAAGTGCTATCTTCGTTGAGACAGATTTGGTCCCTACGACATAAAGAAGAAAACAGTAGATGTCGATGAAAACTCTGTGCTGCTTTTATAACAAAAGTTTACACAAAATGATAGAAAATTGAGCAAAACTTGACAAACAAGATAGTAAATGTTGGTCAACTTCTTAACATCACGCAAAGATACTCGAGATGTCTAGAGATAAACTAGAAACTAAGAGCAAGGATTGAGAATCAGTGAGGAATAAGAGATAAACTTGTACGATGTACTGGGCCAAAAAAAGGAAACCAACCTTATGTGAGGAAATGAGTCGAATGTGAGAAGCGCTAGGATCCGTGCAGTGGATGTGGAAGACGGGTCGTATAAAATACAAAAAAAAGAAATCAGATTGAATGAAGATTTCCAGAACCACTAATTTAATCGAACTGTGTTGCACAGACTGCTTTGAGCTACAGAATTTCTGTTTGATGCAAATTGATGAGGAAAACGATGAATAGTAAAGGATGTCCATAGGTAAAAATACACAGTTTTGCTTGGATACTTGGATGGTCCGTCTTCACTTGTTGTGCGAGACACAGCATAACTTCCATGGTTTCGGAGTTTTGTTGGTTTAACTACTGTGTTTCCTTGGAGTCTCCAGGTCAGCCTGGCCAAAGTCTGCCCCAGGTCGTCACCACCACATGCGGCCGCCGTCGTCGTGGATCAGAGGATTTGTCACCATGCGACTGGTTTGATACGAGGAGGACGGTTCTGAATCTTGGTGTTCCTTAGTTTACTTCCTACTTGACTTCCACAACTAACACGTCCAAGTGGCTTAACCATTACTGGAGCAACTTAAACGTTGCCAATCAGTTAGTGACACTTAGAGTTGTGATAGCAGGCGGAATCACTAAACCACACTCAAACAACTAAATCGCTTAGAATCGCGGTTTCTCCTCAATACGCAAACAACAACCTTCCATATATCTGCGGCTTTCTGAAACGAACACAAGTTCCTCATAACGGTTCTTACTATGAACTATTCGTAATTGTACATGCCTACTTTGCAATACTTTTGAACGAATAATTTCTTCAGATAGGCAGTAAATAAAAGTTGAAACAATGTGATTCCTTCAGATTGTTTAGCATACACGAGATTGTTGCGAAATTCTTATTCGACATACGTTTTGGCGCGACCAATCGAAATAGATAAAACTGCAAGGGTGTTAAGATATGTGCAAAACTCGGACCTCAGGTGGGCTTCGAACCTGTGATTACCCTTACGGGCTTATAATGCAAAGAAATACATTGATCATCCATGTCGAGGTAAAGATAAAGTTGGCTTGGAAAAGGAATGAGGTTCCTCAACAGGCTTGTTGATCAGTAGATAGGAGGGCGGCGCTAAAAGCTGGTAGTCAGTTACTATTCATAGACGTCAATGTTAGAGTACCTGATGAACCAAAACTGCCATCTAAAACGATGATGTTTTCTCATTCAGGGTTTTCTCAAAGGTCTAACAATTAGCATGACTTCTAGAGTAGTCTATACGGCCAAATTTATTAGCATGACGAAACAAGTTATGTTCAACTTTCTTTAGGAGCGCGTGTACCACTGTGGTTAGAGGTGACCTGCAATACACATGGGATCGATCCCGGCGCCACAGGTTCATCAAGGCTTCCAACCCTCCAGGATCGGCAAATTGGTACCAGACTTGTCTGGGAGGATAGCAGCACTGGCTCAATACATCGGTGTGCCACCGCCAGTCACTATAAAGGCCAGGTATGCATTCAATCACCACTAAAGATGCTACGAATGGAATCGAATGCATGACGCATCCCCTAGAGATTGATCAACGCCAAGGGCTTCTTCCTTTATCGTCTAACTGTTTCCGAAGCCGCCTCTACTAGCGCTAAAAAAAAGCAAACTTACGTTTGAGACATTATGAGGCCCTTACAGTAACATTTGCCTAGTAAGATGGGAACATTTCGTTTAGACCTTTTCACAAATAGTACCCACGAACAGGCGCCTGCATAGGCTCAAGATCTGCACTACTATGTAAGAAACTAGACACTACACAGAGAAATTAACAATCCAACAAGTAAAAGAAAGTGCAAGAATCTAAACAAAAACATCCACAACCGCAAAACCCATGAAACACGACGGCGATCCGAAAATTCGAACCGCGTTGCGTCGTACGGCTCCGCCCATAGCAACGTTGCCTGACTATCATATCAACAACACACTGGCTACGCAGCGAATTGTAAAAGTGTGGCAAAAACTTATGTTTGAATTTTTGCGATCTCCAATCGATTATATGGGGTTAATGTTCTGGATAAACCGAATTGAAAGGCCAAGTCGATGGTTTTGGAGTACAGCTTTACTTTACATCCTATATCATGTAAATAAATGTGCATGTGTAGCGCAGTGGTCAGGGATGCCCTGCAGTACGCATGGAATCGGTCCCTGCGCCGCAGGCTCACCAAACCTTCTATGCTTACGGAGTTGGAAAATTAGTGCTAGACCTGTCTGGGTGGATAGCAGCATTGGCTCGATACATCGGTAGGATATCGCGAGTCATTATAAAAGGTCAGATATGCAATCAGTTACCTTTAACGATGCCATGAATGGAGTCAAGTGCGTGGCGCATCCCTCAGGGTTAGATCAACATCGAGAGCTTTATCTTTTATCGTCTTATAATGCAAGTAACAGACTTTAGTTTTTCTACAGTACTATTTCGAGAAGGCTGCTTACATATGACTTATTTCGGATAGTTCTTGGATCTAGCGTTAATCTATTGGCACATGGTTGACCATAACATAAATTTCGTCTTCTTAACAATGCTTAAAGGATAAAGCTCTCGGCGTTGATCAATCTATGAGGGATGCGCCTTGTCTTCCACTTCATTGAGCATCGTTTGTAGGTGATTCAATGCATATCTGGCCTTTACAATCACTCGCGGTGGCCTACCGATCTATCGAGCCGGCGCTGCTATCCTCCCACATAAGTCTGGTACTAATTTGTCGACACCGGAAGGATGGAAGGCTTGGTGGACTATGGGCGTGGGGATCCATCCCACTTGTGTATTGTAAGAGGCCTCCGACCACTGGGCCACGCGAACCGCAACAGAGGAAGTGCTGAACCAAAATGGTGGTTGGATTAGCTGATTGATTGGTGATGATTGACTTGATTGATTTCAATGTAACTGAAATTTCCGGAAAACCTTGGAAATAAGGTTAACCAGCAGTATGAATAATACTAGTTCTATTCGAAGGACTGAATATGAAGTGCCCGCAACGGTTTACAGCCTCGTGGTGGCTGGGAGCTGCTCCTGGGTATCGGGCTGCGATGTACAGTGGGGGTTCATCTCTCAGCAGGGTCTCCCAAGTTGAAAATGAGTCCGGCGTTCCTGTTAGGATGCTCAGCTAAGACTAAACCAATACCAGGATGCACCACCATTCTGGTATCAAACTAATCAGATAGAGGGAATAAAACAGTTCTCCTATCTTCCAATGAATAGAAACTTTGCTTTCCAGGTTACGTTTGAAAAGCTGGGTTTCTGTGTTGAGGAATGTCGGAGGGTTGTTCAGGTGTTCAGGTGCGATCTTATCTGGAACAGGTATTGTTCGATTCTTCACCAACGAAATAGCATGTCGTCGGTTAGATAAAACCTTCAATTTATTATGGTTCGGTCTATTTCGTTATGGTACTGTCTATTGGGAGACTTCTACGACCAGCGTTCAGAGTAGAGCTTATGGAATTGCGAGCTACCACGAATAATCTTGGTTGTCGTGACAAACTCCGACAGTCGCTCACCTTCTTTATTCAGTTCTAATTCGTGGTTCCCAATGTGACGTTCATCAGACGTTCTTCTTGGTCCAATCTTAACGCTGAAATATCCAATGATGAGCTTGAAGAATGCATGGTCTGTGTAGAACTTCTGCAACTCTATGTAGAACGCTTCGACTTCGTCTTCGCCATAGCTTGATGCCTGTGCGTAAACGTCGAAGGTTGTCAAAGCTGGTATCGATTCACATGTCTTCAGTCATGGACGTCCCATTCGGATTGCTAGTTATTCGAAAGCATCGATGTTCATAGCCAAACTCGTGTTGAAGAGAACGCCGACGCCGCCGATTCCTCTATTGTCGCATGTTCCGAGG